TACCACACATTGCTGGTCTAACGTTGGGAAATGGTTGGCGGAAATTTTAACGCCTTGCCAACGTTGGCCCAACGGAAACTTGTATTCGTTGGTCCTACAAATAAGGAAAGAATCGTTGGGCATTTGTTGGATTTAAGTATAAAACATTCTAAAACGCATTTTAACAAATGTATTTCTTTATAAGAACATAAATGCTATGGCAGCAGAATATAAGACGATTTTGGAGAACATTTTATCTATAATAAATGCTGTCAGAGATGATGTTGTGATAGTTGTGATATTTGCAAATATTTTTTTATTAATATTCTTTAACCTATATGAGTAATTTTTAATAGTCGAAGATTAATAAATTAAGGGGAAAGATTAATTAATCATATAACAATCAATTATATTAACATTACTAATCTAACGGTAATTAAATAATCTATATTCCAATACCAGTATCCTCTCCAACTCCCAGAAAAACAATTCAACTACTTGATGCCTAAACTGATTAACAGAATCATATTATACTGTAGTATTAAAAATATTTTAAATAGGCCTATTGCGACCATTGCAACCGTCGGCTCCTCTTTTCCCACTTGAAAACTCATTAAATCAACAATCACAGATAGCTCAGGGGTAAGGTATGATGCTCAAAGGTCTCAGGTTCAAGACCCTTCCGGGGCCAAAAAATATTGTTCTAGTTTTTTTGCAAAATTTGTTTTATGAACCATTTAATCACTTTACTCGACTGATAATTATGCTTTTCATACCAAATCTTTATTATTTTGTGTTTTTATGTTTATGCTGAAATATTGAAACAATAAAACCATGTTAAATACTTAAAGAAACAATATTCATACAATATTTATTTAGTCTTGTTTCAATTTATTTCAATATTGACTCAATATTTACCGATAAATGTCTTTTGTTTCAAATCGTTAGTTTTTTAAATGTTAAGAAAATATTGAATCAATAGTTTTTAATATTGGTATCGATTCAATATGTTTTACAATATTGTTTATATACAGGGTGTCCCGGAACTCTCTACCAATATTTTAGGGCATTGTTCCTGAGTAAGAAACATATCTAAGTATCATATTTAAATTGTCCGGAAGTCCTTAGTTACTCAGATAGCCACCATTTTGTTTTTTTTTCACTTATTAATTTTTTTCTGAAAATTGGTTAATTATACGAAGTTGAAACTTTGGACAAACATTTATGACAACTAGACAAAGCTACAAAAAAATATGACGATTTTTCACATCCATAAAACAAAATGGCGGCTGTTTAAAATGTTGTTTCTTAAATTACTCAAAAACCGTTGATTTAACAAAAATTTTACAAGGATAACTTTTTAAGGCAATTTTATTACAAATCGATCGACACCTTAATCTTTAAGATCAGACGAGTATTAACTGAGATATCGCAGTTTTAGTGATACGTGACCGCTTTCAGCATGCGCTGCAACTAACCTAACTAGCCATATCTCAGTTAATACTCGTCCGATCTTAAAGATTAGGGTGTCGATCGATTTATAATAAGGTTTATAATAATCGATTTATAATATAATAAGGTAAGGGAGGCGAAGCAATTTGCTACTGCTACTGCCATTGCTACATCTCCAAATGCATGCAAGGCTGCCTGGAACTACATCAATAGGCATAAAACCCCCACTACTGTTCCTGCTAAAGACTTTTGCACTGCTGATGAGTTTAATTCATATTTTCTTGAGTCTGTTGATGAATTAATCCTCTCTTGTAAACCTGATCCATCTGTTCCTTATGATTGCCTTAATTCTGTTCCATTTGTTCCCACCAATTTTTCATGGACACCTGTTACTGTTGATAAGCTGCTTAGAGTAGTCAGTAGCTTTAAATCCTCTAAGAGTCAAGATTTTTATAACATGTCTGTTGAGCTTTTAAAAAGATGTATCTATGTAGTTGCGCCAATCATTGTAGATATTGTAAATAAATCTCTGAGAGAAGGAGTCTTTCCTGAGGCTCTGAAGATTAGTAGGACTGTACCTGTGTACAAAAAGGGACCAAAGGACAGTACTGTAAGTTACAGACCAATATCTATCATCCCCATCTTTGGTAAGGTGCTTGAAGCAGTCATGTTAGAGCAGCTGTACAGCTACTTTGAGAGGCATCGCCTTATTGTGCCCGCTCAATTTGGCTTCCAAAAAGGAAAGTCCACCGTTCAGGCTGTGGACTGTCTTGTTCAAGAAATCTTAAATGGTCTAGAGATTAGAAATTCTACTTCTGTTATAATGTGTGACCTATCCCGCGCTTTTGACTGTGTGTCACATAGTCTCCTGTTGTCAAAGCTCGAAAGGTACGGGGTACGAGGCGATGCTCTCTCATTGATTAAATCTTATCTTGAAGGGAGGTCGCAAGTTGTGACTTGGAATGGTAACTCTTCCAATCCTCTGATGGTGAACAATGGAGTCCCGCAAGGGTCTATTATGGGTCCCTTCCTTTTTGTAATCTCAATCAATGACTTGTATCACAGTGTTGCAGGCAATGTCCTGCTATATGCAGATGATACAACTCTCTTTTCTAGTCACTCAGATTTTTCTGTATCTAAAGTTGCTGTGCAGGAATTATTAGATGTAGCTTCTATCTGGTTTCGCAACAATAAATTATGCCTGAACCAAGCCAAAACTCAAAACATCACTTTCAGTCTTTCTAGGGAACTGAGGGAAGAAAACACTGTAAAGCTGCTGGGCTTCACCCTTGACCCTCAGCTTGATTGGAACGATCATATTGAAATCCTGTGTGGTAAGCTAAGTCGTGTAATCCATTTGCTCAGACGGTTGAAGGCTGACATGCCATTTGAATTTGTTCGACTTGCGTACTTTGCTTTTTTCCATGCTCACATTCTGTATGGCACTAGGCTCTGGGGTCACTCCCCTGGAGTGCAAAAAGTACTCAAACTACAGAAGAAAGCTGTCAGGGTCTTGTGTGGAGTCCATCAGCTTGAGCATTGTAAACCTCTGTTTGTTCAGCATGGTATAATGCCTGTACACAATGTATTTATTTACCAATGCCTGTTAGAGATTAAGAACAATGAATCAGCTTTTCCATTGGTTAATAATGTTCATCATTATAGCACTAGGAACAATGAAAATATTTTTAGAGATAGAGTTAGACTAGATTTAACTCTCAACTGCTTTCCTGTTGCAGGAATAAGGTTCTACAATGCCTTACCCATAACTGTAAGACAACTCTTACCGAACAAGTTTGCGACCACACTAAAAGCTTGGATGCTTGCCAATCCATTCTATTCCATTAAAGAGTTTTGGAATGCACAGCTTGTTACTATTGGGTTGAACCCACAGTAGTCCAGTAGAGGTATTACAAAAATGTAAATTTATTTATTTTTCTCTGCCTTGCATGGCTTGCAGCATGTGGTTTTCATTTTATTTGTATTTTTAGTTGCATGCATTGCTTTGCATGTTTTTGAGATCCTGCATGTGTTTTTTTTTCAGCTTTTAATTTAATTTTGTCAGTCAAGAATGCTAGAAGAAGCTTGGCATGTTATTTATTATTTATTGTATTGTTGACGTAGCCTATTGTCCTGTATATGAACTGAATGGCCAAATAAATCATTTGAATCATTTGAATCATTTGATAATAAAATTGCCTTAAAAAAGTTATTCTTGTGAAATTTTTGCAAAATCAACTGTTTTTGAGTAGTTTAAGAAACAAAATTTTAAACGGCCGCTATTTTGTTTTATGAATTTGAAAAATCGTCATACTTTTTTGTAGCTTTGTCTAGTTGTTATGATTGTTTGTGCCAAGTTTCCGTTTCGTATGCTTAACCATTCTTTAGAAAAAATTAATAACTGAAAAAAACAAAATGGCGGCTGTGTGAGTAACTAAGGACTTCCGGACAATTTTAATATGATATTTAGGTAAGTTTCTTACCCAGGAGCAATGCCCTAAAATATTGGTAGAGAGTTCCGGGACACTCTGTATTTTATTGCTACTTGTTTTTTTTTTAGTGTTTCGTGTTGTTCGGTTGGCCGTATGATTGGTTGGTTGGTCAGGGCCGCGACCTTCAAAGTGGCTGCGTCGCAAGTAGGGTTGTAACAGCTGGAGTCACTACTCTCTGGTTGAACATTAGAGAAAAAATTGCCAATGTTTTTGCTGGTTTGTTTTCGGTGTTTCGTGTTGTTAGGTTGGTCGTATGATCGGTTGGTGGGATGCTGTCGAATTCAATTCATTCTAACCAACCTAACCAATAACCATGCTATTTGGGGTTATCCTTTATTTGATGGACTTCAACCTATTTAAGTTATTGAACGTTAAAACCTGTGTATTTAAAGTTATTTTGAAACACTATCAATTGTTTTTTATACGAAATACTAACTTATTTTCAAGCTATGATTAATGGTGAAAATAGTCAAGTTTCCTGGTAATTATTTTTATCACTCCTAGCGTAATTATTTTTGTTAATGCCCTATGGGCCCACCTACCTAACATATATTGAACCATCGCCGTTGTATTTATTTTGGTAAAATGGGTTGGTCGTAAAGTAAATAAATAAACTTATATTGCAATCAAAATATTGACATATTTTTTTACTATCAACAAAACAACAGGATGACGCCATCTTGCCTCTAATTTGACAAGTCCCATCAACCGATCACACGGCTAACCTAACAACACGAAACTCTAAAAAAACAGCAAAAACAGTGGTACGTTTTTTAAACACAAACACAGAGTGGTTACTCCAGTTCCAGTTATTATTATAGCTCAGTGGTGATATGACACAACTCCACCAAGACGTTAACTCAGTCCGTTCAAGTCCAAGTAAGTTTACTCCATGGCAAAAAGATTGGATTTTGTTTGTGAAAAAAAAGACTCAAGAAAACAACACTAACAAATTTGAGAATTCATTCTATTAGTTGGATTTGGATTTGGATTCATTCATTGGGCTTTGCTCTGTTCTGTTTGAAAGTTGTTTTGATTTGAACCGAACCTCAATGAATGAATGTAACTTTGTAACTTCTTAGGGTAATTTATTCTTCTGTTATTATTGGCAACACAGCTAACTTTCTTAATCAATTTAAGCAAAGCAGTAGTGTAATGAGGTGAGATATTTTAAACTTTAGTCAAATGTTGTAGGCTAGTATATTATATAATAGTAAGATATTTCATAAACTTCTAGGCCTATGTTTATGATAGTCCTAGGCTAAGTAGTTTTATCTTAGGCCTACTGATGGAATAAGTAGATTGAATAAGTATAGTAGGCCTAAAATAAGTAGAATGAGAAGCAGCTTTGCAAATAGGCCTAATTTCTATTACTGTATGTCGAAAATATGGGCTGCACTTTACTTGACGTCCTACACTCATTCGAATGAAAATATCGATTAATCGATTGCTTCATTCGATATATCGTTTGGTTAGTTAGGTAAGGTTAACCTAACATAACTAACCAAACGATATATCGAATGAAAATATCGAATCGAAAAAAACAATCGAATGAGTGTAGGACGTCAAGTAAAGTGCAGCCAAAATATGCCCCATTTCTACCTAATAGGCCTATTAGTTAAGAATACTTTTAAAATTCAGATTCAAGTTTTTAGATTCATGCTTTTAATTCTTGGTTAGAAGCAAGCCTTCTATTTTTTTATATAGTTTTAAAATCATTGTTACGGCCTAATTGTTTGGTTGGTAGGTGCAAATTTAGATTCTGTAGAAGTCCTGCATTGACTTCGCCACTCTTCCTAATGTTTTTAAGGCCCCAATTGAGTATTTGGCTGTTAGGCCTAAATCCTCATTGAGGTATGGAAGGCTAACATATTTCTGTTGGACCATAGCCTAGTACTTGGTTGCAAAACTGGGTATGAGGATGGTAATTATGATGACTAAGTTAAGGTGGTGATGATGTTGGTTTCGGTTGTGATATGACTGAGGAGAAGTGTTGCGAGGAAAGTGATGTTATTTTCAAGAGTTGTTCACTGTCACCGGGTAGTTCTTCATCATCTATTTAGCATCACCACACTCAAAGTCGCCACTAGACACCAGGGACGAGACAGATCCATCTCTACTGTTACTGTTTAGGTACACTTAAGTTATGGAGAAGCTGGTTGCTGGACTACATGACCACCACTAGGCCTACATGGTAGTCCTTCTTGATCCACCTCCTGTAGTTAATCACCACATCTCTCAAATGGATGGATTCTATCCTTCCAGAATGCTGTAACATTTGTGTCCCCCCAAAAAAAGCTGTTATAACTGTAAACGTATTAAAGAATAATGCAATCATTTTCAAAACCTTGCTTAGTCTGCAAAGTTCTATAACTTAAGCTATGAGATGCATCCTATGTTATTGCAGGGGCGTACCGATGGGGGGGGGGGGGCGGCGGGGGCGGTCAGCCAACAACAGTAACCTTGATCAGCCAGTAGTTCTTGATGTTGATCTTAACTTACCTCCTTCTCTTTTCCTGTAATGGAAACTCCAAATAATAATTTGGCGTAGTGATTTCTTGTTTTTTTTTTTTTTTTAATCTAGTCAGATTTTCTTTTATATGAGGTCAGACTTAGGCTAGATAACTTCAAGGTGCCTTCACCTAATGCCTTGTAGTACAACCTGTCTAATTTGGAACATTTTGCTAACTTTTAAATGGTTGATTTTACTTCTCGATATCGATAAACTCAGTGATATTAGTTTTAGACCTATTAAATAACTTAAAATGCATTTTTTTTCTTCATAGACTTCAAAGTATACTTTGTAACATACTTATCAATTTGACAACTGCTCTGCATGAAAATGTTTGACTCTTCCAATCTACTGGAAATAAAGATGTCTTATGACTTATGTCTTATGTCTTAAGGCTCAGTTCCATCTTGGCATCGTATTGTCGGAAAAGTAGTTTCCTGGTTGTGTAGTCCCAGGGTCTCCAACCTTTTCCCCTCAAGGGCCACATTGTACATTTTTGAAGACCAGTCATATTTAAATTCAGTGCAGAAAATTTGCCCCCCTCGCAGCATAAACCAACAAAGTCGCCAACCAAAATTCCAGATACCGGTATGCCATGCCTAATAAAACACAAGATGACACAAATCTTTTTTATCTAGACCTACAAATAATTTACTTTAAGAACCTTTAATTTGCAATAGTGTTAAGAAACTTCACAATAAGTTTAGCCCTACAGGAGTTTACAACAAGTGTTAAGATTAAAAAGAAAATTATTATTTAATTAGAATATTGCATTTGCCAAAATTGCAGCTCATTTAAGGTTGCAATTCAATTTGTAGTTCTTATAATCAGGGTTGATTGCAATGGCCATCTAACTGAGCAGATCTATATTTAGATGACTGTTACTAGGCCTACATGTTTCCTGCTAATTTTCCCCCATTGCGAAAAACTCAGCAATTCCATTCATTGATGGCATTCCACTGGTTCTATTTTAACATCATTAGGTAATCACAATCACTGGTGACGAGTGTTGGTCATCTGAGACACAGAAAACGTACTACTATAACCCAGAATGCCAACCGCATGGTAAAAAGCATTAAGCGTTTTGAGTGAGCTTTGCCCGTCAATCCGTAGGCAGCGCCACCAGCGTTGCTATGCTATTGCATGGCAATGCTGGTGGCGCTGCCTACGGATTGACAGGCAAAGCTCACTCAAAACGCTTAATGCTTTTTACCATGCAGTTGGCATTCTGGGTTATAGTAGTACGTTTTCTGTGTCTGAGATCATCTGAACACAGGTGTGTTTATGTGATTGCGAGAGAAGATTATCGTCGTTGCTATGAAAAAGAGTTTTTTCATTAGCCTATGCTGACTTTCTATGGGCCAAATAACTGCTCGCGGGCCGGATGTAGCGGGCTATAGATTGGAGAACCCTGGTGTAGTCAGTACAAAGTAAGGGAAATCTTGTAAAGAGTAATTTGTCTTAAGGTTAAATGTATTAAATGGTGTACATAAGTAGCATTTACAAATTTATTTAGAATCTATTAAACTCCAGTGTTTACAGAAGATAAAAGAATAAGTTATATTTAGATAGAGGAGGTTAAAAGTGTTAAATAATTGATAGTGCAATTAATATAAAAGTTGAAAAATGATAAAACTGTCATTGTAGTTTAAAGGTTTGACAAATATATTTTTTCTTTTTTTTTTAGAAAATATGAATAGTGGTAGACGAACAGCTCGGCAAGAAGAAGAACTCCATGTTCAACGCAGAAATGCTGAACTTCGCAAACAAGAACATTGGAATAGTGTAGCTGAATATTTCAAGACTTGGGATGTTAAAGCTTCTAAATATGCTTCATGGACATCGGAGGACTATTTTAAGCAAAGGTAAAGCAGATTAATTTAAAAGTTGTCATACAATACTTTTTAATAGGCCTACTTTAATACTTTTCAATGAAATCGGCGACCATACTAAGTACAGTAGGTATTTTAAGCCAAGTATGAATGGAGATGAGTGTAGGATGAGTGGCGCAATCTTATAGTCTTGTTAGTGACATACACAACCTGAATCCCGACGTACGTAAGACTCAATGTAAGACTGTATGTTTAGAGGGAGAGAGAGAGATTCTTTATTTTGCAATCGTCAAGATGGATGGTTTTGGATGGTTAAGAATGGAGTCATATCAAATACAGATTTAAACACTTTTGACGTAAACTTGCTTCACAAAATATTGTTTTTCCAGTCTTTGTACTCTTTGACACTATACAAATGGCGGAGTAGCAGCCATTTCAGTAACTCCCTTTTGATCTTGCCAGAGTCAGGACTTAGCCTCTTCATTTCCTCAGGCAAAGCATTAAAGCATTAATTGAGCTGTTGTGTTTTTGATTCGTTGAAAACGAGGTCGTTCATGTTGCAAAACTCAAACAGACCGATCCCTGAGGATTGATCCCTTAGGATCTCAGGGAAGTAGGGCCTATCTTTATTGCTTTTGGTCTGTCTAATCAGCACCAATTGATTTCTTCTACTCAAGTAGCTGCAAAATCAAGCAAGTGCAGTATCTTCAAAACCAAGGGCTGAAAGCTTGGTAAGCATCAGGGAATGACTGAGGCAATTGAAGGCTTTACTCAAATCCAGGAATAAGCCCATAACGGTTTCTCCTTCAAGCCTGTCCAGCATATCCTCTAAAAGAGACACAAGGGCTGTCAATGTTGATTTGTTACTTGTAAATCCATGCTGCTTTTCAAGGATAACACCATTCCTTTTTAGATGGTCAGTTATTCTGTACCTACAGAACCACTTTCTCTAGTAACTTAGAAAAAGTTGAGACCAAAAAATGGGTCTGTAGTTGCCTAGTTCACCTTTGCTTCCTTTTTTGTGTAGGGAAATGACTTTGGACGATTACATTCATAGAGCCATTTTGTTCAGACTTAGATTGATGATATGGCATAGTGGTTTTATCAGTTCTTCTTTGCATTGCTTCATCATGAATGAAAATATTTCGTCTAGGCCAGATGAGGTTCTATTTTTAGTGCCAATGATGATTTTGATAAGCTCCCTGTCTGAAGTAAGTTGGAAGACAGGAAATGGATGGTCAACTTTCCACTTGTGCGATCAAACGTGATCAGTTCTCTCAGTCTGGATCTTCATCAGTGTTTCTTCTGTGTTTGAGGTGTAATGGCATTAAACTCACTGGAAAGAACAATAGGGTCATGATGATTTTCGATCCAATGGTAAGACTTGTTGTGATTGACTGACTTCTTTTTTGTTGTCTTTCACTATTGATAACATTCCAGATGGCTCTGCTAGTATTTTTGGCCTCCGAGATGTACTTGGCACTCGCTTCCTTTCTTAGTTCTCTCAGTTTTAGGTTTTAAGTCTTGACTTCTTGAGCTCATTCATCATTACCTTATCTTCTCTTCTTTCGCTTAAGATGTAGTTGTTTTGCGTTTTGAGATACCGTGCCTTTACACAATTAGCTTCTCCATGGTATACCTACTTTTTGGGCGAATTTTCCTGAGTGAGCAAGATGAATTCAGAGCAAGTGTAACAATCAAAATGAATTTGTTGTAGGCTTCTTCGGCTGTATCAAACTTCAATACTTCTTCCCAGTCCTGTTCAGCCAGAGTATTTCAAAAGCAGATGTAGGTTCTCATGGTTTGTGTGTCTCTGGTTGTTGTTATGGTCAAATTTGTTTAAACAGTTGCAGGTCACTCCATCTAAGAACTCAGTGGACATGCAGAACATATCGATAGATGAAGAAGTATCCTTGGAAATACATGTTGGAGAAAGATCCAGCCTTTGGATGTTGTAGGTTACGAGGAGCTCACTTAGTTGTGCCCTCTCATTAGATGGTTTTAGAGAATCTACATTGAAATCTCCAATGATTACTGTGGTGTTGGCAGTTGTAGTCCACTTATCTAAGGCGCTGGAAAGAATCTGGAGAGCCAGTGAGAAAGATTCCTTGTCATGGTTTAAGATGAAGGGTTTTACACATTATCTTATCTGTCTAAAATATTCTTTAGTGAATTTTTCTTGTGAAAATATTCCAAATGTTGCCTATTAGTTGTGTTTAAAATTAGACAGACTGGACCTAATTAGGGTTTCTCGTTTTCAGTGAAGAGGCTCGAGTTGAAGCTGAAAATAAAGAAAAGAAGAAGCAAACACTTGATGAACGCCGAGAAAAGTTAAGACTAGTCCTGGAATCGGAACAAAAGTTGTTTGAAGACGAAATTAAGGTATGCAACATTTTTATTCAGTTTACATAGGTACCGAAAACTTAAATCATGAATTATATTGATATGGAGCTTTCTTGTTGTATAGGTACCTAAAAACGTGTTTTATGGATCAAGTTTACAAAATGAGATAAAAGCGGGGAAAAAACTATTACTATCTCAATTGCAAATATTATATACTAAAATTATAGATTATTTTGTCAACAATAAGATTTTTTCAATAGGCTACTCACTGAAAAATACAAGTCGTTCACTCCCATAAAACAGCAAATAAATACTACTTTGAGGCTAACTACTGTACATTTTTTATTGTTTACTATGAACAATGCCGTGTAACTTTTTTTATCAGTTCCATCAAGTATTTTGTTAGACCTGCTGTTGTTCTAAAATCAGTGTAATCAACTTTTTCCTGTTGGCCTACCACTGTTTTGCCCTCATCAAGTCTTGATACTTACTTACTTACTTGATACTTGTGTCCTTAATCCTTGACCGACAATGTCGGATAGATTGCGTCAGAGGCATATTAACATACTATTTAATTACATATTATTTAAAACTAATATTTACAAACTTCTTACTAAACAAACTATTTATTTACTGGGCTGTGGTGATTTGATTTCCTAACTGATTTCCTACTGTAGTGCTGTTTTCAGCTAACTTTTAGTGGCACTTCCCTTAATTCCTCTAAAGAGTAGAGGGGTCTATTAACCAGATGGCCCTGCAGTACTGCCCTGAAATTAGTCTTGTCTAACTCTCTCACTCTTTTTGGCAGCGTATTAAAGATCTTGATTGCTGAGCGAGGGTAACTTTTGATGGAGTGGCTAAGCCTACACCGCGGCAGATCAAGGTCCTGGGCCTTTCGAGTGTTGTGGCTATGCTGGCTTTCTCTCATATCAAAAAGGTGGAGGTTGTCTTTTAGGAGTAGCAAACTGCTTAGGACATATTGGCTGTGCACTGTTAGTATTCCTTGCTCCATGAAGAGAGGCCTACAGTGTTCATCAAAGTCTGAGGATGTTATAATTCTTACAGCCTTCTTCTGTAAGAGGAGAATGTCCTGAGTTAGTGGTGCGTGTCCCCACATCGCTATGCCATAGGTGACATGGCTATGGAAAAGAGCATGGTACACATTTAGTAGATAGGGCTTTGTGATGACGTAACGGAGCTTCCTCAAAAGACATAGTACTCTGGAGAGTTTAGTATATACCTTATCTATGTGTGTATTCCAACTTAGCTTGGGGTCAAGCCAAAACCCAAGAAGTTTCACAGCTTCGTCTTTATGTGGATCAAACTTTAGGGTGCACAGCAGCGATTGGGTTTTGTCCTCATTTAGCTTGAATCGGTTCATGCTGAACCAGTCTTTGGCCCGTTCCAGTAGGTGGTCAGTCTCCGTCCGAACCTGTCCAATGTCCTTCCCCTGTGAAATGAGGGTGGTGTTGTCTGCAAATAAGATGGTGGATCCATTAAGCCACAAGTCCTTAATCATCAAGCTGAAGAGGATTGGGCCTAGCACCGAGCCCTGAGGTACTCCGTGTGGGATGTCTCTAATACAAGAGGAAGCACCATTTAGGGAGACAACCTGCTTGCGGTCGGCCAGGTAGCAGGACAAGGTGTCAAGGACAGCACCTCCAACTCCATACTTCCTAAGTTTTGCTATTAGCAGATCATGACTCACGACATCGAAGGCCTTGCTGAGGTCGCAGAGTCTCAGAAAGACTGACTCGCTGTGTTCAAAGGCTTCCGTGATTTTCTCAACAAGAAACGTCAATGCAGTGGTCGTAGAACGTCCGCTCCTAAAACCGTGTTGAGCCTCAGAAAGTAAGTTATTATTTTCAAGGTAGGCCATCAGTTGGTGTTGTATTAAGTATGTTCTTTTAGTCATATGATTTATTTGTGTTTAAATATCTTTTGTTTACAGATGATTTTTGTAAACATGTTTTGGTAAACATTAGTTTAGTTGGAAATAGAGTTTGTTGAAACAAGATGTGTGTTTAATATTCTTGTATTAGAAATAGAACATGGTGGCAGCTTAGTGGATTTTTATCGAACTGAAAGTCTAAAACCACGCATAATGTCAAGTAAGGGCAGAAAAAAACGAAATACTCGGAGGCAAAGGTATGAGGATAACGGTGAGGACGACACCCAAAGTGAACTCAACTACGTTTCAGAAAGGGACTCTAGAAAGACTAAAGATGAGTCACGAGGTTTTGCATTGGGACATAAGAACCGAGAAAATGATGCAGCTATGTATACTCCTACTCCGATGGTCAATATCACTTTACCAACTCCAGAAACGTTCTCTTTTACTCCGAATGAGTGGCATTCCTGGAGGAATCGCTTTCAAAGGTACAGACGGGGTTGCGGTCTGGATAGCACTTCCGACGCTCGGCAAATCGATGTACTTTTGTTTGTAATGGGTAGTAGAAGTGAAGATATTTTCGATTCGTTTTCACCAAAACCTAATACTTATGACGAGGCTCTTAGGGCCTTTGATGAATACTTTGTGCCAAGACGGAATATAATTTATGAGAGATCAAAATTTTTGAGACACAAGCAAGGGAGTGATCCATCTGAAAAATTTATAACAGATTTGCATTGCCTTGCGAAAACGTGTGCATGGGGTGAACTAAATGATGAGATGATGCTTCTCGTCCTCATTATTGGTATGCAAGATGAGGGTCTGAGTGATAGACTCCAGCTGGAATCTCAATTGACTCTGGAGAAAGCAATTAATACCTTGCGCCAACATGAGGAGCTAGAACGCCAAAAACGTGAACTTGCCAATAGTAATGTTTTTTTGGTAAATAAAATGTCAGTTCAAAACGGTAAACCGAATTGACAGAAGAAGTGGAAGCCTTCGTCCATGAAATCAGTATGATTAGAATAAACACTACAGATGAAAATGTGACAAAAGTACTTCACTCACAAATGAGGGATCCAATATGTGCACAACTCAAGCTAAAAATTTTAGACGAATGGCCTGGAAAATCAAGTTTACCTAATGAGATTCAAGAATACTTTAACGTGAAAGACGAGTTAAGTTGTATTGATGGGTTATTGCTTCGAGGAACTCGGATGATAATACCTCATGAACTACGAGCGGAAATGCTTGAGAGGCTTCACAGTGGACACTTGGGAATCACAAAAACAAGGAAACGTGCTTTGGAAACCATGTGGTGGCCTGGAATTTCTCAAGAAATAGAAAGAAAAAGCAAATCGTGTCCAGTGTGTATTCAGAACTCAACTAATCACAGTGAACCATTGATTCCAGAACTTATGTTTGGAGGGAAAATAAGAGACAATCTTCCATCTACTTTGGTTGGAAATCCTGTGGAAAATAAAGACTTTTTTGAGAGGGAGAATAAGTACCAGTCGAAGTATAAGATGCAATTTGATAAACGACATGGAACGAGGGGTTTAAGTGAATTAGAAGATGGAAGCATGGTATGGATCACAGATCTACGTAGACATGGTAAAGTAGTCAGGAAATTGAACGAACCACGTTCCTACCTTGTGGACATTGACAAGAAAACCATTCGACGAAACCAGAAGTTCTTAGTTCCTGCACCATACTACGGAGAAGATTGCATTCTTTCAAACTGTTCATCTACGGTCCTTAATTGTCCATCTAACTCACGTGATCGTCCAGACGCTGGCACAGTTACCCATTACGGAAGGTCCATCAAGATACCGAGGCGGTACCGAGCTTCATGAAGATGTAGACATCTTGAGGCGGGATGTTGTATTAAGTATGTTCTTTTAGTCATATGATTTATTTGTGTTTAAATATCTTTTGTTTACAGATGATTTTTGTAAACATGTTTTGGTAAACATTAGTTTAGTTGGAAATAGAGTTTGTTGAAACAAGATGTGTGTTTAATATTCTTGTATTAGAAATAGAACAGTTGGATTTTCATAACGGTCTCAAGGATCTTGGAGAAAACTGGTAATATGGAGATTGGCCTATAATTGGACAGCAAAGATGGGTCACCCTTTTTGAAAATTGGGATAGTTCTAGCTATTTTAAGACTGTTCGGAAAAATACTATTGCTTAGACATAAATTTATCAGGAAAGTTAGTGGTTTTTCTATTTCATTTATTGTACTTTTAAGTATGGAGGTTGACAATCCATTAATATCTTGGCAAGTTGAGTCTTTAAAGCCTTTGACTATGCTAGTAATTTGTTTTTCACTCACCTTGTTCCAATGTGTTAGTGTATGGTTTGAGGAAAAATCGTCAAGTTGGTGTAGGGGGTCCTGATGCTGTAACAAAGGTAAATCAGAGATTATGTCATCCGCAACTTTAACAAAGAAGTTGTTAAATTCGTCAGGTGACGCTACAGCAATGGGGCCAGGAGTTTGCTTGCGGTGCTCATTAACAATCCCCACACGGCTTTACAGGCATTAGTAGATTCTGAGATCACTTTAACATTGTGTGCCTTCTTTGCATTTCTAACTTCAGAACTATAGTGCTGTTTTATTTTAGTATAGAGTAGGAAGTAGCGAGCTTTTTGATTATCATCATTGGCAAGTTTATAATGATCATGAACTAGGATCATATGAGAGCGTGTAGCTGCAAGTTGAGGGGTATACCATGACTTATTGCTATTTAGGGGCTTAGGTTTGTTAGAGGTTGATTTGAATTTACAAACTTTTAACGGAAAGATCTCATCAAATTTATCTTGGTACACTTTAGAAAAGACAGAAAAAGCAGATTCGGCATGTTGAATATGTTGGATTGAGTCACAGTTTACTTTCCCTAGCTCTTTGCACAAAGTAGGCAGGTTGGTCTTATCTATAACTCTTTTTTTAATTAGATAATTATCACACCATGCAGGTTGGGTCCTTACCTGGTCTGCTACCAATGACATGAGCACAGCTCCGTCGTGATCCGCCACCATTGATTTAACCACCTCAGTCCTATGGTCCCAGGAGTTTGTGTTGGTAGCTATAGCGTCCAGACAAGCACTTCTTCTGGTCGGAGCCCTCGAGGTTATGTGGAGATCAAAACTTCTTATAAGTTCACAAAGATAGAGTTTACTAAGATAGTCAAGACACAAATCCAGCTGTGTTATAAATGTTTCAAAGGGGCCATCAGGTGACCTATACACAGACAGCAACGTTGTCGAGATGTCAATTATTTCCACAGCGGTTGCTTCAAAGGCAAGTTCAATGCAAAAAGTGTTTAAATCAATATATTTACATGTGAAATTGGATGTTGCATAAATAGCCACACCACCATTTCTATGGTCCTCACGGAAATAAGCACTAACTTGTTGTAGGGAAGCTATATAAAAGGTTGATTCTCCAGCGTTCAACCAATGTTCCGAGATACACAGAATGTCACAGTTGTTTTCCTCCACAAATAAGGACAAGAGCTCAGCTTTAGTTCTAAGACATTGAACATTTAAGGCAGCTATATTTACAGTCACTGATTTTACAGCAGGCTTATTTACACTAACAGGCTTATTAGCACTAACTTGCAATGGTCTAGGCCTAGTCACTGGCAGGTTTAGGTTTAGCCTATCTGAGATGTCAGATTGGGGAGCAAGTGAACCTAAGACCAGTCTCCTTGGCCACTATTTCACCACAGTTCGATAAAAGGTTCTGCCTAAAAAAGAAGACTTATCACTATTTTCACGTCTGGATGGGAGGTAGGTTCTTACTAATATTCCAGCAGGCCATAGGTTTGGGTCACGGATTTTAGATTCAAGGTCCGCAGGAACACACACTTTGAATGACTTGTAGTCTTTAAAACGGGTCTTGAGTTCATAACACTCACTGTCAGTTATGCCATTGTCGTTTAGCAGGCAAGAAAGCTCTTCACTTGTAGCGTTGGAATTTACTCTTGAAACAAAGAACAGGGATTTTCTGCGGGCTGCTTTCAGTTTGTTTGAGACACCACTTCCAACTATGACGTCATTGTATTTTGTCTTGCTGGTGTGAAAATCAAATCAGTGTTGTTTGACTTGGTTTTAAGAACATCAGAGTAGCTTTTCGGGTATTTGGATATATTCGATACTTTGCTTGTATTAAGATAAGAAGTACTATTTTCCTTTAAAGGTTGAGATGGTGTATATAGAGAAATTTGATAATAAGCAGTTTCGTTAAGTTCACTTTTCTTCTGTACCGAAACTAGCGTCAATTCCAGCAGTCCATTTCCATTCCTTGATTCTTCATTTTGATTAGTCATCTCTGTAGTTTCAGTTACATCCACTGCCTTCTGTATTTCATGTGTTTTTTTGCCAGCCAATGAGGGTTGGATTATAACAGCGTCATCATTCGATGTCGTCATTGACATTGATACGTCATTACTCATATGTGTGCTGGGGAGGGGAGACATGTTAGGTTTTGAATTGTTATCCCCTTCAGAGGTTATATTGTTAGCCACAATATCTTTGTTCACAATTTGCTTTATTGCTACTTTGGTTTTTATGCTGCTATGATTAATCAGTAAATTTAGTGTTTTTCCAGTCCTAAGCCAATCTTGTAAAGGATGAAACTTGTGATTTAATATCAAGTAACTCACGAGTTAGCTCCGATTCCGCATTGGTTCGGGAGATGTAGTTCCTCAGTTTGACGTCACAGACCGGGCAAAACCACTTCATAAAATCTTCCACCTTCTGTATTTCACTATATTTTTTTACAGTTATGTTCACACATTTGGCGTGGTGCCAGGAGTGACACATTCCATTACAGAAAATCGCTCTGTCATTATCTAAACACCGTTTGTCGCAGACCGGGCACTCTACCACGTCCTTCACGTCCGCCATCGCCACAGCCATCAGTTACAATAATCATGGTTATATAACAGCTGTGACATTAGTAGGAAGAAACTTCATCATTAAATGTCACCATGATGCAATGTTATATAGGGTAGGCCTGCTGCAGTGGAATTGTGCACTGAAAATCAGAAAATAGTTTTTTGGAGTAACGTTTTTGTTTGGAATATTTTTTTTATTTTAAAAACAGTTCCATACATTTTGAGCCTTTTCCCAAGCTAATTTCTAGAACCAAACTGAGCCAGTAACAGACTGAATTTAATATTCTTGATGTCCTAGGTTTAGTAGATTTATCCTAACCAAATGTGAAAACTTTAGATCTCAAGAGGTGTTACTAGAGGACAGCAAAGTTGCACATTCTCCTAACTTGTCCTTTGCTACTGAATCCAAATTTGAAGCTAAAGTTATCAGTACTTTATAATTTATGCCCAACATGTAATGTCAGCTTAAAACCATAAATAATTCCCACTATGGGAAGTTCGCTAAAATTAAAATGCTATAAATTACCATCTCTAAGATATCATTGAAATTGCCTTTTATGTACTATTACGGTCACCTGATCAAATGAAAACTACATTTACTTTGAACTTTTTATTCGATTTTACAAGTAGGCCTACTGAAAATTTACACCTGTTCACAATTTTGTTGACAAAAATGTTGACAGATCACAAAAAATGTTGACAAAACCATAAACAAATTTGCCATAGAACATTTTGCTTTTGATTTGTTTACTGCCTGCCATAAAACTGTCAGTACTTTCCATTTTTGCTGAAAAAATTTCAAATCTGTTTAATTTTTTCAAAACGCTAACATCTTTTCCTTAACTCTTTTAATAAACTTATTTTTATGATTCACCTGCATGAATACAAAACATAGCTTGGAATATTTTACATCGGTTTAGTATCTTTGTTTGAGACGTAGACAAAAGAGTACTGAGTGGTTCACAAACAAACTTATTTTATTTTGTGTTAAACAAAGGGAGCAGGGTCAGATAATTAGACTAAAACAGAGATAGGAATGTAAACTGTGAAGTATGACGAGCCGGCAAAGTGTTTCCTGGAAAGTGGACGGATGAATAATTCTATATATGTTTTCAGACAGCACACAATGAGTATATGTACACTATAAACAAATTCCAATATTCCAAACTTGTTAAGGCTGTCTAAATGATCAGTGACAGGATTTGCAAGATTGTTCTGTAATCTTGATATATGTGGTATTTGCAGACTAAAAGACACGGTGGTGCCAGCTGGATGCCCCTAGATGAGCTAAAAGGTGTGAATCTTGAGTTGAAGCTCCGATCCGAACAAGCTCGGAGAAGGGAAGCGGAATTAATTCAGTATCAGCGTTGGAAACAAGAACAACCAACACTGAGAGATGTATGTATTTCTCCCAGTTTGGTTAATTTATCAGGTGTTGCCAGTGTATCAATATTGGTTAATTTTGGTGACAATTTGTAGTATTCTTTAGCTATATTTCTTTTTTCTTTTATCCTCCCATGTCTACATAAAGATTTTTTTAAGAGGTCGGCAGCCTCTTTTAACCTTGCATTTGCCCATCCACATAGGCTATGAGCCCGTGTGTGGAACATATCCAGCAAAGCAAGGTTTGAGCCACTACAATACAAGGATGAACTGTACTGGTAAAATGTTTGTGGCATTGACCAAGATACGAACCCACAACATCGCTGCCTTGAGCACGAAGTCTGTGACGCTACTGACTGAGCCACCGACTCACCAAATTATCAATTTATTAGTCAATTATCATTTTATTAGATCAATATTAGGCCTATTGGCTGGTGCCAGAGAAGTGGGTTAATTACTCTGAATCTTGAACATTTGAATATTTGTTTGTTCTCCGAGTTTAGTTTATACACCAACAATTTATAAATCCACTAAATCCAGTAACTGTTGGTAGTGGTAGTGTAATTTGGAAATGATTTATAGTATGAATCTAAGACAAAATTATGTAATCCTAAGAAAGTTTAGAATTAACCTGTCTTAATTGATTTTAAGTGACTGCTGATTCCAAATGTGTTTAATTTAGGATTGTTCAGATTACTAAATTGTCCTAATTAAATTTCGTACAGATGACTTTGTTTTTTTATTTACCTAGGGTTTCTTGTATTAGCCTTTTTAAAAAAAAGAAGTAGGGATTAAATAATACCTGACCAAAACTATTTGCTTGGAATAGGCTATTTTCCTAATCCAAAATACTTTCCTGTGAAAACTCTTTGAAACGCATACTCCAAATAACTAAGGATTGTACCAATAAGTTATTTTTAATTTGATTTAAGTAAAGTTAAAATGTATTGAGTCATAGGTCATCTATTTAAATGGGCCATTCATTGTTATAGCTGGAAAGAAGGCAACATCTCGAGTTTATGAAAAAATCTTGGATAGATCAAGTAAAAGAACGAGAGGTTTTGAGAGAAAAACAAAAAGCAGAGGCAGCTCTACGTGCTAAGGAAGAAGAGCTTAAACAAAAAGAAGCAGAAGAGTTTGATAGATTGCATTTAAAAAGAAAGGAAGAAGAGTTAAAAGATCTTAAATCTCAAATCAAAAGACAATTGGAAGAAATAAAGTAAGTATTGATTCTTGGTGTCAGAAAACAAAAATGTTAAATCAATGATCTTGTTTTGTTTAACCCTAATAATCAGGTTAATATTCTAGAAATCATACTATGATAAATACATTTCATGTTACCAACCAACAGGCTGACTAACTTGTATTTTTAGGGAAAAGATTATAGATTGTGTCAGTTTGGATGGTGTGTGAAAGTAATGACGGAAAGTATCTCAACACTGAGGGTCACACCAGTGGTAATAAATTTATCCCGTGACAATTACTTTGTACACAAAAACAAAAGTGATGGTGCTTGGGGAATGGTTCCTGTGTGCATGTGCATCCCACTCACCACAATGTATATTAACAATTCACTTTTCATTCATTAATTTCTTCATGTCATAAAGATGGCCATGTTAGCATAGCCCTACTGCAATGTACCAACATACTGGTAAACTAGTTGGAACTGTGATATTGTTTTATTATGATGTGTCTGTTTTTATTTTGAACAATGACAATACCATTGTTTTAGGGCAAGTGCTGAGAAGTGTAAAGAAATTGAAAGACAAGAGGCTGAAGAAAGAAGGCTTCAAGCAGAAATAGAAGAGATGATCATCCAACGGAAGTTAGCTGATCAGAAACAAGCACATAAGCAACTAGCGTAAGTTGGATGTATCACATTACCTTTTCACAGCTTAATACCCCTTGTGCCTTGTGCCAGTGTATATGGGACATATCTAACTGTAAGATGAAATAAATTGATCCCAAAATGGTTTCTTAGTAGCCTATCTATCAAATTTCAAATCTCATTCAATTGCATTATGGATTAGAGGTTTGAATTGGACTCATGATATTTTATTATGTATAGTAACTTACGAAACTAGAAAATGTGAATCGAGATATTGGAGAGACGATTTTGAGTTTGGCTCGTCACTTCATTACTTGTGTTTATTAAATCGTAGCATGATTTAATAAACTAATAATTTTGCATGAAATCGGATGTGGTTGGTACCAATAGAAAGATTTTGTTCTGGAGTTTGTTTTTTTTGCTATTTTTTTTCTTTCAACGCCAGTGGCATTTTACGAGAGAGTTAGTTACAGGAGTGAAATGTTTAGTGGATGTGCCGGGGATTGAACCCGTCCCTCCCGCACCGAAGTCCGAGACGCTAACCACTAGGCTAGCAACACAACCATTTTCATTAAATAACTTCTTGATCAGCATTGTACGTGTTATTAAATTTACGGAAAGTAAATAAAAGATACACCTTATAACACTTAAAACATAAATTTAAGCTTATACTGTTACTCACAAGACGGTAAATATACAAAAAAGATGGTAAGTGGTGATCGATTTCGTTTGGAAACTCCAATCATCATCAGACCCAATAGGCGAAAATCACCACTTACCATCTTTTTTCTATATATACCGTCTTGTGAGTAACAGTATAAGCATAAAAATATGTTTGAAGTGTTATAAGACGTATTCCGTTTATTTTCATATCAAGAACCATGTGATTATAATGTCAGACAACTTGGGAAATAATATTTAGAAACCAGCTGTAGGCAATGACTAATAAATAAATAAAGAATTTTGTTAACGTGATCTAATTTATATTGATTTGTAGTCAGAAATAAAAACGCACAATTTTAAATACACTGGTGTTGTTGGGTCAGCGTAAATAAGCTGTTTTGTTACGACTATCACCCACTGCCAACTTCACAATACCAAATACTCTACGATTCCCTCAATGTTTATTGCTTTTTGTCAAATAAGTCCAGAACTTAATAGATCCTCAAGTTTCACAGATAGATCCGTGACTCAGCAAGACGATTTAGATCTTATTTGAGTCCTCGATTCAATAAGTCCAGAACCTATAGATCAGGAGCTCGGGAACTGGCCCATAGGGTTACAATTTGTAGTTCTAATATTTAGGATTGATCTCAAATGTCCATTTAACTAGGTAGATCAGTATTTAGATGACTCAGCCATTAGTTTTGAGTTTATTGTCTCAGACTCAGATTATAATTACAACAATGCTAATAACTATATTAGCTTACCTTCAACAAGTGATCATCTGTGACGCCTAGCGGCACGCTATATTTTATATAGTGTCAGAGGTTCGCGAGGCAGGGGGGCATGTCGAGCTCGTCAGCCCAACGCGAGCTAGCGAACCCTTCCCCCCACCTACTTTTCCAAGTAGGTGGGGGGTACCATCTGCAAGCCTTCAATACATGGATGAGTCTAGAATCTAGATTTTAATTATATAGGGTTATCAATTAGAAATGTCAGGCTAGTTAGCAAAATCAATGACCTGCCGTGCATGTAAATATATAACGAAATAAACTTGTTAATATTGAATATAATATAAGTATCGGAAAAATAAACTTAACATGTAAAACTTAACATGTAAACTTTAATATAACAACTATATTAAACTATGCATAAATAAACATAAATAGTAGAAATAATATAAATACAATGTGTGCAGCTCTGTGTTAATGTAGTTTCCTAATGAAAATTAAAACCTATTAAATAATGAACCATTAATTCTATGATTTCGATGTATGATATAGACTGATAAAAAAATGTGAAGATGATTCAATGTTTACTATGACGACGGGTTGAAACTACCCGTTGGGTAGTTGAGCTATCGCGTCATGTCTCATGTCTTTACCAGGAATTCCTCCCTTCCACAGTTTACATGTTAAGTTTATTTTGCCGATACTTATATTATATTCAATATTAACATGGATTTTGGGATCTACACTACTTTGTTTTTTGTTTATAGCTCACAAACCGTAAACATTGTCCAATTTTGATGGGACAAAAACGGAAATGTTTGTTAAATCGACGTTATTAATGTAAAAGACTAAATTTATACATCGGTTTTTAGCTTTGTTAATGACAATTATGGAACTAGAGCGTTCACGGAAGTGTCACTAATCGGATTATAAAGGGTCGGGCGGGACCGGCCAGTAATGACCCTGCCCGTACGTCTGGGCTGCCTCAACTTAGGGTGGCGAGACCTATATCATCTCTCTGACTGACACTCTAAAATATTGAATAAAATAGGCCTACTATAATTTCCTCTAAATAAATAAATGATACCTTATTTGCAAATCACTATTGATACTATTAATTAATTAAACGCAAATGAATACCTGTTTAGTTCTACAAATAATTAATAACTAATTACTAGAATACTAATAAAACGTTAATTCAACACCAACAGATTATGTATCTTCCATTAAATAAAATAAACTGTAAGAGAAAACAATACTTACACTTCTTCTCCTTTTCCACTTGCCTTGTAGGAATCTTTTATGAGATGTGTAGCAGTTTCATTAAACTGCTCACATAGATGACAGACAGTGTTACTGCCAAGTGTGACAGTCTGTAAGTCCTTTCTGAAATAGCCCTGTCCAGTTAAGAGTGATACAGCCAATCTTTTGTCTTTCCTTTTCAGAATGAGTAGTGATTTTGATAAAGCAGTTATACTTTATTATTCAAAGTTTGCTGTGCCAACAATTATTATTCTTATAAATAATTGGTCTTTTGATTGTGAAGTATTTCAGGTGGATACAAAAGCCCATGGGTTATTTGCTATGTTCCTCCCATGATCACTTTTTATTGTGTCTCCCCTTCTGTCAGCAGACTTCTCATTCCCCTCTATAGGGGTCTACACTATGGGTCCCCAAAATTATTCGGTCCAACAGTTGGCTTGGTTCAAATTGGAAATTGCTTTTGAGCTAAGTTCTGGCCTGGTAATGGATTAGAGGTGTGCTGTTTGCAGGCGCTAAATTTTCGATTGCAGAAAGCGTCTCTGAAAATACACGAGAGATGTTCACGATTTTGCTTTGATCGCAGGAGACATTCGAGATTTTACCATGACTCCAGGAGACGCTCACAATTTCCCTTGACCACGGGAAAGATTCACTATTTCACCATGACCACAGGAGACGCTCACGATTTGCCTGTGACCTCCGGAGATCCACAAAATATCAATAATGTACAAGTTGTGTAAAAAAAGTCTGGCCCTCAGACCCTTACTTTGATATACTTTCGAGCAAAAATCCACTTCATCATCACACAATTGTTTGCTGGGAGTTGGAGTACCTGAGCATATTCCCATGCCACTTTTGAAATTATCTGCTACTGCTATACTATTTGGGGCGTGGAGGTAACATTTTTAATCCATCCTCAGGAAGGTTAACTTAACTTTTGAGTGGAAATGGATTGGACTTTTATCTGCTAAAGTACATCAAACGTCATTTAGTACACACCTGATATACTTTTTTTGTTTAATTTTTAGGGCTTTCTGGACTCGGCAGTATCAACTGAAGCTGCAAAAGAAAAACAAAGAGATAGAAGAAGAAATCATACAGGATCAAAAAATGTTAGAACGACTTGAAGAAGGGTTGAAACGTGAAGTAAAAGTGAAAGCTCATGCCAGAGAATTTGCCAAAAAAGAAATGGAACTTGCTCTGAAAGAACTTCAAATGCATAGGCAAAGAGAGCTTCTAAGACAAAAAGAATATGAACACATGTATTTGTGAGTATATGGTTTTTTTCATGTATAACTCAACAGCTGTTGTAATTTATTCTCTCCAGTGTCTTGCTGTGAAAGTTTTGTATTCGAGTACCAACTTCTCGACTATTTTCACCACGACTAGTGGTACTAAATTTTTAACATAAGTGTGCCAAGCCTGAAGCGGATAATAATATTAGTACTGGATTTTTATACCCATTATAAATCAAACCAGTTGACATGAATTAGTATCCAGGCTGTTACATATTCTGCTGTATCATTCACTTTTGTGTTTACTTTATAACATATAACACCTGTTGGTCTAATAATGTTCGTGTAGGCTTATCTAAAAAGTTATTGTTATTGCAGTGAAGAGGCAAAACGAGCCTGGGAGATTCAAGAAAAGAAATGGATGCAAGAGCGTCAAGCCAGGGACCGCTTAATGACCGAGGTCTTGGACACAGTAAAGAAACAGGTATACTTACCCTCTAAATCTTTGACCTCTTTCTACTACTTCTAATAATGTTACAACACAGTTTCTTAAAATAAAAAAATTAATACTGTAGCTCATTATACAATTTAAAATACTGCTGTCAAAGTTGAAAACAAGTTGAAATGTTAAAAAATTGTTGTTTGAAAAGTTATTAGATATTTTAAAGCTTTAATGGACGCTCATTTTAAGAACTAATAAATAGTACTCCACAAAAAAAAAAAGTTTGATTACTTTCCTGCACAAACAAAACCACAATCCAACGCATGTCTCTCAATGGCGGAAACAATGTCGTCGTGCCGCCCTATTCTCGCCGGCCTTCGAGCAGGACAAGCTCCCAAAATATGACCAAGGGTTTCAGGTGCTGAACAACATCGAGGGCACGTTGTATCCGTATCACTCTGCCTAGCCATGTACTCCTTGGTAGGTCTGTTAGCAAGCTCAAATGCATGAACCCTAACAGAGTCCGTGACCCTGCCGATGAAGGCTTCCAGCCACTCCCGTCCCAAGATTGGTTCTTCGAGTCACTTTTCATGCAGTTTCCTAGCAAGGTCTCCAAGCCAAGAAGCTTGTGGATCTTCAGTCCAGTTAGCCTGAAAAGTAGCTGGGTCCTCAGCTGTGTCCCAGATACTGCCACCCTCTGCAAGATCACCCTTTGGGCCTCCTGGGACAGCTGTGACTGTCTCAAGCTCTTCCTCCAAGGTTTCCTCCGCCCTCTGTGGCTGAAAATTCACATCCTCAATGTCAATTTCTTCCCCATAGGCGGCTACTCCTCCTTCGTGCCTTGCCAGGATTCCACTGGACAAGAGTAGTCTGATGTTCTCCCGAATTTGGGCTGGAGTCTTTTCGGGAAGTAGGTCGAGAAAATTGGCCTTATATCTGGATCCCCTTATCAGATGCTTGTTCTGAATTAAAATGTTGACTTCATCCTCGCCCCAGACAGCCCCTCGCTGACCACTTCCAGGTCCTCTAACATCCAATGCTCCATCCTCATGATGTTGGAAGTAGACTTCCAGATGCCTATGTCAGATGTGTTGGCCTCGTCCACGCTCAGAATCAAACTGGGCCTCACAAAATTGGCAAGGAAACGGTTTTTGTGTTGGGGCCTCCCCTGTGCAACGAGGAGTGTGACATGCAGCCACATGTGGCCCATTGAATATCCACTGGCATCCTGAGCACTTAAAAGTGATTGGTCTGTCCCCGTACATAGCTCAATGATGCTTCATGAGCGGACCAGGTCTTTGAAGCCAGCTCGGGCAGAACTTACATCTGCAAGGGGCCCAAGGGATTGAATAAGCCTCCTCAACCACCTGAGGACTGAGGGCCAATCCGATGAATGGTTGACCAGGCTCAGGGGATACAGGATTAGTTCCCATAATCGGTCCTTCTTCTGCTCTCCTTCAGAGCTATAGAGTAAGCCGGACAAACGTTGCTGGTGATATTATGATCATTCGGGCGCTTTGCCCTCTTACAGGGCGCACATGTCGGGTTCCGGGCCTTGTTAGGGCACTCTCTAAACTCATGACCTTCGGCACAGTGACCACAAGTAGGGGATGACGCATTGCAATGTTTCGCCACGTGTCCATAGCTTTGGCATCTATAGCAGCGCGTTGCCTCGGTGTATTCTTTGACTCGACAAGACTCGAATCCTACAAACAGCCTTTTTTTTCCTGCCAATGCCCTGAAGCAGGGAACGCTGAGCTCAACTACCCAATTTTCCTTGCCTTCCCTCCTGGATTTCAGTTTCTTAACGACTACGAAACCTATCCTGAACTGGTCCAACTCCATTCCTTCCACATTTTGGTGGAAGATGTTAAGGAATGCCTCTTCCGCGTTGCCATCCTTGTTGGGGATGTCATAAACCAGAATTTTTTACTTTCTGCCCTCCGGCCTCCGTGATGTGAGGCCAGCCGCAGAGATTGCCCTGTTATTAAGAATTTTCGTAGCGCTGCTTTTGTCCGCAGCCTCAACAATTACGGAACCCTTCCTTCCAGATTGAATCCTCGTTATCTTGATGTTATCTTCCCTTGGGTTCAGGGCCGTCGCGATCGTCTTCCTGGTGCCTTCTGAGGTTAAAGCCGGCTTACCCTGTTCATCTGTCCCTGGCCTTATTAAGATGGCTGGTCCTTGCGGCTTGTTTGGCCTTAGTAGCTTCCGCAAACGACCTCGTATTCATGGGTGGCGTGCCCATGGGAAGCGATCCAGTTAATTTCTTCATTTCAGCCTCAATTGAGGCCCTCCCATCAACTAGGCCGCAAAGGTAGGCTATTTCGTTGGGCTGCCGGTTCATGATGGCTGACATAAAATTGAGTCTCTCCATGATGGCCGCTTTCTTGGGTGCAGTCAATTTCTCACAGTGAAACACGATGTCTCTGGCAGCTCCCTCAAAGGACGGTTGCTCACCTGGCCCTCCGGTATACCTAAAGTCATCGAGAGGTTCTTCGTCATTCTTCTTCTTCCTCTTCGTCATTCTTCCTCTTCCTCTTTGTCATTCTTCCTCTTCCTCTTCGTCATTCTTCCTCTTCCTCTTCGTACTGGAGCTCTCACTTAGTGCCCTCTGACTTGAAATGGTGGCCAAGCCAGCCTGCCACAACCTTGCTCTAGCCTCTTCTTGCTGTAGACGCCTTACTTCGTCCTCGGCTTCCTTGGCTTCACGATTGGTTCTTTCAAGATTCTCCGCGAGAAGAGCCGCCTCCGCCGATTTCCTGGCCACCAAGTCAGCAGCGTCGTTGAGCGGTGAGCGTTGCTGTCCTGCCATCTCTGTGTCATCGTGGTGATGTTCTCCAGGAGTCCTGATGGGCGAGTAAGGGGGTGAGTGACTCAACCTAGATGATTTTGAGAAGAATTTCTGATAGTCATCTTTACCATCCTTAGACATCTCGGTCTGAGGCAGGGAGCCCCGGCCGAACCACGGGCGTGGCTTCCAACAAATGAAGTGGCGTGCTTTTCACTCCTAACAAACTTGCCAAGTGAAATCCAAAGAAATGTTTGAGATTGGGGCGATGTGGGTATACTATATTTTTTCCAGAACTTTTTCAGGCCAACTCCCCGTTAAAGTCACTGAGCCTTCCGATGACCCACCGTTGAAGTCTCTTTGAGTCCGATGCTTCAGTTTCTACAGCCGTTAAAGTCACCAAGGGAAATCCCTTCACTTTCTCCCTTTTATCCCTGAGGGGGGTCCTAGATCCCCGTGGGTGCCAAAAAAAGATCCCTCAGGGAAATTGTCCCCAGAGAAGGTGAAACTTGCCCAAAAATTACCCCTTTGGGTAATCCTCTTCTGATTCCTGTTATTGTTGAGAAGTGACCCAAACAAATCTTCTTATACTTCTCTCTGTTATTTTTTTTTCCTTAAAAATGGCGGGAATCTGTCTGGATATGAAAAAAATCGGATTCTCACTGGACTGAATGTCAAAAAAATTTTCCGTTGAGGAACTAACCGGAAATAACCTCAAAAACTGACATGTGCTCCAATGAATCAAAAAATTTATCTTAAGGTGCGATCCCACGGACCGATTTTCTTGAAATTTTGTGGGAAGCACCCTCACAGTGTCCTGCAACTTTGTGTGAAAGAAAATTTGATCTAGCTGTGATATTTCAAAGAAATCGGAGATCTTGTGTTATGTACTAATTTCCTTTTGCTGAAGCTAATTGTTGATGAAAAATGTTCAAATTTGGTGAAAAGGTGTCTTGCCAAGTCTATTTTATTTTCAACAAACAAAACAACTAATAGTAATTATAGATTCACGGAAATATTTTGAAAGTTTTTCCAAAAAAAAGTTTAACCTTTGGTGTATTTTTCGTGTAAAGGAGTTTTATTAAATATAACCTCTTATTTTGCAGCGATTTTCTACTGTATTAGTTATACATTGTTATGATGATTTTGTCTTACAAGCATGCTTAATATGTGCTTGTGCCGCGTCAGAGCCTATTAACCCATTCCTAAAAGATCCTTCCATTATGTTTTGATAAATCTGTCTCAATGTATAAGCCTAATTCACTTTTTGATATATGGCTTGTAATTGTAACTAAATTGTTAATCAATGACAAATTTGTTTAAATGGGCCTAATGTGCTGTTTGTTTTTTCTACTGTTTGTTAGTGATATAATGAATCATGGTTAAGTAGTTGTACATCATTTCACTCTTATTTAGGGAGGGTTTAGATTATATTATATAAGTGTCATGGGCTATATATAACTCATTGATTATACTCCTGTAGAGATGTATAGTTGATGCTGTAAGTTTTTGTCTCATGAATAATAATTCATTCTAAGGGAAATTTTTCTTTTCATGCGTTATGTGGCTCTTTGCAACTAATATTTTACACCCCCCCCCCCTCCCCCCCCCCAAATAAAACTGCACGATTCTACTGTTTTTAACATTCAGTTTTATTTTTCCCAATTCAGATAGAAGAGAAAATAGAGAGAAATATTGCTCAGAGAGCTGAAACTCTCGCTGATAGAGAGCAGATGATGATAGGCATCAATCGTCTGTACGATGAATGCAGCCTACGAGAGACGGAGATGAAACTGGCCCAGGAGCACTATCGCAAAGACTTGGATGATCAGGTATGGAGAAAAAAGTACCCCTTTATTCCATCGCTATGGCTCAAAGTAACTTTTTGACACTAGGTCAAGTTAATGAAAAATGGAAGAAAAGCCTGTCAGGTGATTATAACTATCTTATATAGATAAATACAGTACTCCTGTTTTAAATAGATGTTTACAAGGTTAACACAATATGTGAAATTATATTCATTTTACAGATTGCTCAAAAAACCATTGAAAAGGTAAAGAAAATGCAGGAGGAAACTGAATTTGAACAAAAACAAAGTCTGAACAAGAAGGAAGAAGAACAAAAGCTTGCAGCAGAATTGGAAAAACTGCAAATTGGCTTTGAAAAATACAAACCTCCGGTAAGTACATATCAGAATAATAAAAGTGTCGCCTCTCGACCACTGAGAACTCTTGTACATACTTTAATTCATCTTAGATTGTCAACATTCACCGTTCATTATATTATTACATAATCAACATGGATTATGTGTATGATATATTTTTTTCAATCAATACACATGTTATAGTTAGCACTTGAAACATCACTAAACTCTTTAACTAGGTAGATAATAGAGATAAAATATTGATCTACTTTTTGGTGCAATATAAGGCAAGCCTAACCCTATGACAATGTTAAAGTTGAATCTAATTGTTCTAATGATGCATAATGCAGGGATGAAACTGAACGTTTTGACGTATTCGTGTTATATTCAATTTAATTCAATTCAAATTGTCTTTATTCATAAAGCACATTAGGAATATATACATGAACAGTGTCACATTTTTAAATAATTAATTTATAATAAAATATACATGCTTATATTAAATAAGTGAAAATTTTTTAAATAACAAAGAACCAATAGAAAATGATATAAATAAAGTTAAATCATACATTGATTAGTAGGGAAAGATAAGTAAATTACAGTTCATCAAATGATTTAATCAAAGTCAAAGTCATCTTTATTGTTACATAACTTTTTAAAAGATACTAATCTTATTATATAAATAGCCCTACTAATAAGAAATTTCTCAAGTTTGTTTTTACGCTTTTTGATATTTACTTCTGGTTGTATGTCCTTCGGAAGTTTATTATTGAAATTCGGACAGGCGTATTTGGGTTTCTTTTCAAAAAGGTGCAATTTTTAATGACTTAATGCTAAGTTGCCTCGATTTCTTGCAAGATAATAATGTTTCTTTCCAACCAGCTCTATTTCATGAAATCTGTTTTTAACTGATATATTTTGTACTTAAAATAAAAATAATACATCTAAAATTATTGATTAGTGTACATTTTGCTCGAAATCGAGCAATTGCAAAGAATTAAAGTAGTTATTTAAAACAAATAACTTATTTAAAAACGAATAAAAGTCATAATTTCCGATGGTTGGATAAGAATAAACTCATAAATCACGTACCTAACAGTTCCACATAATCAAGATTTCTTGTAAATATTTTATCATTTTTCAAAAGCTGATCTGATTTTTTAGTGCATTCTACAAATGTTTCCCACTTATAGGTTGTCTATGTTGATCTTCGTCAATGATAATGTAGTCTGCATGGTACCCATTGTCGCCAGTACATTTTTGCAGTAAATTTCACTAATTTTTTTAAAGCGATAACATTTTGTTTACATTACTTAAGAACTACATGATTTTCTGCATAACCTCTCTGTCACAATTTTATTTGCTTAGATTTTCATTAATTTGGCTAGTTACTGTTATAACATAAATGCTATTTACCTGAAAAATTGCAGGATTGAAGGCCTAATGTTGTTCAGATGGTATTTTTTTCTCTTAAATGTGAATAATAATGGGAATAATTCTAATCCTTCAATGAAAGTTTTATTAAGGTTTCTTGGATGTAGTCATATTATTTTTAAATCACTTGACTTTTATGAAAACATATATTTAATGTCCTTGCCGTACCAGTTTAATTCGGCCTTAGAGGGGTTTCTTTGCCAATCATCATAAAGTTAAGTCTGTGTTTCCTACAAAATAGTAGCACTTCGGCTAACATCCTTGTTCATTGTTTGTGGGAATCTTCATATTGTAGGTGTTCTTCATTATACAGGGTGGTAAAAAAGTCCCAGGACAGTTAAATATTTTAAAAAATAATGTAGATAGAGCTACAATACTTGGTACAAAGTTACAGGGCATAAAACTCTATTTTAACACATATTCAGTGATCCAATAACTCTTCAGGGAGACGGCCCACAAGGAGTCGGAAGCATAGGTCAATATGCACATCAAATTAAAGCGCTTTTTTAGTAGAATACAATACCGCAAACCGCACTTCAAAAGGTTGATCCTGCGTAAAATGGCAGATGTTCAAAGATTTCTTGAATCCGCCATTTTGAATCTTTGAACGACTGCCATTTTTTACTCAGGCATTCTTTTGAGCTTGAATTTACGGCATCGTAATCTACTAGTGAAGACCTTTAATTTTATGTGCATATCGACCTATGCTTATGTTAACAATTTTCTTCCGATTCCTAGGGCTGTGCCCCCTGAGGAGTAAGCGTATAATAGCAATGTTAATTAAATGAATCTTTGAACAACTGTCATTTTGCGCAGGATCAACCTTTTGAAGTGCGGTTTGTGGTTTGATAATCGATACATACCTATCTAAAACTCATTTTATGTCTAAATTAGTTTTATATCCATCTGAACGTAATCGATGCATCGGTTTTTCTGATGCATCGGGACCAAATCGATGCATCACACACCACATTTTTATACAATTTTACTGTATTTCCTGGCTAATCCCAACAATTTGGTTATCCGGTCAGGATCTGATCCCAATTAGTTTGTATAAGCGAGACCCTGATGTGGTAAGTGTCATTAAATTATTTATTAAATAATTATACTGAGATCATGAAAGGTTGTGTATTTCTATTTTAACAAAAACTCAATCAAAATATCAAACAATAACACAAAACATATGTTGAACAATTACCATATGTTATTAACATATTAACTACTACTGTCATCCCTCCTTCACAAGTCAAAATGATTTGGTTTTCTTCTAATCCTTTCCCCTCGTCTTACAACAGGAGCTGAGTCATTGTTTTGTAATTCTGACCTGGACGATTGACCTTTATTAACATCATGGGAGATTCTGAATGACTTGTCTCTTCTTAGGAACCATGAGTTTCTTCGGTATTCTCGTCCATCACCAGTCTGGATTTTGTACGATCGAGGTTCAGGACCAACTTGAACAATCTTTGCTCTCAGCCAACACTTTGGTTTGAATCTGAAAAGCACTGGTTCATCAAGTTGAAACTGATCAGGCTCTGTCTTCCTCATATCACCGTATAGTTTCTCTCGTCTTTTAATTTTTTCTAGCTGTTTTGAAACATTTTTTATGACCATCGGAATAAGGTGGTTGGTCGTAAATGGAAGTAGAGTCTTTGTCCTCCTACTCATCAGCCGCTGAACTGGGGAACCTAGGTTACCTCTTGGTGTGTTACGGTGATGAAGAAGTGCAAGATAAATATCGGACTGTTCTTCTTGACACTTGACAATTAAGTTTTTTCCTTCTTGGACATACCTCTCCGCTAGCCCGTTGGATCTTGGAAAATGAGGAGATGAAATTCTATGATTAAATTTCCATTCGGATACGAATTTAGTAAATTCCATAGAAGCAAAACATGGTCCTCCATCAGTTCTTAGTTCATCTGGAATACCATGAGTTGCAAAGTACTTTTTTAGGTGTGTAATAACAGTGATGCTACTTTTGTTCCTAAGATTTTCACACTCAAAATATCCTGAGTAACTATCAGCAACTACTAAGAAGTCTTTACCTCCACATTCAAAAACATCAGCTCCGATGAACTGCCATGGCCTCACTGGTACTGTTTCTTGAAGGATCACATCTTGAGGTTTATCTCGTTGATATTTGCTGCATACATTGCACCTTGCTACATATTGTTCAATATCTTTTTCCATATTAATCCAATATACATAGTCACGTGCTGTATTAATTGAACTTTGAACACATTTGTGAGGACGGTGAATATTCTGTAACACTTCAAGTTTCATTTCATCAGGTATAATCAAACGGCTTCCTTTAAACAAAAGACCATCATAGCAACTTAGTTCTTCTCGGAAAGTGAAATATTTTACTAATTCCTTGTCAACAGTGCTTCTTTCTTTGGGCCATCCATTCAAGATCATTTCCTTCAATTTAGAAAGCTCTGTGCATTTTCCAACACTAGTTCTGATTCGAGAAACTGTATCAGAAGACATAGGAATTATCAACTGAATATCAAAGCTGTGAGGTTCATCATCTTGGTTGTCATTGTAGCAATCTCTACTCAAGGTGTCAGCCAGATGAAGCTCACAACCCCTCTTGTAGACAACTCTTGGTCGATACGGTAATATTTCCAAACACATTCTTTGGATTCTGGGAGGAGCGTCAGACAACGGTTTCTTAAAGATAGCCTCTAAAGGCTTATGATCTGATTCAATAATCAACTCCTTGCATCCCCATACATACTCATGAAACCTTTTGCAAGCAGTCAGTATTGCGAATGTCTCTTTTTCAAGTTGACTGTAGTTCTGTTGCGATTGAGTCAATGCTTTGGAATTATAAGCTACGGGCTGCCCAGATTGTAACATAACAGCACCTACTGCATAACTGCTTGAATCCACAGATAGAGTCACAGGAGAGTTAGGGTCATAGTAACGAAGCACGGGAGTTCTTTGCAGTTTTTGCTTTAACTTGTTGAATGCTTCTCGTTGTGGTGTATCCCAGAACCAGGCCACATTTTTCTCAGTGAGAACTCTTAGAGGTTGAGTATCAACCGAAACATCTGGTATAAACTTTGACAAGTATGTTATACAACCTAAAAATCTCTGAAGCTCAGACAAACATGTGGGTTCCTTCATTCTTGAAATGGCTGCTACTTTGTCAGGATCAGCTTGTAACCCTTGGTCTGAAACTATGTGACCAAGAAATTTCACCAACGGTTTGGCAAATATACACTTTTCTTTGTTAAGTGTAAGTCCTGATTCACTCAGCTTTGTCATTACTTCATTCGTGATCTTTTGCAAATCTCTTTCATTGTTACTGTGAATGAGTATATCATCCATTGAACACTCTACATTCTTAATTCCTTTGAGCAAGTCTGACATAATATACTGGAACACTTCAGGGGCCGATACCAAACCAAAGGGCATGCGTAAACAAGAGTAGCGCCCCCAAGGTGTTGAAAAGGTTAGTAGTTTGGATGTTCTCTTCGTAACTTTTATCTGCCAGAACCCCATTTTACAGTCTAGGATGGTGAATCTAGAACCATTCAATCTAGCTGCGATGTCCTCTAATGTAGCCAATGGGTAATGTCTACGCTTTACATTTTTGTTTAGATCAGTTGGGTCAATGCAAAGACGTATTTTGTCTCTTTGTTGCACTATGACCATAGGAGACACACAAGGAGTAGGCTCACTTACTGGAATAATAATCTTGTCTTTTACCATTTGGTCAAGTTCTGCTTTCACTGCGTCACGTATTGGATGAGGTATTCGCCTGGGTGGGTGTATTTTGAAACTAGGATTTTCCACAAGATCAATGTCATACTCAAATGTCTTTAAACATCCTATTCCATCATATAAGCCACTTATAGACTGATCAACTATACCAGCAATCCGTTTGACGAACCCTAGTGTTTCACATGATACTCTTCCTAATATTGATTGATGCCCATTTGGAACTATTACAAACAAGACAGTGTCTTTATGACACTTTTTGGTTACAACTGGACAAATGGCTTCACCAAAAACTGGCGTTTTTTGGTTGTTAAAAGAAACAAGGCATTTAGTAGCAGAAGGTACGATGTTAAGATTACAAGCTAGAGCCAAATCTTGGGAAATAACATTGCACTGAGCCCCAGTATCTAATTTAAACTGCACAGTTTTGTTATTTGGCAATTTTAAGGGTTCTGTCCAATCTTGATTCTTGACTGGGTTAGAGATGCAATCAACATGCAACGGATAATCAGAATCTTCATTCTCTACAACCTCTAAAACATCAGTATTTTTACTCTTACTAGGGAGATTCTTTCGAGTTTTACACATCTTAGCAAAATGACCTTTAGTCAAGCATTGATTGCAAGTTCGATTAAAAGCTGGACATTGGCCTCTAGAGTGTTGTAAACCACAACGTTTACAGTCAAAGACTGAATTTTGTAACGTAGGCCTAGAAAAGGAATCGTCCCTTTTAACGACATTAACATTTGTAGGGCTGTCAGAGGCTATTTCTGCTAGTTGTTTCTTAGCTTGTTCATGTGCCCTACACTTACTAATTGCATCATCTAGGGTAAGCTTATCAGTAGAAAGTAATTTTTCCCTTAAGCTAGAATCTGATATGCCAATAACTATTCTATCTCTTATCAAACTGTTTTTTAGTTGCTCAAAATTACAAGAATTAGCTTGGTTAACCAATTTTGTAAAAAAATCTTCAAAACTTTGATGGGTTTCTTGGGTGATTTTGTTGAACAAAAATCGCTCAAATACTTCATTAGATTTACCAACAAAAAACTTATCAAATCGTTGAACAACTTCATCCAATTCAATATCTTCATCATCAATGAAACCAAAACTGTTATATATATCTATAACATCTGGGCCTAAACTAGACATAAATGGTGCTACCTGTACTGCATTTGATCTCCTATCAAGGCCAGAAGCTGTGTAGTACCAGTTCCACTGTTGCTTCCATTTCTTCCAAGAAGGAGCCATCTGAGTACTTGAAACCACAAGACATTTTGGTGGTTTTACATTATCATCCTTGTCTTCTGTATGGTTTGAATGGATATCATCATCTTCCTTAAAGGCATACCTTTTATTTCTATTCCGTGTGGGTTTCGGCACCATGTCATTAAATTATTTATTAAATAATTATACTGAGATCATGAAAGGTTGTGTATTTCTATTTTAACAAAAACTCAATCAAAATATCAAACAATAACACAAAACATATGTTGAACAATTACCATATGTTATTAACATATTAACTACTACTGTCAGTAAGAAAATACAGAAAGAAACTGTTTGGTTCTTATTTAATTTACCTATCTTGCAGGCAGGACCTCCCATTTAAAATAAGTAAAGTTCCTTGCAGGGTAAAGTATTCTGTCTGGGAGAATTATTTGTCTTTTTCGTAAAATGTGCATGCCTCAGTGTCTTTATGTTTGTGTTGGTGTAATATTGACGATGTAATATCCTAGCCACTGACTATGACAACAATTTGATACTTCTCGATTTGCTAACTATGTGACCATGAAGCAACTAGCATTGAAACCATGGTTGTACAATGTAGATACAACTATTTTTGAACTGAGACGATAGTAAAGGTAAATAAACCACTATATAGATTTCCTTGAGTCCCAGCATTCAAACATAATACGATTTTGTCATTTGTCTGTCCTATTGTAGATAATCACTGTTTAAGATAAAGTTCAATTGTTCCTCTTATTTTTCTGTATTCTTGTATTTTTATAGAATTTTCTATATAACTATCTTTAATTTGTAGGATTTCCGTCGTCGTCGTGTTGTGTGGTGAGAACCAACTCCAAGTTTTGTGTGATGTGTTACCAGACTGGACGTTTTTTATATGTAATGTTCCAAATATGATCTCCAATATTTATTACGTAAGAGCTTTAAGCTATGTATATTTTGTTAAGTCATGAGAAAATGTTGTTGAAAAGAAAAGACGTATTTGTGTACAATCTGTGAAATATCTTAGTTCCTGTTATCATAATGACTGCTTTTCGCTGTTTGTTAAGGTTTTTGTCAAAGCACTCTCAACACTTAAAAGCAATGGTCCATTGATGTAATCAATATTAATAGATTTTCTCAACATCAATCTAAGCTCAGCAAGATGACTTGATTTTGGCTTTGTCCATATAATACATAAAATTCAAAATAATAAAAACAATTATTTTGAGACCATATTTATAAAAGATAGTTTTGTTTGTAAAAGTTGACCGTAAACTATAACCCTTCGTACCTAAAAGACAGACATTTTATATTATCTGTGTCTTTCCATTAAGTGTTTGATTATAAATTAGTTTTCCTACTTTATATTTCTACTTCAACATGAATTACAGGGTTAAGTGCCTTGAAAATATGTTGATGAGCTTCCTAGATTTTATGGACACAATATTTTACACTGTGTACCATAATTGTAATTTTCCCATCATGTTGTAATTTTAGAAAAAATTAGAAATATCATAAGCTCTGTTTTTCCTATAACTTTTTCTGGGTTTAAATTAAATCATGGTGTAATTTATATAATTACTTTTAATTTGTTTGGTAGATTGGTTCTGTTTAGTACGTTTTCAACTTGGCAGTAAAAGACTAAAAGGTGTTTCAATTTCCTCAAGTTTACTGCCAGAAATGTAAAAGGTTTAGCTTAAGTAATTTGTTCCATGGTGTTGTGTGTTTCTTGTTAAATAAATAGTTATTTAGTGTAATCAGCATTTTCTATGTCTAAAGCTTAAATAATTGCCTGGAGGTGTAATTTTCTTCAGTTTATATTCTTTTATTTAAAAAAATTCCTTCAACACGAGCCTTAATTTACTCCTAAGTTGCTGTCTTACTGATCTCATTATAGGCTTGGAGTTTGCAGGGTTCAAGTTTTGTGTTATTTATTTTATTTAGTGAATGTTTTTCTAATTCTATTTGTTGTGTACCTATATTTTATTTACTTAAGTGCAATATAACAAGTACCATGTCCCAGATAATACAGTAAATTTAAATTTAAAGTTAACAATTCAATTCTACGGTACTGTTTCATAACTTTATTCCATATAATAATATTTAAAAAAACATTTTCCCTATCTATAATATGTTTTTATGTTAATAAATCTGTTTGGAATGAAAATAACTCCTTCTTTATGTAAAATCTTACCTCTTGCTCTTGCTATTCTTGTATTCTATTGATAAGATACTTGTTCATCGAATTTTACTTATTCACAAACTGGTGAACCTAAAATGCCATCTCACATTTATGTGAAAGTGGAATGAAATTGATCACAACGTTCAGGTTATTAATGCCCTTAATAATATTTATACAAAGGTTTTTTTATTGTCACCTAGTGCCTTAAGTGTATGCTTAGTGATTTCATGTAATATTTTTAAGTCTGTAGAAAATGCAGTTATTTATTGATTGCAAATATGTTCATGATAGTATTCAAATGTCTTGTAAGTCTTACCTGTGTAACCATCAATCATTACTCCATCAATTTACAAACGAATATTTTCAATATTTTGGTAATAATACAATGCTGTAGATTACGGTGATATGATTTCTTAGTTATGAATGTGTCAAAAGATTACTATTAGAACTTTCAATTGTGTTTGTCAGATGAATGTGCCATTACCCATCACAACTATAATACAACTGGCACATGAAACTAGACGTATTGATACCAAATACATTTATCCTGATTGATAATACAACTATGGTAACATAATAACTTTTCACATTTTTTTATTTTTTAATAAAGAGCACAATTTTGTGTCAATTTAAAAACCATCCAAATCCAATCCTTTATGATCTGAAACATATCCATACCTAACCCTCACTATCAAGTCCAAATTGAAACCAAGCTAAGATTTTACTTTCTGTGGGCCTACACCTCATTTAATTCATATCCATAGCAAATAGTAAATATAAATATTGAAACGGCAATATTTTCAGGATAACATTTATTGATAATGTGATAAGATATTGTATGTATTCAAGGCTTAAGTGACAAACGGGGAATATGCAATTAAGTTTTCCAGTACACTGTATTACTTATTGATGTTAATTGTGTAGGGAATCTCAAGAAAACGTTCCATTAATTTTGTATCCAAATATTTTCTTAATGGTGTGATATTTTTGCAATAAATTGTTTATAACATATTCTCTCCTTTTTTTATCAACCATGTGTTATAAGTAACTATGTCTTCCATGTTCATAGATTCATAATTATAAGGTCCATGAAAAAGTTCCAATAGATTTAGGATGCAAGATAAAATTCTTTAAAATGCAGACAGTAGACTCTCAGTAATCCGGCAGATGTACTGCCGGATTCGTGAAAATGCCGGATTACTGGAATGTTATCAATAATAACACGTCTCCGAAGATCGCGCGATCGTAAACCACTGACGTTTCTCTAATCGTAGGAGACGATAATGTCTACACATCCGCAGGAGACAATCATGATTTTGCCGCGATCGTTCATGATGACGATGACGTTTCCGTGACTGCGGGAGGCAATGATAATGTTTACAGGTCCGCGGGTGAAGATCAGAATTTTGCCGCTACCCCGGTAGACTACGATAATGTCCAACGTAGGAGATGTTCATGATTTTGCCGCAATCACACATGACGACGATGACGTTTCTGTGACCGCGGGAGGCGATGATAATGTCTACATGACCGCGGGAGATATTCATGATTTTGCCGCAATCGTGCATGACGATGATGTCATTTCCATGACCGCGGGAGGCGATAATAATGTGTAAACGGCTGCATGAGATGTTCATGATTTTGCCGCAATAGCGCATGACGACGATGGCGTTTCCGTGACCGCGGGAGGCGATGATAATGTCTAAACGGCCGTGTGAGATGTTCATGATTTTGCCGCAATAGCGCATGACGACGATGACGTTTCCGTTACCGCGGGAGGAAATAATTATGTCTACACGGCAGCGGAAGATAATCCGAATTTTGCCGCGATCACGGATGACCTCACCTGTCAAAAGACGCCAGATTACTGGGGTGCCGTGCCGGATTAGAGAGGGTCTATTTTAGTTTGACTGACTACAGTAATTTGTAATATTTTAATACTAATTTGAGAATCACACATTATTTTGGGTTTTAATAAATTGTAACACTTTGTTATAGTTAAAAAAAAATCCTGGGTTGGCAAATAAGACAAATAATATTACATAATACATGCAGCACAAAGTCATTGGGCCAAAAATTGTTGTCAGTCTGTCAGGGGCCATTTTGGTAGATATTACAAAATTATAAATAAATAAAGTAATTTAATTATATTTAAATAAAGGGAAAGCATTAAAACTCATTAGTTTGCATTTAAATTGTAAAATTCCCCCTTTTTGCGGGGAATCCCCTCTCAAACCTTTCGTCCCCTGATCAAACTCCTTCTTGATCCTTCTTAGGTCTACCCAAAAAATTATTCATGGAGCAACCCCTGCAGCCTGCCTCCAGTAGTTGAACCATTGTTGAAAACGTCTGATTTGTCATAAGTTGGCCTAATCATTCATATTCCGATTGTTTAGTTAAACATTCACTATAGGCTAACTTAAGCAAGCATCAACCATTTTCCTAAGATTAGGTGAATGAATGTTTCCATAGATGACTGGACCTTAGCACATCTTGCTAAACATTAAACAAACGTACATATTTTGAGAAGACATCAAAACCTTATATTTGCATGGCACAAGATGATTTTTTTAAGTCATCATTAATTAAATACCCTCGTTGCAGCAAAACTGCAGACTATTTTTCTCATACAACTCAAGGTAATTACGAGTTTGTTTATTATATTCAAAGGTCTGCAGCTACAATTGCCACACATTTTTAAACTTAATAAGCTTGCAATAAAATAAATAAATTGTTCAAACTTTATAATGAAAAAGATATGCTCATAAGTCATAAGCAAGTATTCTGCAACAATCATATCTTTCTCCATGATGAAGATATGCTGTGTAGCATTTACAATATCTCAGTAGGCAAAGGGCAAAAGAGTTTAAATGTAATGTATCAAACTAGTTGTCTTTGTAAAACAATTTGAATGATACTAAATCTTTTGGAATTGCTTTCATACATAAATAAACAAAAACCTGATTGCTGAGGAACAATACCCTTATCATCATATCAGGGTGGTTCACAGAAACATTCAAGTAGATTTTGGATTACACATATGATCCAAATTTCATCAACTGTGGTTAATTTTAACAAGGAGTGAGAGTACTCTTTGACATATAAATGGGCTATTCTCATTGTATCAATTTTTTTCTGAAATTTTTTTGCTAAATTTAAAGTTGGTGCAATTTGTTCTTATATTACAGTTTTCTTTTCAACACACTTTATATTTGTTAAATTCACAAACGGGGCCAATTTATTCTCATGATAACTACTATTTTTAAATTGTTTTGTTAGAATGACATTTAAAATACTCACGACCGTCACTCTTTTCTTAAATTTTATTAATTTCATAATAATAAATGATTATGACTTCAAATGAAGAAAAATGTATGATATGAATACATAGTATTACTTACCAGGAGTATAAATTGAAATTATTTATGGGAACGTTGATTTTTTTTTAGACTTTGTGTGTAATTTTGAATTGGACCGAAAATGAACTATAGTTTTTTTAAATGGCAGGTTTCCAGGTATGTATATCATTTGTATATTAAGTTCTGTGAGTAAAATATCAGTTTAAACTTAAAACCCATGGTCATAAACTTTTTTTATTTCTATAACTAATTATTAAAAAAATAAAATATGATGCGTGACGGTTGTGAACTGCGTGTGACGGTTGTGAGCTGTGTGTGACGGTCGTGAAAATATCAAGACATTATCAGCTCAACAAATTTTACATATGACTAAAAAGCATAAAAATGGTTTAAAAAAATAAAAAACAACATATACCAAAATTGAAAACTGTTTTAATTTAAACTTGCTTTATTTGTAGGTACATCAACATTTCAATAAACATTAGATGTTTTTGCCAAGTCTTGAAAAATATAAATGCCTCGATGCATTTTAAAGTTTGTCAGCGTTTGAATAATGTCTTTAATGTTTACCGATGCAATGTCATCATTTTGAGGAAAAACAAATTTTTCTCCAACTGTTTTTCTGAGAAACTTGACCTCATAGTCACCATCTTTATATTTTTGAATAACCTCGCCAATGTAAAATTTCACGATCTTGTTTAATGGAAACCGCACAAGGACAAAGTCACCGGTGGAGAGATCATTAACTTCATCTGAAGGTAATTCGCAAGGCGTAACCACCGATGGATTTTGGACAGTTTCATTGTGATCGTCGTCATCTGAATATACATCATGATAGCTGAGCCTCTCTCGTCTGCAAGTTGCAATAGAAGTTTCTGTCCGTGGAATACCTACAACTTAAGTTAAGGAAAACCTAAAATTGCATCAAATATTTTAACAATTTGAACAAGGTTTTAAATTAGTTTTACTGTTATCGGAGTTAGAAAACCCATAGCAACCAAGTTACTAAAAAATATAAATCTTAGCAAAGCGTGAATACAAAATTGTTTGTCCAACCTTTAGTTAATTGTTAAATATTTTAGTATATTTTCAAAACAACAAAATTTAAACCAATCAAATTATGTAAGAACCATAAGATAATATAATATTCATAAGAAAAGTATTTTAATAAAAGGATACTGGTAGAAGGCGCAGAATCGGCAGCTTCAGTTATTAGGCTATGGTAGCTCGTCATTTGGTGAGGGCACTTTGATTTATTTCTACAAATTATGCAGGACAAAAACCTACAATCTAATCCAGTTCCATCTGGGGAATTCCAAACAATTTGATGCAACTTCAATGTGTCTTTAATGGCCCGTAAATGAACTAACTTAGGTTTCAAAATAGAATCAACACTCTTCATTTTGGCCTCATCTACTTCCAAAACTTGTATTTTTAAGTTGCTTACAGCGGTCATGAACTGTTCTAAATTTGACACATCTTTTCCCATATTAACTGCTGAGTCCGCGGTTCTCTTTATAGTTCCGCCAACTCCGTCTGCAACACTTTTGCCGTGACCAGCCTCACTAAAATTGTACGAAGCTTTTTCGAACCCGAAGTGCTCCATATAATAACTGAACAAGTACATATTACTTTTGTTCCTGTATTGTTTAGTCGGCCCATCACTAATAATGTGCACTCTGCTTACATTCTCATAATTTTGTTTTATTTCCATAAATATTGGATAAAGGTGAGCCCATATAGCTGCTGCGTCATGTCTATTACATGAAGATACTGTACAAAATGTTCTTACTTTCATTATTGATTTGTCGTTGGATGTGACTTTAACAAAGTAAGCTCCAGTGTGTAGTGTAAGTTGTTCATTAGAGGCGCCAAAATGACGACTCTGGACCTCGCTAGAGTACTTCAACTGGTAATTTTCTGAAAAATCAAATACAACAAAAACTTCGTCATCATTTAAGTTTGTTCTACAGTACTTAGAAAACTTGTTCTGATTGTAAACTCTAAACTTATGAGTCATGAATAAAAGGATCTGAGAACATAATTTCTCTTTCAACTCTTCTAGTGTACAAAATATTTTAACTTTTCTCGTAACTTTTACCATCCTTTTTACCCCATTTTTCACACGCTCCTCTGTAACATTTTTCCACTCAAAATGATGGATTTTAGAGTCCCACTCAGTATCACAGTTTTCATTGAAGGCAATTTTTGTTGACTTGCACGTATCACATTCTCTATATACACAAGTTTTATTAGTTACACTGCAACAAATACTACTAACAAGATCATTCATATTGGAGTGATTTATCAGTTTGTACTGTTTACATTTCTGAAACAGGAAGAAAAAGTTTTCGTGATACTTGCACATGCAGGTGTCTCTCTTGTTGGCAGGTCTTTGAATTACCCAAAAAGGCTTGAAGCGACAAAAATGTGGATATGATATCTGAATATGTTTTGTAGATACAAACTTTTTGTGCAAAACCTGTAAGGTTTCTGATAAATATCTTATCTGCTTTTTTATTTTCTTCTTTGTAATAGTGTCCTTTCGACCTGGTGTACAATATGAATTTTCATCGTCCGTAAGAAAAGTATGGACTTCTTTTTTGAGATTAGGTTTAGGCTGTTTCTTTTCTTGTTTTTTTGTCAACACTGTTGATTTATCTGTTTTCTTCTGACTGTTTTCATTTTTCAGTAATCTAGTATGTTTCTTTTTCCATTTCTCTATTTTCTTTATTATATAAAGGAGATAAGGAGCATTCGATCCTCTAACTTAGAACTGTTGTGAAAAGATAAAATACAATTGGTAATATTCGATTTCTCGTTCGCATCATTCTACATCAAATGAAACCCGACACGCCCCAGTCTAAGTACCGCCAACTGGAACGGTTTCACATATTTCAGTCAATATCTCCAGTTATATTTCACCCTGAGGGTTAAAACCATATTTTAATTACAGCTTATTCAAGGAGCAAACACTTTGGAGGTGAATTTTCATCCATAACACTTGTCAAATGTTGCTGTTGACGCTTCTTTAAGGCATGCTTATGGTATCGCTTTCTCCACTCCGCTCTTTGTTTTCTTTTTCCTCTTTCGCTTAAATCATTTATACTTTTTATTTGTTTCAATGCCCTTCGTTTTCGACTTCGTTCTCTTTCCTTTTCCTTCATCATTTCATATTTTTCCGGATTTTCGCGGATCCTTAATCGTTCCTTTCTTTTTCTTTCTGCTGCAGCTTTTCTTTTGCTTTCGCTTGTAGGGTTCGCCTTTTTTTGCTTACCATTTTTTTTACACTTTTGACTATCCATTGTCTTGTTACTGTACGTTATTATTCCTGCGAAAACCAATAAAATTTCAAAATTGATTCAAAAATTGATCTTTATAATAAAAACTTTTTAATTTATACATTTTTTATTTTTAGTTTATTGTAATGTCCTGCGAAAACCAATAAAATTTCAAAATTGATGCAAAAATTTATCTTTATAATAAAAACTTTTTAATTTTTTAATTTATACATTTTTTATTTTTAGTTTATTGTAATGGGTCAGTAAATTACGTAGAGAATTTCACTTAGAGTAAAAAAAAAAACTATCCATACTCACTTTGAATGGAATCCTTCAAAATTTACAAACAATACACTTTACTACTTTTACATAAAAATAGAATTGGGTTTAGTTTATACGTTTTCTGCAATGGAGATGTTTGATGTCAAAGCTAAGTGATTAAAAAACCAAACTCGCAAAATCAAATAAGGTTTACCCATTTTTTGATTACGGTACCTCTGATGCATTCAATGTTATTTGTAGTTGCCTTAATTTTAACATTAAATTAAAGTTAATAAAAATTGAAAATTAAACTTCTAACGGATCTAATATTATGTATAGTATGGTTTCATAAAATAAATAAATGTATTATGAATGTATTTACATTCCAACACTCACATCCGTCACACTACACTCACGACCGTCGCATAATGGGTGTGACGGTCGTGTGACGGTTGTGAGTGTGACGGTCATGAGGACGCTGCAATAATTCAATATTTATAGCTAAAAATGGACCTAACCTGAATCGCCATTTTGACAGATCAGTTGTGCACATCTGAAAACAATGAAATATCGAGCCCAGCTGATTCAATTCAGAATAATGCATTCGTAAACAGTGTGACGGTTGTTAGGAATAGAAAGTACAGAGAAGCAAACTTACCTTTATGATGTTAACTGATAAATAATTCATTAATAATGAGGTTTTAAAACACATCACAAATTATGGCGACACTCCACAACACAACTGAAGGCAACTGCAAACTACCACTAGCGCTTCTGGTGGTTTATTTTTAACTAACTAGTAACTGTGACGGTTGTGAGATCAAACTGAGGGACAAGAGAAAACAGACGTTTTTCAGAATAACTTGGTAGTATTAAAATCTTGTAACCATGACTGTTTGTTTTTAAATATATTTGTCATGCATTCCTAGTAATAAATGCGTAAATTATAGAGTAAGTACTTCAATAAGTTCATTGACATTTCAAACTATTTGATAGGGACACGTGACGGTCATGAGTTTATAAGCCTTTTTAGGCCAGTACAAAGTGAAATTAAATATATATTCATAAATAGATAATACTAGTAAACTTAAACGGGTTTTTAAAGCATTTATACACTAAAAATGTTGATTTTGATGTATTATTTCCAAGTTAAGTCGAGCTGGACAGCGAAAAATGACTGTGATGAGAACAGCCCAAATATGTATACCAATTTTACTTATGGAGTTTTTTAACTTTTGGGAAGCTGTAATGGACAAGGTTTTACCATGGTAATGGTTGCTTCACTACAGGGACATTTTTTAAAAGGTCTTGTGATCCTACAATCAGTAATTATAAGTTCCATAGAAATATTCCTGAAAAACTAATATGTATTTAATTCAAATTTCACGTTTACTACTAAGAAAACTTTACCTTTACAGTATTTAAAAAATAATTAGTGAAGAAAATGTAAGTGTTTATTTGTAAAGGCTACGTTGACGTTGAGCGATTTTTTCAAAATTTTTATTAAAATTGCTAATTATTGTTAGATATTTTCTTTTTACATGCGTTTCACTTAGTTTATATATATATATTTTTTTACATAATTTGATATGATTAAACTAATGTTGATTCATGCAAACAATATATTTTTCCAAAGATAAAAATATAATGTTGTTCAAAGGTTTATTGCGGACATTTTCCATCACGAATGTAAAAAACAATACACAACGTTACCCAATAAACCTTTGAACAACATTAACTCACCATCACCAACAATGAACTTCAAACAAAGAAAAAAATATAAACTCAACAAAGTCCTATTTCTGGAAACCTTTGTTCTTATGATGTATGAAATTGTTAATAAATATAACTTCCTGGCTTATTATTTCAAACACACAATAGTTTCTCAATTAATTATGAGTTAACTATTTCAAAATTCTTCAGTGTCAATATAAAAGTCCAATGACCTTTAATTTTTCTCTTATTGATATTACTAGTTCAGTTTCAAATTATTCAAAACCAAAGAAACTGTCCCACGTTTATAGCTGTAATAACAAATATTTAAATATAAAAAAACTGGTAGTGAAAGTAAATTTTCAATGTCTGATACAGACAACTGTAATCATGCCAGACAGCTAGCATGACTAACCTTTTTAAAATTGTGTTAAAGTAAATGTTTTCAGAACCGCAGTAGCAGCGGGGGGAGCCAAGAACCGATGTTTACTGCTCTGCTAGTACTACTGTGGGTGGAACAGTGTCTGACACATTCTCCAACATCTTGCATCTCAGGCTTCAGTTCCAAGGTATTTCACATTTTTGCTCGTGTGAATATCCATTTAACATTTTATTATTTATCCAAACTCTTACTTAAGGGATTTTAAAAATTGTTTATATCAGTATTCAGTTTTAATTTTGGAGTTTTATCAATAATGCATAAATAGTTGCAAAGATAACTTTGGAGGAGTTTTTTAAATTTTTGAACACTAACCATTGACAATAAAATTACAAGTTTTTTTTTTAAATATTGAATTTTTAATTGAATTGGACTTATATTGGGATTCAAGTAAATAAATGTTGAAGAGTCTAGTACGTTTTATTGTGTAAGATTGTATATACTAAGGTCCTTGTAGTTGTTAATAGCACGACAACTAATACTATTGTTTATCTTTTTTCTTTAGGTATTTCTGGTATTTTTTAGTTATTCATAATGAACTCCTAAAACCAGAATTTCTGTTAAGACTTGAGTATTTTCAGCATTTTCAAAATGTGTGTAAGACACTCAAGTCCCTCATCAACCATCATTTAGATACTGTAGTTTATTAATTTTAACTTCTAATTTTGCCTCACATGGAAATCAACCAGAATACACATTTTTATAATATTGTTGTTTGAGTATAGCTTAAATATGACTTTCTTTATTTTAATTCACTGTTTTCTGTGATGACTTTTTTATATTGAGTTACATTCAGTATATGATGATTTGATGAAAGTTGAATAGCCGTAACCTCTTTGATATTATTACTTTACATTACTTATTTTCATTAGAAAACAGTTTATTGGATATTGCGGTTTCAAGTCCAACAAACATATAGCCTACGTAATTTTTCTCATCAGAAAAGTAATTTTCAATTAGGTTTTATATTACAGTAGCATGTAATGTGAACAAAACATTTGTTTTAGTTTGTCAACTTAGGTAAACTAAACAAAAATTAAAAAGTAAAATTTAGCAACACACATGTAATTAATTATCTTTTTATTTACTAAAATATAGCCTAAAGCTGTTAGACTTATTTATAGAAAAACAATAATGTATATAATGTAATATGTAAGGAACCGATCCTATTTACAAACATTACATGTATTTTAGACCTCAGTCAAGCTAATATCCTTTGTAACCATAACAAATGACAGTCAATAACTAACTATTTACCTAAATATGAAATACGGATGTGTATACCATGTCTGATTGTTAAGTATTAATTTAAAGTTAATAATTAAATGGCACTTACATTTTCTGAAGAGATCAGACTAAATCCTGGTCTTGTTAATATACATAGTTGACCTGTTAGACAACTGTACAGTCTATTTACATTGTACCACTGCATTCTTGTCTATCTACTCAATCACTAAAATGTAATCTAGTTCAACTAAAAATTATGAAGTAGCATACAAAGATATTTAAAAAAATGTTATTTACCAAGCTTTTATAATTAGGCTTAGTCAGAAAAATCTCATGGAATAAAAATCCCAAGTCTTTCATCTTGGATTCAGATAGATATCTTTACTTTTAACAAATTTTCTCATAAATAAACCTTAAATTACATTATCACTCAATTTAGATAACTTTTAAGTCTATTATTTTGAGTTACTCCAAAAATCATCAGTTTAGAAATGGGTGAATATTATCAGTCAATAAACCACCATGACAACTACAGTACCGTAGTAGGTTCTTTCTAATGGAGGAAAATTTGCTAAAAAATAATAATGTCAAAGTAAATTTGGGGTAGTATTATTAATTTTTTAAAGTTTGTATCTCTATTTCCTTATCACCCAAAGACAAATATTACTTGGGCTTTATTAGGAAAGCAAAATGCATATCCTGTAAAAATTTGACTGTTGTATTGACCAAATTGTTTTACTAATTCAAGAAAATGTTTTCCTTATCTTGTAATTAACAATAAGCTGCCTCAAATCGTACTACAATAAATCATTTTAGAAATTTGTTTCTGATATTATTTGAAACTGCTTATATTCAACCCGGTAGCTTTTAAAGCAGCAAAACAAACCTTCCAAATGGAGTTGGAATTGCAGCAATGATTCTATTGTTAATGTTTGGCAAAGATCTTGTAGCCAGTATATTATGTGAACCCTTTAGAAAAAACAATTTTTGGCAGAAATGCTCTTTGTTCCACTACACTCACTATATTTAGCCATTTAGTTGAACAATGTTTTGTAATTTTTTGGTTGTGATTAAATTATGCCCATAATTATTTCTTAGTAGTCTGTGTTGTATCTAGCAACAGTGATTGTTGAAATCAAATATTAAAATATTTGTAGGTCATGCACATAAATGGTATGTTAATTGTGACTCAAAAATGTGTCTAAAAAAAGGTGCCAAATGAACAGAGTGTGAGTTACACTGTTTATATTTCAACAAAAACACTCGGTGACATTGAAAAGAGGTCAAATATAAATATGTAATAACCTTTACCAATGCATTTCTAAAATAAAATATTATGTTTATCCTATCTTAAAATATAAGTTAGGCATTTAAATCTGGTCAAAGCCACAGTATTTCCCACAATTAATTAGGTCAGTCGTGATACCACCGTCTTATTATTAAATGATGGTCCGTAGCTTTAAATTTTAAAAAAGTGAGAACTTGTATCACTGATATTGATTCAATTTGTTCAGTTACCAACCCTTAGGCCAATATTATGTCAGTGTAATTCATTGTTGAAATTGTAAAAAAATGTATTTATTTTTATATTTAGCTTAAGACATTTTTTCATAGTCTAAATTCACAAAAAAAAACAAAAAAAATAAAAAACACCTTGTTGGTTCTAATTTTCAAACCCCCTGAAAGGCTTTGACACTCTAAGTAAAATATTACCTTATGGCTTAACTAAACCTTTGCTTTTTGCTAATTTCCAGGGTTACGTTGAGAGGATCTCCTTTGATCGTCAGCTTTTGCAAAACTTCTCTGCTTCCGTATCTTCATATTCTGCTTTAACAATTTACAATATTAACGAACATGTAAGTTGCTTATATCTTTCTATCAAATGAGCAAGCAGTTACTTGTGATTTATTCTAAATACTCTTATGTATATTTAAACTTTGCTTATTAACTTACCTAACACATTAAACTATTCATCCACACCACATGCAGATTCCTATGCACAGTATGTCCTTCTGTTTTTTTTATATAATTTTTATGAGCTTAGAAACTGGTCTTTATCTAGAAAAATTTCAGATTTTGATATAATTTTACAATCTAAGATAACAGCTGGTCTCAGTCAACAATAAGGCTGTAACAATCATTTTATAAAAAAAAAAAAACTCTTATTTTAATCATATTGTGGTGACTCGGGTTTTCAGAAGGCAAAATACAGTAATATAAATTGATTTAGCCGATGAGTAAACCAAGTCTTGTGAAATTTTATCTATTTAAAAACTTAAGTTAGGTACAATGCTTGACTAAGTTTTTAAAACATTATATTAGTTGAATAGTACATAATTAAGTATCAAACCTTTAGGCTAATATTAGTTTAAATATTTTCATAATTATGTGTAGAAAATAACATATAATTCTTTTCGTCGCATAAATATCCTATAGAGTGATGCAAGGGATACAAAATAGCATCCGCTGCTAAATCAAAACGCTTTGTGGTATTTATAGCTACTTCTCCCCTCTCATCTGTTTTTATTGCTTTTCACACAGTAGATGTAAACATGGGACAAGATGTATTTTGGTCATAACACAAGCTTAGGACAGCTAGATACCCATAATCTGGTTTAGTAACATTGAAACTTATGTACTGGTCAAAAAAACCTGTACTGTATTATAAAAACCTCCTCCATCTACTCAAAAATTCAGGTTCAGAAAAATTATGTTTCCTTAAAGACAGGTATAGCACCACACAAAAATGAAGTGTCCTTAAAGACAGTTATAGCACCACACAAAAATTAAGCTTCCTTAAAGACAGTTATAGCACCACACACAAATGAAGTTTCCTTAAAGACAGTTATAGCACCACACAAAAATTAAGCTTCCTTAAAGACAGTTATAGCACCACACAAAAATGAAGTTTCCTTAAAGACAATTATAGCACCACACAAAAATGGAAAGCCCCAAATGTCTATATAATTTCATAACCAGACATTAAAAGAACAAATTCAGAGGTTAGCTGTTTTAATAAAAACCAAGAGCTATCCACCCAGTCAAAAATGAATGCCCTATATCTCAAACTGTTATTATATCAATGTAAATAATATAATTTTCTTACAAAATGTGTATCTTCTTACAAGTATCCTTCAAGTATTATTAGGATAACCTACCTTTGTGAGAAAAAAACTTTAATTAGAGGTCCCAGCCACAAACTTTGCTTATTTTAAGAGATATACTCTTACTCTTAAATATACTCTTAGTATACTCCAGTATACTCTTATGTCATTTGTGTATGATATTTTATATACATTAACCCTTGATATACAGTTTGCTCTCAGTAGTTTTTTGGAAAGAAAACATGTTATTGTTGTGAAACGTGTTTAATTCCACAAGTAAAATTTATTTCAAGGTAAACTACTCAGCTCAACTAAATTTCTTAATGTTGATTGATTTAAATTGGTTTTTCTTGATAATTGAATTTGAATTTGTTTATTACATTTGATAAGTTATGCAAATATTCGGCTGATCCAAACTAGATGACTTCTTTGTTTGCCGTAAGAAGAAACTAACAGTAATTTGATAGGTTTAGAAATGTCTCAAACCATTTCTTCAGGAGTTATGTAGTCATTTGTTGAGCTATATTTTCCCGACTGATACTATAAGTACTACATTGCATCCAGAGCTATATTTTGAAAACAAGCGATGCAGTACTGAGAGTTCAAAATAGAAACATTCTTTGAAAAGGTTATGAGTGCATATCAGCATGTAAACATCAACACGTGCCTCTAGTTCTGTTGACATTCTCTGTGAACTGGTATTCCTGAACAACAATAGTGATCACGAGCCTATAAAACAGTTCTTTTTATCACAATCCAAGTAAACTAATAATCTACAGATCTTTTACATCTTTATTGATGGAAATTCATAATGACATAAACATTTACAATAATTTATTTATTTACTCATAACCAGAAACAGGTTAAAATACAAATTATGTAGGAATCTACAGTACTATGTCATGGCATTGATGAAGTATGTATCCGTTTAATTTGGGAGAAAATAGTATATAAAAATATTTTTACAAATACTTTTTGATTTCTATCCAAATTTAGAACTCAAGCAATTAAACAATCAAATCATAGAACCTAGACTGTATCAGACTAATTTAAATGAAGTAAATGAGCAATAGAAGTGATATTTGTAGGAGTATGTATACAGACCATCCACTTGCGCACTAGGAGTTGGCCTTATACCAGGTCAAAAATAACCAACCTTGGGGACTGCCTTACCCTGTTGACTTATTGTGCCTACCTCGCAAACATGGTCAGTATCAATGTATCAAAGTTGAGGCATGAGGCATGATCATGTCAGTTATGCCCTCCCCTGGTATGGGCATTACACAATGTCCTGCACCCTTGTACGTTTATTCCTTGCCATTGTTATGTTTTGTCTGTCATTTGACACCTTTGCAAAATACAAAAGAAATCTGTATTTCCTTGTTTACTTTTAGAAAATTTCCAATATATGGAGTGTTGGTGAATTTCCCAAATAAAAAATAAGCTATTATTGTAGGTCTCATTATTAGAACCAGTCCTGGGACCAAATTAATTTTCATTTTATGGGTAAAAATTAGGTTTTCCCATTTTTGTCTTTCAAAACATAAAATGTTTGAGTTAAAAATGCAAGATTCTCATTAGGAATATAAAATATGTGGCTTTGAAATAAACCTTTTTTTCTCCATCCTTCTCAATAAAAATTAATTTTAACTGAGTTCTTTATTTAAACTACATGAAGAAAGAATTGCTGCAGATAATTGCTTACTTATCTTAGAAGAATCAGCACTAGAGAATCTAAGTTTATCAGTAGAAAGTTTCCGAAAGGCTCTCAATCGCTAAAACTATTTTCAGCTCTCGGGCTGGGAATGCCCTACATAATCTGACCCAGTCCCCACATTCAGTTAAACACTCCTTTGTTTACCTCATTTCTCATTTGTTTACAAAATGAACAATCTGTTGCTTATTAATTTACTAAGAACCTGATTTAATACAGGTTTCGATTATAGACAAATAACTGTTAATATTTTTAAAGAAACATTTTTCCTTAATGATCAACTAAATTTAAAAATAAATATGTAGCGTCCATTCATCAATGGTTCAGCCAGATGAATAAACATGCGTCATTTCAACAAAACTTTGTGCAGTAATATTTTCAATTTTTAAAAGGCAAACTACATAATTAAAATATTTGTCCTGGATCTTTAGTCTTTCACAATTATGTTGCTGTATGTAGTTACTATTACTATGTTGGTATTGTGATTACATTGTTGCTGTGTCCCATTTCAACTATGTTCTACCCAGTGATGTTTTATTTACATACATAACATGTTTTCAGTGAACTATAGTGATAGTGTATTTGTTCTGTACTAAACCCATAAGCCTTGTAAAATATTGTTATGTTGTCCTTGTTCCACATTTATGTACTACACACTATAGATGTATTTGTTACTGTTAACAAAACTATTCATTTTACAGATTTTAAGACTAATTTTCTCACATGTCTAAAATGCTTTTAACTGCTAAATTTAAGAAGTTACAGCATACATTCTTTTGTAACTAAAAAATATTTAAATTTTTCTAAAATTAAAACTCAATTCAAACCTATCCCTATATTGTTTTAAATTAATTAACAATTTGTTGCTGGAGGTTTTTGTAACTAAAGCTGCTACTAAATATTTTGATAAATTTAACAGCTTTAGTATCATTACATAAGAGTTTAAAGATAAGTTGTTTCACTAAAGAAGTCGTTTCCAGGACAACAATTTTAAAGTTTGATGAATAATTTTAACAATATTTAAATAAGAATGACTTTTGAAATATATAATAAACCCATTTATATCATAATAAATATTCTTTATTAACTGGATATTCACAATTTAGAAGTACCTTAAAAAAAAAAACAAAAAAAAACAATGTGACTGAATATTACTGATACAGTTTCTGTAGCAGGAGTTTGCTGAATATCTAGCAACTTGTGTACAAAATACACAAGGGTCTTACAATATTACCCTTGTAAATTTACATAAATCAAACTAAAACATTTTATAAGACTTTTATAAGGCTCTGTTGAGGGACTTTTATTCTCTATGTTCTTCCAACCTAGGGGCAACCATCCAATTTGTAAAGAAATTGGCATGAGAAGGAGAAGGTGAGTTAGAGGGATACGTATATAAAGTTTATATCGTTTTCAGATATAAACGTTTTTAAATTGCATTTTCTTTCTAAAACAATCATAAAATATAGGGTCTTTCATAGGAAAAAAATCAAAGTTGGCGGCCATATTGGAAAAATGGCGGCTAAAATTATTTTTTTTAATTCGACCAACATTTTTTTAATGAAAAATCCAAGGCAGTTACAAGTTTTGTTATATCTCTTATAACATTCGAATAAAATAGCTGGCACACTTATGTCAATCACCCTGTATATTCACCATCACCAAGAATTAACTTTAAACAAGGACTGTACTGTTAACATTTTCACACAACAACTTGTAGTATCACCTGATGCACTTTACTTGTTTACAGGCCACCAGTATTCATTCACAACATGCCTGCTGTGAATCCAAACAACCCTAACCAGGGAGCAGCGCAGAGGACCACGTTCCGTCCCCCGTGGGTCAAGGAAGGGCCCTCCCCACTGCCCATGCCCTCTGCACCCTGGACTGCGCGAGGTAGAGAGCAAGTAGCACCTGCACCAGCTGAGCCTAATAAGGTACTGCTCTTTATTTAACTAATAGTTCTTCATTTGTATACATAAATGACTTAGGCTGTGGTTTCCTAGACGCATAATAGATGCGCTGCGTGTGCGCATCTAAGATGCAGCACACTTGTCTTATGGAGTTTCGTGTAAGTGGTTTCCAAGGCTGCATATCTAATGCGTGCGCATCTTATACGCCCGCACCAATAGCTGCGTATTTGACCGACTGCTTTCAGAGCAGTTGAATCTGAGTTACGCTGCGTGTTAGACATGTCTTGTGCAATGGATTCAGTAAATGTTGTCCAGAAGGCAATATTCTCCCAACAACGACGAAAAATTGATTGAATTTGTCTCTTCTAATGACATATTGATATATTATGGAAGTACATTGTTCATACAATTAAAATTTTTTAGTATTACATTTCATATCATTCGTTATGTAGTGTTAATTTTCCCATAATGTGTAATTTTAATATTTAATTCCCTTGTTACATGTTCCCTACAGTTAATTTGTCCTCACATATTTTCTTATTTTAGTAATTAGTAAATAAACCTAATGTTGACAAATATTCTTTTCAAGTCAGCACAACACCAACTCCCAAATATAAAAGCCCCCATAATTATTTTAAGAACTCCTGAACATCTTAGTAATAAGCCTATATTAATTACTAGCATAGTACCCGTCCTTCTTACGGGGTTGGCGTATAAAGTATAAAACGCTTAACGCTTATTGCAGTTATACTCGTAAAAGGCATTTTCATCGATTCGGTAAATCCCGAATAGGTAAATATAATAACAGTAAAAACAAAGTTGGAGATGGTAAATTAAGATTTATTCATTGTTTACTTTTTAAATTGACACGTTTGTTTTAATAATAGAGTTAAAACATCCGCGAGGGCCTAGTACAGTTCCTAATCATGTACTTTTCACTGCTTACACTTCTGCAAAGCTTTTAATATCAAAATATCCATTTCATTATCTAAATCATTGTATAACATAGTAGCCGCTAGTAATATCTCCCGTGAACTTATGTTACGCACCAACTGTGTGTATTGTACGCAGTCTAGGAAACCACTCACGGCAGCTGCATTTTGGGACCAGGATAAAAGCCGCTGTGCACCTATTATGCATCTAGGAAACCACAACCTTAGAGAGCTTTTTAAATTTTTCAACTCATATATATATATCAGCTCTTAACAAAGTGACATAGATTTGAAACCAACCACCGGTTGTGCACTGTGATTTTCGGTTAAGCAGTCCTACTAGCCATGTTGTTGATAGAAACAGTGCGGAATTGTTTCAACATCAGGTTTTCTTCTGTGTACGTGGCTGTTCCTTGGTACATGCTGCATTACTCTTTGTACCAGCTCATCATTGAGGCCGTGTCTAGTCATGAATTCTATGCTGATGTTTTCAGGAATTTAACTTTAGAGGCTTGAGTTCGGCTACTTTTTTTTAAGGAAATCTGTTTCTAGGCTGTATGACTATCCAAAAAAAAAGGAAAAAATTAGCTCTACCATTACTGCGGAGAGAATACATTCCTGTCAGAGGTGCTTGTTAGTTTGGTTTGTCGTCTTCTGAAGTGGCAAAGAGGCTAACTTTGGAGAAGATTTTCATTGACTATGTTGGACCACTACTGCAAAGCAAGTCATGAAATAAATGTATGCTTGTTTGTTTGGATACATTTTCCAAGTTTTTCAACTTTGAGAAATGCCACTGCCCAGCTCACCGTCCAGATATTTCACACCCATTTATTCCAACATATTGGTAAACCTGCCACTATTGTGTCTTACTACGGCAATCAGTTTGTTTCCTACTACCGCCCATAGCCTTCTGAAAGATACATGCTGAAAGAACTGACATCTTTGTTCTGCTCTCATTGCTTTTTACACCGACAAACAGACCATACGGGTACTTCCTTGGATCCAATTTGTTTTCAATGTATATGACAGACACTAGGCAGTCCCTTTCGAGTTGTTAATGGAGTTTCCCCCAACAATCTTTTGTTACATTTGAAAAAAAATGTATTGTATTCTGCCGCCTCTAGGTACTTGTAATGTCAAGATAATTTGGCAAGCGGTCTTGCAAAACCTAGTTTGGTCCAGAGGAAGCTCAATCAAGGTTGAAGTGCCAATCCCAAATTTAAACCCGTACCGAATTTGAAAAAAATAAACTCAAATCCCCACGCCAAACTGTTGATCAGCTGACGACATTCATCCAATCAGCGACGCACAATTCCCTGGCCTGTGATTGGTCAGGAGGGTCCAAGACTAGCTCGGAGACCTGGCTCATCATAAAAAGCAACATTAGAAAAGACCCTAGTGGTCTGCCACTAGTTGGCGACGTGTTATCCAAACACTGCCACTTATGTGGTGGTGTGTTAGTGTCTGTCTGCGTCAATGTATCGGGTAAGCCTCTGTTCACGTCACATGCAAAATTAACTAAAAGTCAGGGTACTAGTTGTTCAAATTTTGATTTTCATTAACCTCTTCATCATATATCCAGAAGGGTTTTGATTGCGTTGCGCTGAAATCAAAACTGATTCAATTGGAAACCACAAGTTCAACTCATTCCAACTAGTGCAAACCGCCCTTTGAAATTTCACGTTGAGCCGAAGCGAGTTTTGTCAATTATTTCAATATGGCGTTAACAGAGACCTGCCCAAAACTGTATTTATTTGCGTCATTGATGTCAGGATATATATTTGTAAGTCATTTGTAAATTGTTTATTTAGTATAAGTTGTTATTTGATAGTGGTTCGTGCAGGGTCGTCATTGTTCCTGTTTGTTGCACACGCTAATTAGATTCTACAACTACCTTTTGCCAAATTGTATCTGTTTCATTCCAAGTTATTTGTAGTCAAAGAAATTATTTACATATCTAAAATGATAATATACAAAATATAGTCTTAAATTTATATCTGTTACAATAAGTTTTGCCATGAGGTCTTCATTTTAAAGAAAATTGTGTAAGTTACCTTTCATCTGCTAATAAAAAGGAAAGAAAAGTTTTAAACTTGCCACTAAAACTTAATTGGGATTTATTAAAATAAAGGGAATAGGTTGCTAATTGACTCCAGATAGTGATAAGGCCGGTATCCACAGTGCGAGGCAGCTCGCTGCGAATGCTCGACTTTGCCTAGGACTGTGGATACCGGGGTTGCTTGCCATGAGGCGCTCGCGTCGCACAATGTGAGGCGAGCCGTGTACTTGTCGGTCTCAGAGCAGTGCTCAAAGAAAGGTGCCTCGCTCCGAGCTGTGTGTCATCATGACATGATCAGGATTTAGTGAAATGTTATGGAAAGCAAAGCGGGTGGTTCGCGTGCTTACAGTGAGCATTCGTGTTTACAAACTAGCTGCCAGCAAAAGAGCTCACCCTGAGGCAGATGGCACGAGGCATTCGCAGCGAGCAGCTTCGCACTGTGGATACCGGCCTATATCAGGCGGCGGGGTGCGAGATTGATCACAGACTACTCCCCCATAACGCCAGTAACTGCTAAATAAAACAACATTTTAATATTAAGTTGTATCCAGGATTATGTGTCCAGCCTAACTGGCACAAAACAGCCTCCTACAAGATCTGTTCTACAGTGATATATAATTCAGTACTGGCCAGTCAATTCAACAGGATTTAGCGGCGTTGAGTAGAAAATAAATAAATATTCCCATTGCCTCAGTCGCGTGACCGCAACTGTCGTTTGAAACCATTTCAAAAGAACAAGTCATTCAGTTTTAGGCGGCAATATAAACATCATTGCATTTTTCAGTAGTAAATACAAACATTTTTTTTTATTGTTAAAATAAAGTTGTTTGTATCATTTGATAGTCAACAATATATACTCATTCAGATTATTTTTCACTTTATAGTATAATTTATCCTTGTCGGTATAAATTTTCAATTCAGTATCAGTATTAATTAACTCTAACAGACATAAAAAGAGTAACAGATTACAAATTACACTACAAAAGATATACCTTTGAGTACAACTTGTTATTTGGTGTTAGTAGCGTAGTATTAAATCCAGTTTTAAGATTAATTGCCATTAAACATTGGAGGATGTCAGAAAGTAGCAAGACCTTCCTTAAGGATCTCTGGGTATACTTTTTATTCTACAGGCCCCACTTAAATTTTTTGTTTAACATCAAGCTTCCCCTGCCATCGCTCTGTTGAGGGACTTTTATTCTCTATGTTCTTCCAACCTAGGGGCAACCATCCAATTTGTAAAGAAATTGGCATGAGAAGGAGAAGGTGAGTTAGAGGGATACGTATATTTACGTTTTAAAGGGAATCATGTAAACTTTCCAGATGGGACGTGATGTTCCGTAAGGCTCAAAAAGTCAGTATGGCTGTGGAAAATTTGCCTAATTGTGTCATTGTGTCAGTTCCATGTCATATCTTGAAGTTCCTGACAAGTGTTCCAGAAGTCTCACATTTCCCATCTAATGGAAAGTGGTCTTCCCATTTAGTTCTCCAAATCACTTTGATGCCTGAGCGGAAAGTGTACTGGGTCAGAGAGACTGATTGATCACCTATTCTGTCTCTAGTGTGTGTGATGTTTTCCCTTAGTATTCCTTCTCCAACACTGGCCACCATATTTGTTTGGAATATCCTTGGCATTCCTTGGGCCAGTCACTGGGGTCCTTTCTGCAGATTTGAGTTCTTCGATAGAGGGTTCTCTTTTAGAGAGGGATGTTGAGCCAAGACATTGTCCTTTAGTGCCTAGTGGGGCTGTTCTTTTTTTTGTTATAATGTACTGTAGTTTTGTTTAATGTTATTTGAACCCGGTGACAAGACCTGTATTATACAAATAATTTATTTATCAATGTTGCCTGAAGGTCTTGTAGGTTGTTAAGCTACTCCATGCGCATTTTGCCGCTCAGGGCGGCATCTTCATAGAGTATCTTCTTACACTAGATTTCTTACACTATACTGTACATATTTACGTCAGAGCTTTTTATTAACTTTTCGGTCACATTCGTGGTCGCCGTTGTTCTTATTCATGAAGATTCCACACTGAGCGGCGAAATATGCATCGAGTAGCTCAACAACCTACTAGACCTTCAGGCAACATAGGTAAATATATCATTTGTAGTTTTGTTATTGTTGTAGGAGCAGAATGTCCCGTAACTATGTCAGGGTGACCTATGTCCTGCGTAAGTCCTGTCAGACAGAACACTGATGGAACGTGACGTGCCATCAAACTGTCCCAAGTTAGCATAGGCTCTGACACCGTCCGACTGGGAACACATACTTGGTCTACACTAAGTCTTTAGTTTGGATTTTTACCATCAGTTGCCGTGAGTGAGATGTGGTCTGTGTAAGAAAAACTGGGGACAGGATGGAACTGCTGCCCAACTCCTAGGAGCACACCTCAGTTCAGGTGGCTACCACACTCACACTCCACTTAACCAGCAGATTGACCTAGCCTCCCCCCCAATACCACCGTCACCATGGAATAAATAATAAAACATTGAGATTGAAACTGTTGAATAGTAATTTTAGGTTCATGATAATTTTATTGAAGCATGTTGCATAGATCTAATGTTTAGATAGGTAGTGCAGTGGGCCAACCCTCACATTGTACACATGGGACATGCTTCCAACATTCCTTGGGAGTCCAGTTAAGCTGGATACAAGGACGAGAGACCCGGTTCAGTTTTGCAGTGGTAATCTAACATTTAATGTAGAGTGCATCCAAGACAATGACATCATCACGGCAAAATGTTACTTTTCATTTACAAATATCCTCTACTAAAGCATCAACTTTACCTGATCAATTCCCGATACTGATACCAATGTCTATAGGTTGTATCAAGAATCGACTCTACTCACAATTAATCTTTGGTAACTGTACTCTTTTCAAATCTGCCACTAACAGCTTGTGGTCGTGTACCATTTATTATAACTTTTTTTTATTTTAGGTAGAAAATAAAGGACCCAGAAAACTGAGTAAAGTGACAATAATACCGTCTCAACCTGCACCAGACAACAATGCTCAAGTAAGTTTCAGATAATATGTTTATGGTGTTCATAACAAATTTAATGTAAGTTTGCATATAATATAAATTAAAGATCAAATGTTACTTTCATATTGTTGCTTTTGTTTATCTGTTCAATTAACTTACCTTCATATTTTCACAGTGCTCATAATATTTGTGTGCTATATTCAACAACGATTTATGCAAATTCTACGCGAGTTTCTATCATGACTTATTCACACTACCAAATTTTCCTAGAGATGATAGAAAAAATATCATTGAATAAAATGTTGTGTCATTTTATAGAAGAAAAAGATCAAAAAGAACAAATATTTTAGTCGCTAACTCAATCTAACTTTTTTAAATCGGCTGGTATAGATACCTCTAGTTTTAGTTGTAGTTCACTTTTTTAGAGATAATATACTGTACCTGACTAGACTAAGATTTTCTTTGGTTGCTAACTAGTTTGAATCAATATATTAATCTTTTAGTTTTTTATGTGGACTCTATATTTTAAACTTTCAATAAACAATAGTTTATTATTGTTACAATCAAAGCTATCAGGAACCTCAGGATTTTCTGTCTTAAGATTTTACGATTCAATTTTTATTTTGGCAGGAAATAATCAGCCAGACAAATTTAAAATGGAATCCAAAAGTTCCAGTGAGTAAAGTTTAGTATGAATATTATAATTTACTGAGTTTTCCATCCGTGTCCCTGGTTAAAAACAAATAATGACTGAATTTCATCTTCCTTTAGAAGTTGTTTCGTTTGTGGTAGATAAACCTACTCTGGACTTGTGTATGAGTGAAATTGATACCTATTCCCCAGGCCTACAAAGCCCTCTGAGATGGGTTCTTGGCTTTCACCACGTGATACTGTATGTGTTTTAGAAGTAGTTACTGCATTCCTAAGCTACTACTTTATAAAAAAGTTAATTAGATAATCAATAAAACCACAACAATTTTATGGTTTACTACTTGAAGAAAGTGTATAGAAATGAAAAGATTAGTGTTACTATGATCATATTGGCTTTGCTAATCTTAATGTCAAATTGTGTATAATAATTTTTTATCAGACTCCCCAGAAAATATGAAATTGCAGCTCTACTGTCACCTTCCATCTATCAGCTAATAACACAAGCTACTTTCTAAACCTACCCAAGTGCTTTTCAAAGAATAATGATTGTCAATATCAAAGTTTGTAAATTTAAAATCCCTACTTTTTGGTTAACAGCTGGAAATAGGCCACCCTGGTCTGTGGTACGCTCGTTAATTGTTGCCATATTATTTTTTTAATTTTATATTTAATTGATTATTGCAAACATTTTCCATCACAAAAAATTACAAACAAAGTGTTTATGATGTTTTGGGACCTGGAACTGACCCCGTTCTCAGGTGAAAAAGTACCCAAACAAGAATAGATAATCACCAAAAAAATATTTTTTCTGTACAAGAGTTATAAAGGGTGATCAACTCAAGGAGGCCACCATTGGGATATCGGAAACGGTAAGAATTAGAAAAAACTTGAAATGGGGGACATTCCTTTATTTTTTTGTGTCAGTTTAAAATATGAATTTAGTTTTAGCATATTTCCCACAAGGGAATATTAGCGTATTTCCCATATAGGGAATAATCTATTACCATAGTACTCGTGGTAAGACCTGGACCCAGGACTGATTTACTTTTTTGTTTTGAGGTCCCTAGAGACCTCAAACACCATCCGTTCAAATTCATTTATATATATATATGTGTGTGTGTGTGTGTGTGTGTGTGTGTGTCTGTTAGCACGGTAACTCTAGCAAAAATGATCCGATTTTGATGAAATTTGGTATAAACGTGTAAACCTACATTTATCAAACGAGCTCGCGAACCAGCATGATTAGACTATGGGAACGGGGGTTTATGGGGGATTTTATGGGGTAAAAATTGGTTTTTCCCATTTTTGACCCAAAAAACATAAAATTTAGCAATTTCTATCCAAACCATTTTTTAGAGCTTAAAAAACAAATAATTTAGTACATTGAAGCGTTATTATGCGCCTAATGGTTATGATAAAAATTCCAAAAAACTGTAAATTTAAAATTCCTATGTTATTCTTTTGGAGAATAAGTTGTAGTTTGCTTGTTTATGAACATATTTTGATCAAATTTGAAAAATGCATTTATTTCTTACTAAACTATTAACATAAAAAAACACTTTTACCCTCCCTGTTGCAGCTAACCTAAGTACTCGTTAAAGTAATTATTTTTAAATAAGGAATGAATGTGATATTTTTAAGGAGACATTTTAGTGTAAATCCAATCAGGCAAATGGAAATATGCTTAGTCTGCAGGTTTGCTACGGCGGGGGTATTTTGAAATTCGGCAGCCATTTTCCTGGCGGCTAACTTTGAAATTTCTTACAAAACTCACGGGATTTTATGATATTTTTTAAATGTAGATGCAATGAAAAAAAAAATTATACTTTGCATTCCCTCTCTAAACGTTCTCGTTTAGGAGCTACAGGATGACAAATGTGAAGAGAAAGCCACTTTTTCCTAAATTTAACGTGCTCTAACTGCTAAACGAGTGGCTTTAGAGAAAAAGTGTAAAGAATAAAAACTTTTTAAAATTGCATTTCAATTCTAAAGACATAATAAAACACAAGGTTTTCCATATCAAGTTTTAAAGTTTTAAAGTTTTTTAAAGTTTTTAAGTTTTAAAGTTTTTTAAAGTTTTTAAGTTTTAAAGTTAGCCGCCATATTGAAAAATACGGCCATTAAAAAAAATTGGAATCCATATTTTTGAATGTCATAAAAAAATAACTGAAGTTTCCCATTTAATGTTTACTCAAAATCTAATAGTTTCTGATGTACCAATGGTGGCACACTTAAGTTGTCACCCTGTATACTCTATTTACAATAAAGGTCAATATGTTCACAGGTATTTCAAATTACACATAAACTTTATAATATAATGTACCCTAATTAGTTGGTATGAGATTCCTCCACATTCATTTGTTTCATTCATAAATATGTTATAAGCTTTGCTTGGTAATGCTTTATTCAAAAACAATTACTTATAAGCTATGTCCACACTTGTGCGCTTTCAATTTCAACGTACCTTATTCAGTTCAACCTACAACTCAACATTCAATTCAACATGCATCAACGAATGCGGTATTGCAAGCGCTTTGAGGCTTGCCTTTTAGCTATCGGCACTCATGCCTCACTTTCCTCACGTTTTAGATACTTTTTTTCTAGTTGAATGAAGACGACGCTATTCTGATAGGAGGAAATGGCGTGGTATGATTAGTGTTAAGAAAATTTCACAAACGTAAGAAATCAATGTGTACAAGAAGCAAAGAAGGAGTGGTGGAAGAAGGAGTATTATAAAACTCGTAATTTTCTTATTTTATTTTATTTTGTAATTTATTTATTAATTTAATGAATTTAATTTGTATTTTTTTTATATTTATAATCCCGTATGTCCCACAAACATATGTAAATGCAAGTGATATGAATTCTGATGTTTGTTGGATATTTATGTTGCTTCAAACAACTACAACACGGACAACTTGTCAAAAATGTAAAGCAGTGCAAGTTTAAACACATGAAATGGAGCTCCATCTGCATCAAGGCATGCGCTTGGCACCCACAAAAACGCACAAGTGTGGACATAGCTACTTACAATGGTTACTTGCATGTTGCTGAGTATTTAGCTATAGACATGCCAGTAGTGAGTTATGTTTTGTCTTTCTCTACATTTTGCTTTATCAACTTTCACTTTTAGATATGCAGTAGACATTAATGCTTTCTCTATTATAACTTTTATGCAATTTTAGAAACAGGAAACATCAGTTCCAGTTTATAAAGCAGTGCCCAGTGTATTACCAGAAAAGGTAGGTTTATTCTAATGAATATTTTTGCAAATATAGTACAACTATACACGCTCACAATAAAGTTAAGTGAAAATATATTATGATGTGGAACAATCTTATTTACAAAATAATACCATTATTTTAGTTTGGTAATGAGTTCAAAATCAATTATTCTATTTTTTGGTTGTAAATTAAAATTATTTTGGTATATTTTATGTTATAAGGTTTACTTTACAATTTTAAATACTTTTGAATATTAGAGTTTTGTTTTAGATGATATAGAATGCTTATTATTGCTGTGAAAATATCCCAGTCAACTATAATGAATGTATACAATCACCAACAAGAGAATAAGTAACCATTCTCTTGTCTGCAATATAAGTTACTGAAAATCTATTGATTCGGAGGTTTTTCTGAAGTTTAAATATCCTATTGTCGGTCAATCACTTGACAACAAGCGTAAAGAAGTTATTACCACAGCTCGCCATTAGCCCACCAGCCCCCCTCCATGCTATTAGACAACAATACATGTAAAATAGAGAAACGTCTTCCTTCTGTAAGACATTTTCCTAAATCATTGCAGAAACTTTGATAATGTTGATTGTTGGACCTTCTCTTCTGAATTGGACAGCGTAATTCTACCTGTTATAACTGAAAACTTCGCCAAAACCAGTTTTGTCTGTTACAAAAAAAGTTTTTACCAGGAGGTTTTAGGCAATAGTACATCCAATGGCGGATCTAAGAATATGGATGCCTTAAAAGTTATTTTGGTCAGATCCAGACAATCTGCTGTTAAACTCTCTTGAAGATGCTTTGCAAACCATAAAATGTGGTTTTATATCATCCAATGTCAAGCTTTTTTGGAATTAGTAGAGTATTGTGGTTTTCCTTGTAGTAGTAGTATTTGGTTTTGCCTAAAGCTTAGTAGTACCAGCTAACTGTTTATTGTCTTAATTGTAGAAGCAAGACACGCTTATTCCTGTTACTAAAACCCAGTCTCCTGTTGATGCTGAAAAGGTAAGTAACAGTATCTTGACGGCGCATTATTACTTCAATAAAAGTTAAGTATTCTTATCTTGAAAATAGATCTTATTAGAAGGTAAAAACATTTGATAACCAATCGTTTATTTTCAAACCAATCTAAATTTGAATAAATGGAAATACGAAGATTGAGCGTAAATTAAGGTCTCCATTGACCTCCTGTTGTGGCCAAGCTAAATCTGAGACCTTCTTTACTTAATACTATTCTAGCTAGTTCAAATCTGAGACCTTCTTTACTTGATACTATTCTAGCTTATTCCCACCCCAAGGGAAGATTAGTCCAGTCATAGTAGCCGAAAATGATGAGAGAGAAAATCGACGCTCCCACCAAATATGAATTGCGTTCTATGATTACGTTTCTGTAGGAGAAGGGTCAACCGCTGTTAAAATCCCTTAATGTGCATGAGTGGCTTAGGGTGTTCATAAGTTTCTTTTGAATTTGGAAAACCCTCAATTAGAAGGGGGGGGGTCCAGGAAATTTTGGAAAGTTTTAACTGAAAACTCGTGTTTTATACGATTTAGACACAAAAAACTTTTTGCAGTTTAAATCTGTAGTTTTTTAATTGGATTCATTTATCAAAGTCTTCTTGATTAAGGAAATAAAGGCACAATAGACTTGTTTGGGGGTTCAAGCCATTAGTTTATAATTTATAAAACTTTCTCCATAAAACTTAAACAATAAGTTCCATGTCAGTAATCTTTTTCCAACACTTAATTAGGCTCTTAACATTCACCTAAATATCAACAATGTATGTATTGTATAAAAGGCATAATTCATTCAACCATTCCTGCAGCTCGTTTCATAACATCAGCGGTCTTGTTACAATTCAACACAAATACCAAGCAAAGTAAAACAGCGAAGCACCGCCATAAAGTTCAAAGTTTGTCTTTGTTCATGCACAAGTTCCTAGCGTTAGAATAAGGATTGTTTTTCCATAGTAATTTTTGTAAATTATATGTAATTAAATTATATAAATAATAGGCTAATTTTTAGATTTAATTTATGACTTGAGTAACTTTGAAAATCGTGTAATACGAGACTCGCTTGTAAATAAAGGCCTTTTTGTAATTTATTATTATTATAATTATTATTATTATAATTCCAAACAATTATATAAAAACCGCATACTTTGCTTACTTTCAATCCATTATAAGATATGGGTTGATATTCTGGGGGAAATGCAGGAGAATTAAAAAAATTTTGAAATTACAAAAAAAAACTTTAAGAATAATGAATAGATCTAATCGGAATGAGCACTGTAAACAATTGTTCATAGAATGGGAGATTCAGACTGTTGTTAATTTATATATATATGATATTATGATGTACAACCTTGGGATACATAACCATCTGAAATTTGGCAACCACAGGTATAATACACGAAACAAAAATAATGCTGCTTTAGAATCACATCATTTAAATAAAACCTCTAGTAGCCACATAATTTTATCTATAAAAATCTACAATGTTTTTCAAAAGCTAATTGCAAATAGGCCATTAAAAGAATTTAAAAATAAACTTTACTTATGGTTGTTGGGACACCCCTTTTTTATAAACTGGACGATTTTTTCAGTTGTGAAGATGTCCAGTTTTAGGTGTAGTATTCTTTGACATTTTATCATTTTAGAAGTTGCTGTTTTTAATTTGTGATTGTACCTTTTTAACTTGTTATGTACATTTTTCGATATGTATATATATATTTCTCTCTTCAATATTGGGCTATTACCTTTAAGATAGTTTTAAAAGTGAATAAATATTGTATGACCTGGCAGTTGCACTGCATCTTATGACTTTGTCAATGATACTTTTGTATTTTTACGACAAATAAAGATTTATTATTATTATTATTATTATTGTTATTATAAGTAACTATGTCTCGCACGATCTAGATTTGGCAGCCAAAAACGCTAGATTGTGCGCCCAGTTATTAGCTTTCCAGCAAGCAAATTAAATGTGTTATAGCACTGATTCGATGAATATTATTCGTAGAGAGAACACAGGAAATTTGCACACAGAAACAAACGTTGAATAGAACAAATACCTATCTAAAGCTTTCTTTTGTGTGACAGTGGCACTTGTTATCCTCAATAACTTTACAAACGCATCACAACATTTTTGGTTCTCAGATTCTCGTGGGGGCGGGGGCCCACCCTTGGATCCGCCACCGTACACCATGGATAACACCTCCAAAATCCCACCATCCCTTACACAAAACGCTTTACTCCATTCACGTTTGTTAACTGGCGATGAACTTCAATGTCGGTTGAGGACTGAGACAGCTAAAATCTAAACACAGAACGTAATTTAAACTTGGTGGGAGCGTCAATTTTCTTTCACAGCATTTTTTAATACTATGATGAGACTAATCGTTCCATAGGGGTGGGAATCGATGATGAAGTAAATTACAAGATGTAGTTAGTTAGCAGATTTGAACCAGCTCGCTTGGCTGTAAGAGAGCCTGAAGGAGATCCTAATTTATGAAGAACCCTATTCTATTTAAGCTCATATCTGAAATTTTTACTCAAATCCTGCTTTTGGAAAATGTGAATGTTAAAATCACATTTTCATTCAATTTTTCAAATTTTTATATAATATAAATGAAACAAATTTGTAAGATGATATTTATTTGCATAGTTATACAAACTATGTTGAATAATTTATTTCAAATTGTAATTTATTTCAACAATTCACTACCACCCTAATAACTCAGCGACTACGGCTTATTTGTTAGTATTTTTTTTAGAGGCCATTAGTTGATGTTGTTTTCCCAGTAGTAATATGTATACAGACTACCTGAAGAAGTAGTTGCAGTTAATCTATTATTTTGTAAGAGTTGCTTTATGTTTGTTGTTCGCTTATTGTTTTTATTTTGCAATTGTAGAAGCAAGACTCAAACACTCCAGTTTCTAAAAAGGAATCTCCATATATTATTGATAAGGTGAGTTATCTCCTTGTCTTCTTTAGCCATAACACCAAAACATTTTTCTATCTGAATATTCTTTATTTCAGAACGAAACACTTTAGGCATTGGCCGGAAGGGCTATCGCCCAGGTTGGCAATACAACATACTCAAAACAACAAAGTTACATTTACTCTTAAAATAAATCTAAATAAATAAATATTATAATGTATATACCTAAACAGTTTACACATTATTTTTGTGGGCTTTTCACTTGAAGCCAAAGAGAAATGGTTTCCCTCATGCCATAGAAGGGATTTGTGTACATTATGGTTTTCATAAAACTAGACTGAAGAAAATTCCATAATACCCTCACCGATTGTCCTATTAAATGCCATTTTTATTACTCAAGTACTTGGTGATCGAGCTTTGCTCGGGGAAAATCATTAGTTTACTCTGAAAGCAGTCTTAGTATTGCAGATACATTAATCCATTCCCAAACTCCACACTGCTCGCCTTTACTACTTCTTTTACCATTTCCTACGTCATGCACCTGTTTCCTTCTCATAGCATTTAAATATTACAGATACATTAATCTAACTGCCACAAATGGTTCCCCCACTCTGCGATGCCAGCCTTTACTACTTCTTTCACCACTTCCTATGTCTTGGGCCTGTTTCCTTCCCTTCTCATAGCATTTTAGGATTGAAGATACATTAATCTAACTGCCACAAACATTCCCCAAACTCCGCACTGCTAGCCTTTACTACTTCTTTCACCATTTCCTATGTCGTGGACATGTTTCCATCCCTTCTCATAGCAGTTCAGTATTGCAGATACATAAATCTAACTCCTACAAACGGTTTCCAGTTCCCACACTCCACACTGCTCGCCTTTACTAGATACAATCACAAACATTTACTGTTGTACTATGTTGTCATTATGACTGTAGTAGTTGCTCTGTGTTTGTTAAGAAAGTTGTATTGTGCCCAGTGGAAAACTTCATGCAAAAATTGTCCAGCAAGTCTGGGTTGCTTTCTTGAAATATATATTTTGTTTCAATAATTCATAAAAGTTTTGATACAATCACTAGTTAAAGGCACAATTTTTAAATGTGTATTTTTTTTATTTTCAAAACTCGAAACTTTTAACTTTGTAAAATTTTAGGTGCATATTTAAACCATTATCCAGATGCTTATTTGGCACCTAATAGTTAGTCTAACTGTGTTTCATTCTTTGCTTAATCTAACTTCACTTTTTAGAAAAACGAAACTCCAGTTCAAAGTACAAAGCTCCAGGTAGCAAATCCCAGTAAAAAGGTAAGCTTCCTTATACACTACCTTCAAGTAAGCATTTTGTATTTCAACTTGAATGAAAACTTGAAAATGTTGTAGAGCAATCATTAGAATAAAGTTTTAGCTCACGAGATATAGGGAGATAACTATCAAATGTTGTAGAGCAATCGTTAGAATAAAGTTTTAACCCACGAGATATAGGGAGATAACTATCAAATGTTGTAGAGCAATCGTTAGAATAAAGTTTTAGCTCACGAGATATAGGGAGATAACTATCAAATGTGATTGTATCAAACAAACAGTTACAAATCCCTGTAATAGAATATTATTGCAAATACAAAACAGAAAGTAAAATAGTATTACTAACATCACTACAATACTTTTCTTTAATTGTAGAAAAATGAAAACTTGTATTCAGTCTCAAGCGCAAAACCAGAAGTTTACCATATTGGTTTTAAAATATTTGTCATAGATGTAAAAAGCAGTAACCATCTAGGTTTGTGGGAGTTTATTGTGCAAAATATTTATAATTGCTTCACTTGAAAACTTGTATTCAGTCTCAAGCGCAAAACCAGAAGTTTACCATATTGGTTTTAAAATATTTGTCATAGATGTAAAAAGCAGTAACCATCTAGGTTTGTGGGAGTTTATTGTGCAAAATATTTATAATTGCTTCACAGTATTTTTGCCCGGCTTTTCAAATCTATAATATTTTATAAAATTGGAGCCATTAGCTCTTATTCTACTCATGAATACTGTTCAAAATATTATACTGATGTTTTTAGTTTTTTAGTTGTTTTATTTTATCAGTACTAATACAACAGGTGGCCAGTTTACAATTTATATTTCATAAAACATAAATTATACATAATGAGACTCGTGAAAACTATCCTGAATAATGGTTGGATAAAAAATGTTGACACATTGAAAAAAATCTAAAAATCAAGCCACGATGGCATTGATACAAAACTGATTGTATACAATTACTGTATATTCGACATAACTAATCTTATTGTATCACATAAGCAGTATGTTCAATAACCTCTGCTACACTTTATTCAAATGACATGGAATATGTTAACAATGTAACAACTGAAAATATCTGTTAATGTGTAAGGAAATCATATATATCAGTACACTATAAGTGTTCCTATTATTACACATCCTTACTTTGGATATATTTCTTTCGTCAACAATTGTGTGAACGATGTGGTTAAAAGCTGTTAGCTAGTAGACAAGTCCTGTAGTATCCTTATTGCTTGTAACCATTTTTATTGAGTGTTGTGAACAGGGGAAGTCTTTAAACATTTCCAACCCGGAGCAACCACCATTCAAGGTAAGTGTTCTTCCAAGTCAGTTAAAATACGTTGGATATGCCCACAACAATCTTATACTGTACTGTACTTTTAAATTAATCAAGATGCAAATGTTATCCAAAGAATTATCTAGAGGTCCCCTAACTGTTTTAAACTATCTTATTGTTTTTGCCAGTCAAATACATTTTTATTTTATTATAGCACAGTTTGTTTATAGCTTTGTTCTGTATGGGGTTTTGACATACATCATAAATCTTGGATGGATGGATGGATAAGTTATTAGAATTCATTACTACTTAACTTACTAGATACTTCAGTCAATGGGTTCAAAGAGATTTTGTAAATAAAAACTTTCAAGTAATCAGCATAAACTACCATGGAATATTATAAAAATTTAATTACATTTTCTACCTACTATTAAAGTTCATTTTCATTTAAATCCCTTCAGAAATTAGTCGCTGGGGTTTGTGAGCCTTGAATTTATTTGGAATGAAACCGATATGGTACTTTTGACCTCATTTACATAGTGGGATCCATCCCAGGCACTTATCTTGCAACATCTTTTTGCATGTTTTTTTTTAAGTTAAAACGTACTTTAAAATGTATTTTTATCCATAAACTCTACTAAATCTGTAATTAAATCAATTTAAAGAATCTACAAAAAGTTATTGTATCTCAGTTAGAATATAGCATTACTAGAAAGCTACCTACTTTAATATTGTTTTCTTCTGATGTAAGCCGTTCTGCATTCTGCATCTTCAGAGGTATGAACTGTACAATTTTAAGTAGATTTTTTCTTCCTATTGGTCCTCTATCAAGATCAATTATTTGATATCGCCTTTGTTTTCTTTCAACTTTGATTAAAATTCTAAAAGTTACGTTCATTAAAGGAAAGGATTATTATGATGTGTGATTTAAAATCTTGAGATGAGTACTTTAATTGTGCTTCTAGTGTTGTCTTTGTGTGTTGGTTATCTCAATATTTGTAGAATAGTTTTTATTTCTTAACCTTAACTTGTGATGTTTTGTGCTTTAGCTTACTTAGTTGTGATTCTGCTTTAACAGGAACTATTCAGTCAGGCTAACTTAAAGAGAACTCCAAAGAAAGAAAAGGTAAATTATATTAAATTTGTGTTCCTCCTTTAGTAGATAGATTGTTTCTTTGCTAAAGAAATGTTTGCATTTCCTTTTCACCTTGTGTCATAGTGATTGGTCCTGTTCTAGTTTCACACTTTTAATAATATTCAATAATAATATCTGAGTGCATAATAGCAGATCCCTTTACAATAAAATACTCATAGTTTAATATATATATATATATATATATATATATTTAGTTAGTATAACGAATACAAATTAAATAACTCAATTACTTCCTCCAACAATCGAATACAGTACAACAAACATTTCTCAGTGAATGTCACTGGAATGATAACTCTATGATGAATCATAGAATTAGAACTCTCTATGCAGGAATCTCTGAAGGAAATAGATAAGAAGTTCAATGCCTTCTTTGTGGGGGAGCCTATCAATCGCAGCTGTACAGTGTTGGACAGTGTGAAAACCAGACCTTGATCTGGTACCATAACTGTGAATAGCAATTCTCCTAAATTGCCTAGACAAGCAAACATTGGAATTGGCAGTAAACTGTTGTTTCCAATTTATAAAGGGAAAGTAGAGTTAAAATGTTTTAAATTTCCAATGATTTTGACAGCTTGTTTTTGGAGTCTAGATAACTGGTTACTGCTTACTGTCATGGCCACTTGTACCCAAGCTGGTATTGCCTTGCTAACACGTTGTCACCAATTCTCTCAATCCCTCGAATCCTCCTCTACGAGTCTCATTGTTTCCATATATTACTGGACTTGCTCCCACCACCTGGCCTTCGGTCTTCCTTGGTCTATTTCCACTCTGATCTCCCCTTGGTACCATATTTAATAAGCTCTTCTAATTTCTCCTCAAGAGTCTAGATAGCCTTCTTTTAAATAAACACCCTGCACAGCCAACCCTCAATGATATTCCCTATTTACTATTTTGGCTTGCAGGCTTGAACCCCTTAATATAAAACCTTATCTAATATCTGATAAATTTCTACATTAAACCCTGTCACGTCATTAGAAAATTACTTGCCTGCTTTACAATACATTTTAACCTTTTTTTTTTGAAAGCTAAGGCCGAAAGGCTTTTGAACTGATAGGAGGCTAAATGCTAAATTGAAGATTTAAAATTTATTTGCCACAAAAACATAACAAGCGGGTAACCTGAAGCGAGAATTATATTTATTGGGTCATTAGAACCCTCAAAATTATAATTCCACCCATTCATGCATTTTAAGTTAAAACAACAATTCGGGCCTATATTTGCAAGATTTACAAAGTCAAAGTACCGTACAAAAACGGGTCTGCTCCAAACCTAGAACCTCCGAACACATTAATGCTAGCTGAGGCACTTTTGGAGGGTTACAATATATTTCATTTCCCATTTTTTTTTTTTTTTTTTTTTTTATAAGATAAACATTAAATTTTTGCACTTAATTTTTTAATAAAACATATTTTAACTTAAAAGATGCAATATGTAAAATATATTGTATCAATAAACTTGACATCTGTTATCTACTGCATAAATTTCATTTTTTAGAAGGCTGAGCCCCCGTCTTTACTGACGCCTAATCAAGCTCTTCTGGCACTGAATTTAAAGAAGGTAGATTTTATAATAATAATTAATTTAATTACCTAACACTGAGATGATTAAGTTAAACAGATAGTGTTTTCATATTGATATAAAAAAGTAAAATTAATAGTATATTACGTTACTAGTTCATGGTTAAACACCTTTTGCACGACTGATGTACAGTATTTTTCATTATAATGCTAAACTAAACCAACAATTATTAAAAAAACCTATCAAAATGTGTTATGTTCCCACCGGTTTAAGAACAATCACTCTCTGAAATATCATGTTTTTGTTTGTTAAGTCATTGCATAAATAGTTTTTTTTTTATAGCAAAAAGCTCTCACTAATTAGCATATTGAATGCCATTTTATTTCTAACTGAGTAAATAAAATAAGCACAAATGAAAGCTAATTAAACTCATTATGTACCTTAAACTCTATCATTATGTTTCTTCTTAGAGGATCAAGAAAATTATAATATATTTTTTAATTGACTAATTTTTCATTTATAAAACAGTTTGATTTTGTATCATTTTCCAACTATTTAGGAGCAGCTAGAAAAGGCTAATGTCACAACAAAGAAGAAATCTCCAAGTACAAATGATCAGGTATAAAAACATTGAGAAACATTAAAATTGGTTTGCATTCTGCTTCTAATGATAAAGAAGGTAGTTCATTAGAGAATATGTTCTCTCTCCAAGCATTCAAGAGCTCAAGAAAATGTTGATGTTATTACTTCACTCACTGATCCAAATTGTGTATTAATGGTTTTTCACTTAGTACTTTTTTATTACTTTCTTGTGTTCTATTAATTTTTACCTGTACTTTTACTAAAACCAAATGTTCTTCTTTTTCCAATCTGCCACTTGTAAGTTTTTGTTCACTTCACAAGGATTTTCAGTAAAGAATTGAAGTGAAGACTACAGTTTTTGGCCTATTACGCTAATGCAATGTGCTGCTACTCATTTGGAAAAACTTCACTTGTGTGTCACATGTTTAGACAATTTGTATCTGAAGTATTCTACAAACTATAGGTTTTTAAAATTGTCGATTTACAAATAAGTAAGATTAACTTTGGCTATTCTTTGCTGTCAAACGAGTTTACATTACTTACCTATCTAGACTGCTTACTCCAAATATATATCAAACCTCTAATAGGTATTTTCGATATTTATTTTCCTAGACGAATCAGAGAAACTTGAAGTTTTAATGACAAATGAGTACTTTCAACTCATAAGCTATAAAACCACTAAGTTTATGAATAATTCTTTCTTCTGATTTAAGAAGTAATGGGGGGTTTCAAATAAGCAAAACTCCAAATATTGAGATACAGTAGACTCCCTCTTATCCCCGGATAATAGTTTTTCCGGTTAAACCGTCGTCCTCAAAAACTTGTTATGTAACCCAAATATTTGACTTAAATTTAGGAGAGCATTGTATTTAGACACGTGATCATTGGTCTCAATCGCCCACTTCTTACCGATCTAGTCCGGTTAAACCGATTTGCTGATAAAAATTGTCTGGTTAATTCAATTCAAATTATCTTTATTCATCAAGTACATTAGGAATATATACATGAATAGTGTCACATTTCTTAATGATAAAGTTATAATAAAATATACATGCTTATAGTATAAATGGGAAAAATTGTAAAAGAACAAAAAACTAACAGTTAAAACATACTTTGATTAGTAGGGAAAGAGAAGTCAATTACAGTTCATCAAATGAATAAATAGCCCTGCTAATGAGAAATTTCTTAAGTTTGTTTGTTAAATTTTTTGATATTTACTTCTGTTTGTATGTCCTTTGGAAGTTTATTATAGAATTTTGTTCCGGCGTATTTGGGCTTTTTTTTTTCAAAAAGACACAATTTATGAGAGATGCACAATTAAAGAGATGCCATTTCCGCCGAGTGTAGTCCGGTTAAACTTATGTCCGGATAAGAGGGAATGTACTGTAATCAATGATTTAAAAATCCATAGACTCTACCTGCATGCTATTAGTGATTAGCTATTCATTGTGTATTGTATTAGTTGCTTTCTGTGTTGTCCTGTAGCTCATGTAGTTTGTTATTCAGGATAATGCTTCCTCAATGCAGTTTACTGCCAAGAGACCATCAGCATTCATCAAACCTAAGGTAAGTTAACCCTGAACTAACCACTCTTGATTCATCTTAACAACTCTATGCTTTGATGCTAAGAATGCAGCAAGTCTACACTCTATATAATAATTGTAAGGATACACAGTACATACCACTGTAAACATTCTGCTTGAGACAAAGCTGTATGTTTATAAAATCATTATAAAACAAAACATTACAAAAAAGGAAAACACATATACTGTATACATCAAGACTAATGGATTTGTACAACTTTGTAGCAGACGTGCAGAAGAGTGCCAATGATAGACAGGCTTGTTAGTATAGTATAACTGTAGTTGTTTTCTCATGTAAAACTATTCTTGCCAATGTCAACTGCAACCTCCTGTTTCATATATTCCAAGAAGTAAATGCCACCAACTTACTAGGAGCTATAACTCCTTAGCTAAAGTTGTTTTAAAGATTTTCTATAGTTTGACATTTTTTGCCAATCTTCAATGAATGATAGAGTTGTGGGGGTTTAATCGTTCAGTTTAACTTGCAATGAAGCGTAATATTAAGGTGCAAGCGCTATCCACCTTTTAAATTCATTTAAGGCTCTTTTCCTCATGACTCTGCATGAAACAGGTCCACCAAAGGCCCCTAAATGTTTCATTGACTCCAAAAGTTAAGAGATGGATCCAAGGCAAGAAGTTGATCGGAATACCTGTTTTGTGCCGTTACAGGTTGTTTTGGGCAGATCTACTAGATAAAATCCACTCATTTTTCCAGACCTCCCAACAGAAAACCTGGTTTTGCCGGTCTTGATTACTAGTCCCTAAGTGTATTTGTACTAGGGGTCTGCGGGTCCGGGAACTCCATTTTTTTGTGTCTGGTCGCACAGAAGGCTGGGCCCAAGAGATCCGTACAGGCAAAAAATGATTGTCAGGCCAAGCTTGGATTGAGTCAAGCCGAACCGAGTGTGAATTTTTGTGACTGCAAAGAGCGTTTTTTTTTTTAAGATTTGCGATCGAAAATTGACGATCTTACCGTGATTGTGGGAGATGATGATGTCCCATGACCGCGGAAGATGTCGAAGATTTTTTTAACCTCGAAAAATGCTCATGATTTCGCTATGACTACTAAATATGTTCTCAATTTTGCCATGACCAAGGAAGATGTTTACGATTTCGCCGGGATTGCGGAAGATGTACACCATTTTACACTGACCAGGGCAGACATTCATGATTTCACCGTGACTACAGAAGGTGTTATCAAGTTTGCTGTGACTGCAGAAAATGTTCTTGATTTTACTGTCGTCTGCGGAAGATGTTTACGGTTTCGCTGAGATTGTGGACGACGTTCATGATTTCGTAGTGACAACTGAAGATGTTATCTATTTTTCCGTGACCGCAGAAGTTGTTCTTGATCTAACCGTGACCGCCGAAGACGTTCTCGATCATACTTTGACCACGGAAGATGTTCTCTATCTTTCCGCAGACTAAATCAGGTTTTCACAGTGTGAGTTCAAAATTCCCGCAAAGTTCCTGATTTAATAAATTTACGCAAACTTCCCAGAATTCTCAGTCTGTATGGTCACCCTGGTAGGATGCCGCTATTTTGGCATCAGAATGTTTCTACACTCAGTACACAACCAGCTGTGGTAGCCAGAGCATCGTATCTTCTGAGCCTTTTATACAGTGAAGTTTTGAAATGAGCACTGCGATTGAAAATCCCCAATTGTGTAATTTATCACCAGATTTGTGATGTGTACGGCCAAGGAATAATGAGTGAAAGCTGAATGAAGCAGTGGTGCACTGATTAAAAAAAATTGCAAAATGAATGTTCACAACTAGGATCGCAGTGGTAGGCCTAGTCTTGCAACTGATAAATTGGTAGTGAAAATCGATGAAAAAATCCATGAAAATCGTTGTTTTCCAACTACCTATAACTCTCGAAACATTTTCCGCAAATTTCACAGAATTAAGTTCATAAAATAGTGGTTGGTAAACTTAGTACCGTAACCACAAATTTTGTGCGAGGCGGGTTCTGAAATTCCTAACGAAAGACAACAAAAAAACAAAGATTTTCTGCAGCACTAAGAGTGTAAACCATATGTTATTGATAATATTGTAACTGGTGATGAGACTTTGATAAAGCACATCAACTGGGAAACAATAAGTCAGTCAATGGAATGGGGTCACACATATTCCCCAAAGAAACCCATTAAGTGTTTGCAGACGCTATCAGCAAGAAAAATCATGGCTACTGTGTTTTGGAATGCTCAGGGAGTAATTTTCTAGATTATTTAGAACGTAACCAAACAATCAACTCAGAGAGGCATTGCAAAACACTCCAAAAATTAATATGTATGATCCAACACAAGTGTCACAGAAAACTTGGTGAAAATGTTCAGATTTGGCGCTGAGTGACTATCATCTGTTCCCCCTGATGAAGACGTAGCTTGCTATGCAATACTTTGACACTAATGCTGAACTCCATACCGGTGTAAAGTGCAGTGGTTGAACTCGGAAGCGGCAGATTTCGAGATTTCTATAAAGAGGGCATTGAAAAGCTTGGACCAAGTAATGAGAAATGCCTTAATTCAAATGGTCGTTATGTAGAAAAATAGCCTAAAAGTTTAGCTTCAAAATATTTAATATTAAAATTTGTTTTTTCCACTTTGTATATGGTTTATTTTAAAACTTCAGTTACTTTATGGATAACCCTCGTATATTAGTCTAAAATATTTGTTACCTGGTAGTATCCATTGAAGTTGTCATACACTACATATTCTGTTGCCACTGCCACGTCTTCACTTGCATCGCCTTGTACGATTTGTCTTCTGATTTGAATGGATAAGATTTTTTTCTTACTTCTTAGCATACTTTACATCAAGAACCAGAGTGATAAAATGTTCAAATGTTCAATGATAAAGTATAGTTTGTATAGTTTTAACACTATCTTTACAAATCTGAGTTTTTAAAAAAATATATCAAATACATGCATATATATATATATTAGTTAATACATACCTGTATTAGTATATAGTGCTGGGTAGTATAAACTTTATTGTACATTTAATTGTAATCCACCAGAAAATATTGTGGTAATGCTAAATCATTAACCCTTGTTTCATTTCCAGGAGGGGCCCAGTGGGAGACGCAGAGAGTCAACTGACAAGGTTGTTCCTGTTGTCATTGAATCATCCACCCCAAAGGAGCCCAGGAGAGAATCTGTTGTTAGAATTCAAAGAGAGCCAGAGAAAGAACCGCCTAAAGCTGCCAGAGAGTTTGCAAAACCAGTGCCAAAACCTGTGGAAAGGGAACCACCTAAGTCCATCCTCAAGGATCCCTCTAAAACTTCTATTCCAAAACCACCACCTCCTCCTATGGCACCTCCACCCCCTCCTCCGCCGCCAGGCCAAACCCCCATTATCAGTGAGTATCTAGTATTGTTTTCATCAGTTATAAACTAAATCAGTTAAAAAAGTCTTGTAAAAGTTTCGTTCTAAATCAGGGTAGAGACCTCTACTTTTATCAACTTACTTAAACCTCTTCAATGAAATCTACATTTAAAAGGTTTGAAATGCCATTGATTTATCACTTTTTTGGTGTAGGCCTACTAGTAATTTGTAACAATTCCAAAACAAATAAATCACTGTCTTTGACAAAGCGACATTGAATTATTCCAGGGACTAAAATAATTCATTAGGGTCTCAATTTGTATCACCTTTGAATTTATCTATGAAATAAGTTATTGTTCATTTTATAACATTAAAAAAATGCACTTTGTTAGTATGTTTGGATTAAATATTGTATTTAACAATCGTATTAATATAATATAAGAGTCTCTTCAATAAAACTATAAAGGGGACAAAGTAATACACCAAATTCATACACTGCACAGTAATGGATGGTTGTATTCTGTTTCAATCAAAACTGTGTGGATAATACCTATTTACCACTCTGTTTATAATACAATTCAAATTGTAATATATTTTACAGTATACCTGTATATATATATACTGTATGAGGTATACCTCTAATTGTGTCCCTTAAACATGTTAAATATATTTTACCACCACCAGTGGTGAGATGGCAATTTTTGCGGTGGCGGAACGGTGCACCTGGCCCAGAACTGAGGTATAGCCCCCCCGAGCCATCAATTACACGTAGCAGAATTATTTATGTTATGATGTGAAATTGCCAAATTTAGCATTTTTTCTTTTTGACAAGCTTTTTGAGGTAGTTTTTTATGCTCTCTGCAAACTTGTGTCAAAACTTACATATTTATTATATTTAAATACTGCAGAAACAATACAGCCACAGCCATACTCACCAGAATATTATTTTTATACCAGCAAATATTGTTTGCTTTATAGTGTATTTTACATTAGGATTAAAAATTATCCAAAAATAAATATGACAACCACTTTATAATGCTATCAAGCAAATAAAAACCATTGCTTTAAAAGTATTTATCATACACAAAAAGTCCTTATTTTATATATTATAGTTCATGAAGCGGCATCCTAAATAAAGTCTTTGATGATTCTGAAACATCTTTTCTTCAAACCTTTCCTAAATAAATTAAACAAATGGCATTTTTTCTTCTTCAGATGTTTGGGTTTGTTTCTACGTGTTCTTGTGTCATCATCTGCTATGTCATATTCTGCCATGTCTTTTAAGTGTAGAATACCGACCATGTCAAAGTGGCGAAGCTTGCCAGATTTTGGCAACATTTAGGTTATGATGTATTCATTCTTAGGATTTTTATTACATACATAAAATTCTTTTTAGTTGTTTTTTATTTTTTTGTACAACATTGTTGTGTATGCACATAAAAATATTCCTCTATTTACAATTAAATTTGTTAAAAAGCTTTTATTTAATTTCCACTTTTGTCCAAAACCAGTGTGTTTCGGTGCGTTCCGGCACCATGACACCCCTGACCACTACTAGTACACCTGTTACATCCCTGGTCATATTTTATGACACTTGTTGCCTCAAGATTCATTTAGCAAGCTGTGTAGTTCAATAGCATATACAATCCAAAACACACAAATTCTACTGTAACATTTGTCTTAGTACAGTAGATTTACACTGAACATATTACTTAATTTTGTGATAATATTTAAAGAAAACTATTCAGAATGGTGGATTTTTCATCCCTTCGTGTAGCTAAAGATTATTCATAATGTGTCTGAATCTGATTTGTGAAACAAATTAATACAGTTCTAATAAAGACTTCAGGGAAAGTTTTTTTAAAATGAAGGACGTATAATATTAGGTGAACCAAACTAGGTGTTCTTTAGCTTATCTAAAGATCTTTAAATTGAGATTTTATTCCAGCCTGGGTTTTAGTTTAGGCATTTCTGAAAAAGCTACTGTTTTTTTGGGAAGGAGTTCTAAGTTTGTTTTACTTGATATTGTCTGTTCAAAAGTTAAAAAGTGATGGTTCCTATACTTTTATCAACTTTGTATAGCTACTTGGAAAAATATTGTTTCAACTGCAGTGAAGTCTCAGCAACTCCTTTTGTCGCCCTGACTGTACTTGAATACTTCCCAAGCTCAGGATCCTGCCTTTGGCTTCACTTCCTAGCCCTCTCCATAATGGCCAATTTGTTATTTCCTTATTCATGCATATTTCTCTGCTTCCCCTGTTGTCTAAGTAACACCTAAAACCAATCTGATAAACTGATGTATTCAAACTAAAACCTATAGCGGTGTGGACAAGTATTAGTATTTCCTTATTTACATTTTACAGTCACAATATTGGTGTTATTCGGTTTTTCTTAATGTTATTTGTAATGATGGATGTAAAATTTTGGTAGTTTCAATAAAAGACAAACTTAAATCTTCAAAAATAATTCCAAACATTTAAAATTTTCATCATGTTTACAATTGTTTTGTTTTTATTATATTCTGAGTTATCCAGCCTTTTTGCTTTTCCGGCTTTCCTGCAGCCGGTTCGGATGGGATATAATCGAGATTATACTGTGATGAGATATTAAGGTTTGAAGAAACTCTTTTGGGTTTTTTACTTGGGATAAGTACTTTCATAATCTGTTACCTATCTAATCTGTATTCATGAAAAAATGACGATTGTTTTATACTTTTTACAGAAAGTGAGTTGACCCCACAGAAGGCAGCCAAGCTGGATGCCCTACGCAGCCGTCCCCGGCGCCGTCCGGACTGGACTGATATGATGAAGGAGGTGGAAGAAGGTATCAAGTTGAAACACATTGTGTGTAATGACCGGAGTGCTCCCATTCTGCCCAAGGAAAAAGCTAAAGGACAGGTAAGTTTGATTGTTATCTCTTAAACATGTTTGCTGCTGCTGATGCACAAGTGCCTCACTGTTATACCAGCAGGTATATAAATATATTATTTATATAATATATTTTGACTTCATTTATAATAATAATTGTTATTTAAATTATTAGTGCATATCATAGACAAAGAGAATGAAACATAGACCGTCAGCTGCGCTGTGATAAGAATAGGTTCTGGCGTCCACCGCTGGGAGAGCCATGTAGTTAAGGCGCACACGCTACCTAACTACACGGCGCTCCTTGGGACGGACGCCAGAACCTATGCTAATCGCAGCATGGCTGACGGTCTATATTTCATTCTCTTTGTCTATGTGCATATACAGCCATACATACAGTATAATATATTATGTGTCGTTTAAGTAGTATATGTGTTTAATTCAGGTTTATATTGAATATCTTCTACAATTTAATATTGTTCCCACCACCTTTGTTATCAGGCTGTTTTATTTCAGAGGGATTTTAAAAACTTTAAATTTTTTCAATCACTACATTTTATTATACGTCCAAATTGTGTGGAGAGTCAATCCATCAATATTCTTAACTTTTTAACACATTTTTACGAATTATACTCTTTTACTAAGGTTGCATTAGGCTAATCATAAAATGTTTTTTTGTTGGAGGATGTATATCGATATTCGTGTGATTAGTTTAGGTTGATAAATACTCTAGAAATGTGTTAATTTATTTTTTATTGAATTAACATGTACAAACATAAAGCATTAAACAATTATTTTTTTAAATTTAAAATCCATTTTTTACCATGCAATATGCATTTAAAATCTATATTTAAGTTTGTCATTAATAATATGCAAATATTATTTTTTCTTGTTTAAAAAGTGTACAACTTTTACCAACAAGACTATCAAATTTTCTCTCATGATGCTATTATTACACATGTATAACAACAACCTTACGAACAGTTCCTAAAATAACAATTGGCAAAATAGAATAAACCAACCTTCAGACGAGAGCTAAATTTGTATTACTCTCTCAATAATCATCACATATTTTCCACCTCTTAATGATGGAAATAACTACATTTACAATTTATTATCACATTTGGCTCAAGAAAAGTGTGAACTCTCTCCTTGGCGTGAGCTTCAATGCAACAACGTCTTTCTAGTTGGAGAGATGAGCTGTGCTTAGTACACTACATTGTAAACTTGTGATGTTATTCAAGTGTTGTCTTGAGTGTAGTCTGATTGGTGTTGATTGTACTCCATGAAGAATTTACTTTATAACTATTTGAAGTGTTTGAAGTGTTCCGTTTTTTTAAGTGCAGTGAAATGATGTGAAGTTGATATTATTTATTGGACTTGGAAACTTTTTTAGTAAAAATTACAGAATAGAAACTTGTTTGGAATAATTAAATAAACTGTGTACAAAAGTGAATAGAACTCAACTTTTTTTAACAGAGACATTTTAATTGGTTGAAATATACAACATACATATTTAATTAATTTAATATTGAAATTAGTGTACATAAAAGATTTAGTTGATATTTTTATCCTGGCTATTGATTTTCTTTAGACTATTGCAACATTTAAAATAATATATTTTGCAGTTCTTAAAATACTACCTTAAAGTACTACCTTAAAATACCTAATTTTTTAAAGTAGCTATTATTTTTTACTAATTAGTGTAATGAAAATGTATTATTGTTGTAGTCTTGTCATATTCATAATATGTTACTTAATCAATTTTAGGTACCAACTTTATCCCTTGACATAAAACTTTGTAAATCTATATAAAACATGAAACCATTTGATTGTAATGTTATTATTATAGGTTTATAAATAGTTTTTGTGAAATTATTCGTAATTATTTGTTGATTCACTATACGATTTATTACAATGTTATTGTAACTATATCTTTTCTTTGCATTTTTGTCACTTACTTGGTCATAAATTTGATAGAACAAATCTTAAATGTTTAGGGTATAATAAATAAAACCCATATATTTAAATTGAAAACTTTAAACTGGAATTTTAAACTGAGCCGGTTAAAAATTTTACCATCATGGAATTTATAAAGCCAGGATCGCTGAAAATTAACGAAGATCTAGCAAAGAACTTCAAATTTTTCAAGGAAGAGATTGAATTCTACTTCACTGTGACAGAGGTGTACAGCCTATCAAGAGAGGAACAAGTAGAAACGTTGAAAATGCTGTTGGGTCCTGAAGGATGTGATTTGTATCTTTCATTGAATGGGGATGAAGTAGAAGAAGAGACAGTTGAGGGTATTCTAGAAGTCCTCCAAAGCCATTGTGTCTCAGTCCACCACGAATGCTCAGTACTTGACATTTTCAACTTCTTGATGCGAAAGCAACAGTGGGATGAAGATTTTGATGTTTTCTTAAAAGATTTGAAACACTTAGGGAAATTATGTAATTTTGGTGATCAAGAAGATAAACTTCTGCGATATCAAATCATAATGGGAATTTATAATACGGAAATACAAACCCGTTTACTGCAGAAAGATTTATCTCTTGAAGAAACTATTCGCTTAGCTAAATGCATCATCAAGGTTGAGTCATCAGTGGAAAAACAAGAGAAAGTTGAAATTGAACAACCACCTGAGAGCTTGCAAGATTCAGATAAGTTTTATAGACAAGATTTTTCTTTGTCCCTTGAATTCTTGAGAACTTTTTCAGACAATTTATGAAATCAATAAATTTTAGTTCTCTATATTTTTTAAAGAAACATCTATTTGTTAAGTTACACTAATATTTCAATTATTATATATAAGTGATAACTGTAAGGACAGACACCCCCTAGCCATCAATTCTGATACTAGTTTGAGTCTAAGGAATTATGCAGTATATTTTAGCGTACATTTAAAAGTTTATATTGCAGTTCATTGAGATTTTTCCACAAATTAGGATGAATTCAATCCAATTCAACTCAAGTCATTTGATTGACTATAGCAAAACCAGATCACTGGAGACCACAAAATTTATGCTTTGATTCCAATAACTAGATAAATTTGCCTTACTCAGTAATTAATTATAAATGTTTAAATGCCATATTCTTGGTGCTATTTGGTGTTTGTTAAATAATTTTGCTCAAAGACTTTGGGAGAGTGTAACTTTTTTTAAATTGATGTCTCAATTGTTTACTTATACATTTTCTTTTTAAAAGTATTGGTGCTATTGACCTTATTGTGACAATTTCTTAAATGGGTAACTTTACTCTACATCAACATTGCTATACATTACTGTCCTATACTTTAATCACCTGTATATTTATTTACTTCTGAGAAAAGCTAGTCATTTTATTTTTTTTTATTTGTAGTAGGTTTGTCTCAAACTTAACACCAAAAATAATTTTAAAATCTTAAAATATGACTTTTAGTTCTGGGTTATCTTGGCCAGCATTAAACTGAAGGTTCGGCAATGTATTTGATTTTGTATATTGTATTTACAGTTTATCTACCAATCTGAAAAGGAAGGAAAGGCTGATCCACACAAACAGCTTCTGCATCAAATTGAGAACGGAGTTAGGCTCAAGAAGGTCAAGTGTAATGATCGTAGTAAACCAGTTTTGGACGGTGAGTTCAATTTGTTCTGTTGAAATAACTGACTTGAGGAGTTATTCTGATTATTGACTGGTGAAATATAATTATCTTGACCAGATGTTTCCGGAAATTAAGCTTACTTGCTCTGAATCTAATCATTACTGCTGGCCCAACGGTGTCAAGTCATTGAAATGTTCAAATTTGTTAATAGGACTAATTGGTTTGTGATTTTATTACCTGTCATCAGTTGCTACTACAATGAATTTTAAAATATAATAAATTTTATTGAGAGTCAAGACAATACTGCTATCTTGACTCTTGTTTTTTCTTCTATATAGCCGGTTTCATGCTCTTCAAAAAGTAACTAATACTTTATAGATGTTTTTTACTATAATGTTTACATTACAGAGTTGAATATAGATTAAGTCATATGGGCACTGTTGTTTTGGGGAGACAGTAAGATTAAGATCTATAAATCCTTATAGTGTTATTAGACTGGTGTTTGGAGTTCTGGTTTAAAATATATTTTGTAAAAAGTTCTTAAACCTAATTCACATTTCATATCTTTTTTAGTTTTGTAAATTGTTGTACTGTACTTAAAAACCAACTTCAACCAAGATAAATCAAAATAATATTCTCCTCACCAATTAAGGCAGGTCTACACGCAAGGATTTTGCGTAGGTTTTATCTGCGCAGGTAAAACTTTGCAGTCAAAACGTAGCACAGAAATGTGTTCACACGGTACAGGTTTCAGCACCAATTTTTTATGTAGTTTTGTTATAGCTTGCAGTTGCAGTGTATGTGCACGTAATATCATGGAAGATGTGTTATTGTGGTCAACTTTTGCATTCTGTGTTGCAAGAAAGCAAAGAAATAAGTCTGAGCGAAGATGACGCTCAATGTTCAAGACGTTGATAAAAAAAGACAAACATTTTCATAATCGTTTCTCTCTTCACGTTTGAATCTACTGCTATGTATTTTTTCAACAAAACTCTAAGCCCGATTCTTCTTATCACTGTCACTTGGTTCCATACTCTTGACCTTCCATGAACAAGGAAAACTTCTGTACAGTTCGATGAATCCGACAATAAACTCACGGAAACATTGGCAAAGATCTGCCATCGTAAAAAACACTTATCCCTCTGACAGCGCGTGAAGACAACACTGGCGACTGGAGAGTTAAGCGTGAAGACGGAGTTGAAACGGATGATAGTGTACACACGCAACGTCTTGTCTGAAAACGTTGTCAAAACTATGCTCTCCTCAATAGTTATCTATCCGTCTTCCGTCTCCACACAGTTCTCAAAAATGCACAGTTTTGCTGTCCACACGCAACGACTTGACTGCAACGTTTTACATGCGCAGGTAAAACGTACAAGAAATCCTTGCGTGTAGACCAACCTTTATGTTTATTCTCCTAATCAACAATTTAATTTAACCACCACCAATAATGTGTTTAGGGCTACGAAAGTTCAGGCGACAAATGACCATTGAAGAACAGATCCAAAAGTCTAAATCGATGGCGGATGTGATCGCGGAAGCAGCTGAACCTGATGAACTCGACGATATTGACAAAGTTCGTGATGATCTGCAATCCAGTAAACAGATGTTGGCAATAGAACTGCGTAACAAAGAAGCTTTGGAACGAGAAAACAAACGTCTGATGGCTCGTCTTCTCAACCTGGAGGTGGAACTTGAGAAAGAAAAGGGATCCCGAAGATTGGACGCAGAGAAAGGGAATGTTTCTCATGTCAGATCAGAGGCTGATGAAAAGGTTTGTGATCTGATATTTCTATTCGAAAAATAATCGGTCACAGACAAATTTGTAAATAGATCATGTTAATTTTAATTAATTAATTTTTTTCGAATCATATAAGGATAGGAGATTTAAGCATATAAGCAAAGTATTTTGCTTGACCATTGGCTTTGTGTAAGGCATGAAATTTTATCTTTTGATAGTTTCAAAATCAAACCTATAAATGCCAATGGTATGGACTGTTAACAGAAGTAAGAGTTAATTGTGTTGCTCCCCATAATGCCCTCACAGACTCGTATCAACCACTAGGGCAAAATGGTTTCAATAACTGTTGTTGTCTTACATATGTATATCATTTTTGGGTTAACAATATTTTAGACTGTAGTATACAAGTACTAAGATTGTGTAGAGTATTGTTTGTAAAATTCTCTCAACAACAAAGTAAAGCCCCACAAACTTAGCCCGGACCTTAGATATGGACTTGAAAAGTGCAGGGTTTGAGAAATGCAGGGTTATAAGGAAAAATATCCAAAAATCCAAACTTAGAAGTTCGACCCGCGACCACCTGCGACAAAAAACAATGCGTCCTCGTATCTTTTGGGCGCTGCAAAAAATATGCTCCCCGTGTTATATTGCAGCACCAACTTACACTAGGTGACAAGTTGCTCGCACACCCAGTTCCTGGACTGTTTTACTGTATATCTGGTTCATTTTTTGTCCAACAGTATTAAAATATAGAATATATAGATGTAACCCTAAAGGATTAAGTATCTCCTGGTGCAATAGGAATCTGAAACCTCGTGTATATTTTCACAGCGTCGTCTTCAATTTCATTAGCTCAACAAAGCTGTACCCATCTACAAAAAAATTATAAAAAAATTTGAAATTTGAAAATACATAATCCCTAAATAATGTACAAGGGCTGTTCGTAAAGAAACCTCCAGTTTTCTATAAATAAAACACAGAAGTAGAAAAAACATTTTTATTATATACATCTTAAAACTATGTCTTTCCTCTACTTTTCAACATAGTTTCCTTGGACATTCAAACACTTATCATACCTATGGACTAACTTTGAAAGTCCCTCTTTAAAAAAAATTACCCGCCAATGCCTTGAGCCATCCTGTGACTGCATCTTTCAGTTCCTCATTATCTTCAAATCTCTGGGAGCCAAGCCATTTTTTCATGTGACTGAAGAGGTGGTAGTCGCTTGGAGCCAGGTCTGGGCTGTATGGAGGATTTGAAAAAACATCCCATTTGAACTGGTCCAAAAAGTCCAGGGAAGGGTTTTCTTGGCAGTATGAGGACGTGCGTTGTCATGCAGAAGGACGACACCAGGCCGTGGCGTTTGTTTTGGAGTCAAAAAGTCCAGATCCGAGGTCATTCGTTGAGTCTCGTGGTTTTCCGAAAGGAATTTTGGGACCCACTGAGCACAAAATTTATGGTAACCTAACCTGCCAGTCACAACTTCGTACAGAACAGTCCTGGAAATTTGAGGAAATTCATCCGAAAGTTCTAAATGGTGAATCGTCGGTTATCACGAACCTTTGGGTTGATTTTCTCAACCAGTTCATCACTGACCACAGATGGCCTGTCACTTCTTTCTTCATCATGTACGTTCGTTCGGCCATTTTTAAACGAGCAAATTCATTCCCGAACAACTCCTTTACTCATTATTTTAGGTCCATACACAGCACAAAGTTCTCTATGAATAGCTGCTGCCGAATACTGTTTATCTACGAAAACCCGAATCACAGCACGCACCTCTCACTTGGCGGGATTAACGATTGCTGTACTCATTTTGACTAGCGACGGCAAAAAAACTAGCACTCGGACGACACTTAAACTATCACGGCTGGACGCCAACTGATCTGCGACACGTGCAGGAGCAATAATGGCGGCGCTACCCTCTCTATTTCCCACGCAAAAAGCAAACGGAGGTTATTTTCTGAACTGCCTTCGTAGTTAGGGTGTGAAAAAATTTATGTTTCAGGGAATGCACTACAAATATGCGTTTCCTCTTGTTTTTTTAGATATTTAATAAATATAGCATCAGGTCCTCATCACTCATTGAAAAATCATCTTAACAGTTAGAAGTCACGACTAAAGAAAGTTGAAGTTCTCCATTTAATGTTCTCTCCAAATCAAATAGTCTCTGAGATACCAATGGTGGGACAGTTAAGTTGTTTACCCTGTATATATACTAGGTCTACATTTTACAATACCAGTTGACAAAATACATAGATTTATCTTCTTGAACAATACACTTAACTTACTTTTTTCCATAAATCCGAGGTTATAGTTCTGACTTACAAAATGCCAAGCACTCCAGTTCAGGTGTATGCATGACTCTTGTCTCAATGTCCGCAAGTAGTAATAAGTTCAAATGACAAAGCAAATGTATAGTGTAACTATTGAGCTTTATGAGCAGTTTATGAGCTAGTTTGAGTTTACGAACAGAGTCTTAATTTAACACTGATGGGGGCTTACATGGTTTGGGGAGCTATTACTGCCAAGATGCCAAGTTTGCTGAACTTTTCATGTAGGCTAAATTCATGTAAAGAATATGTTGTCCACTGACAAGGCAAGTCTGTCATCTTTAGTATAATGTAATTTTACATTTGTATTTTACCTTTTGTTAACTTAATCATTGATGTTTCATTTTAGTTGGTGAAACAGTTAAAAGAAGAGGCTTCGGAGGCAAATAAAGTAGCAAAAGAAATGGAAGAAAAGTACAAATACACAGCAGAAGAACTGGATGCAACCAGGGCTAAATTAGAGAGTGCTTGGCTTAAAAACCAACAGCTGGAAATGGAGCTGAAGTCTGGCGCTCGTAACAGCGCACCCATTACCAAGCAGCCTTCATCTAAAAAACTTGCAGCCTCCATGGCGTCCATGCCGAATGGGAAAACTGTGCAAGCATCTGATGACGAATCTGAGTACACCGAGGAAACTGAAACAGAAACAGAATCTGGTATGTAACAGTAATCAACAGCAGTGTGGTGTGGAGTTTGTGTAAGTCGGTGGCTCAGTCGGTAATGCAAGGTTAAAAGGGGCCGCCAACCTCTTTTTAAAAAAAAAAACAAAAAAAAATCATGACTTTAATATTAAGTCAAGTTGTCGAGAAAGAATATCTGAGTCTGACTTATAATTTAACTTCCAGTATAAATAAATAGTGTGATAGGAACAAAATTAGTGTATGGTTATAATTTAAATTCATAAGTTACTGACAAAAGATTGTAACAATAATTGACAAGGGCAGTGGGTAGAAATTACCACCCAAAATGAGATTCACCAAATCTCTTTTGCTAAGTTGTTATAGTTTAAGAAATAACTTAAATTTCATAAGTGTACTCACATTTGCATAAGTGTATCTCTTATTTGTACAGTAATAGATATTAGACTTTGACGGTTTAAATAGTAGCAAACCATCAAGGTTTTACTTGCTCTCATTTGTAAACTAGAATAGCATTCAATCTAATAAAACAGTGTTTGATTTGAAATACTAGGATTCTTAAGGGAAATTTAAATCCATAAAGAATAAAGATGATGCACAGTGTTGGGATAGATTTTGATTTATAAGATCCCTCAATATGTGTTTACACATATTCTGTCAGAATCATGGAGTCAAACTGCTTAAACTACGAAGGAGACAAAAGTATCCTAATGATTGTTGAGTCGTTGGCTTAGTTAGTAGCGCGTTGGATGACGAATCCATGGCAGCAATGTCATGGGATCACATCCTGGAGCTCGCCAATAAATTTCATCTGTACAGTTCATTCTTGTACTGTACCAGGGACCTATTAACACCCTGCTTATCTACGGGGGTATGTATTCATACGTTCTATGAATACAACTATGTATTCAAGTATTCAATACATATACAAATTCCTTCAGTCCAAGGCCTATATGTGGAAGGGAACAAAACATGTATTGAATCACCTTGTACAACAAGCCTTGCTTTAACTATAATAACATTAATATCCATAACTTTTTCCAAGTAAAAATATTTTTTTCTTATTTATAAACTCCCAATACAATATGAGGGGGCTATACACAACAACCTTTGAAATATTGGCAAGGAGTTTAAATCCCACAATTACCTCATATTGGATTATTTAGGTATTTATATTAGGTATTTCCTCAGTATTCTTACATAAATTATTCTTACATAAATTTGTTTTACTTCCAGAGGAAGAAGGTAATGAAGAAGATGCAGCTGCTCTTCAAGAAAGACGAACTCAGCGTGAGTTGAAACTTCTAGCTACAAAATTAAGATCATACAAGGAGAAGCAAGGAATTGCCTTGAAGGAGCGCCATATCCTTCGGGAGCAGCTTAGAAAACAACAGAAGATACTTAGAGAGGAGAAAAAGAAGTATAAGGCTTTGCAGAAAGAAGTGGACAAAATGGTTAAACTGATGAAAGATGATGAGGAAGGAGAAGAGGAAAAGCCAGAAGAGGAGGAAGAAGAAGAGGTAATAGTTTTTAAGTCCAAACTTTTTCCATGACATATTTCCTTTATTGAAATTAGTTGACATACATACAGACTGAAGTTTATGTAGAGTGTGTGTGTTAGGTTTATGTGTTTATTAATGATAGACTAAAACTAAACTCTATGGATCATCAAACCAGGACTGTCGGTGAATTAAAATTGTTCTCCCGTCAAAGCCAAGTGAGGTTATTAAATTCTGAGACCAACGTCTTGTACTTTACGTCTTCCGCTATTGAAGACTATCACCAGTTAACAGATAAGAATATATGAGGTGTTGTGGCGTAGAAAATGTGCATAAGGGTTGGAGGGAGTTTGGAGGTGGTCTTAAGAGTCCTTGGAGGCTAGCGGCCATCTTGGATAATTTCAAACATCTGCTGAAGAGTTATTTATTGTCCAAAAATATTTTTTGCAAACACCAAAGTGATTATAATTTAAATATCTAGTATACTGTGGGATTAAAAATGTTCTTTGTGGTTTTTAAAAGGGAGTCAATGGAAGCTAACGGCCATCTTGGATTTGCCCACAATAAGAGCAATGATAATTTTGTTAATTTCAAACAGTCGCTGAAGAGTTATTTACCATCTCAAAATATTTTTTCAAACACCAGAGTGATTTTAATTTAAAAATCGACTATACTGTGGGATTATAAATTTTATTTGTAGTTTTTTAATTGTTTTACAAGCTAGAACGTATAGGCTCCAAGGATTCTTAAACATTTGTACAACGTTTCGTTGTCGTAAGCCAATTAACTGCTGTGATGGAATAAAACTTGAGCCATGAGTTCTTAGGCCATTTAAAAAAAAAATAGCATATTTTCAAAAGATGTCGTATGTCCAGTTGTTTCTTTCATTTGGCATTATCCTAAAGGGGCGGAGATTTTTCCACTGTTTTAGAACCTCTCTTTGTCCTTCAGAATTTATTAGTTAAATTTTGTTTCAATAAACCAATTCGATACCCCAAAAACTTATTATTTCACAGTTTCCTTACTCAGTGTAAGACAGTTGCTCATCAAAATTCTTTCAATTCATGTTTTCAAAAATGTTGATTCTATTATTTAATCATACATCACATTCTTATAATACTTTATATGCACAGGATGTCAGAATAACTGCCTCCCATTTATCAAAGTCATACTCATAACCAATTCTTCCTAAATTCCAGAAGTTTTATATGGTAATTTGTAACATAATGTCCCTTTGTAATTCCTATCAAATTTTTCACTATCCATTGATTACTATTTTTTTTAATGCATCACTGGCTTGCTAATAGAGTGGGCATTTCTTAATCGACTTGGCCATTTATTCTCTAAAAGAATTGTTCCACTTCCCGCAAGAGTATTAGACATTAAGAAAACATATCTATAAAGTGAGTTGCATTTTTTAACATGTATTTTAATTTATAATAATTTTAACCTTAGCACTATTCAAACACTGTAGTCTATAATTAATTTATACTCCTCAATGAATAAATAAATTGAAATTGAAATACAGGAAGCCTTATAACCAACAAAGACAAACTGTCATTCGGTTACAATAAATATTCTATGTTTATCCTTTTTGTTACAAATTGCCTCCTTCATTTTCAAATTAAGTGAATTTAAATTGAGTTTGCTCATTTTTTTTATAGAAAACTAAAACATGGAGTTGGTTGGCTAAAGCCTGTGGTCTCTCCTTCACCACTTATTCTCCAGTTTGCTTTCTAGAACAGTCTTCCTTCTTTTTTTATGGCTTCTTTCCTTTATACTAACACGGCACTGTGCTTTTCAGGAAACAGAGACAGAGAGTGAAAGTGAGAGTGAGGAGAGTGAAGAGGATGATCCAACAGATGGAGATTTACCAGAAGATGCAACTGTGGATGAGAAGAGGAAGAATCTCCAGGACAGGTCCAAGCACCATGAGAATCGACTTGGAACACTAAAGAAAGGAAACTATCTTCTAAAAGCAAACATTGACAGACTTCAAGACGACATTAACCGGCAAAAGGAAATGTCCCTTAGCCTTCAAGAAGACCTCAATTCAGTTTTGGCTGAGTTAGGATAAGTTGAAAATTGAACTTTCACTAATTAATTTTTTAAATTATTTACCTGTATATGATTGTGATGTCTAGTTAGTGGTTAGTTACAGAATGTGATTAACCTGAAGATTTGTATACTCCTATGCAATTGGACTTTGAACACCTCCATAATCAATTATGATATTCATAGTTTTTACAATTTTTATTTTAAAATTAAATTTTCCCAATTTTTAATTTGCTTGGCTTTTGTGAGCCCATTTCAGAATACCATGTTGAGTCCTTTGGACTAAAAGGTTCTTCTGCGATCATGTCATCTTCAACCTCTTTGATAATTTAAAAGTTAAGAACAAAATCTTACAGTACTAGAAAATCTTCAGGCATCAGAAAAATGTGGCATTTCTATGTTTGCAGTGATCATTGCCATTGTGTTAATTTTGAATTGACTATCAAAACAACTTTTCTGTGAAAACACCAACTACTTTGAATGTACAAATCATTAGATTACAAGATTTTATATATTTTTCTAAGAATGTAATATACTGTATTTTGAAGCCTTTATTTATTGATTAGTGTTTATACATCCATATTTTGTTGTGTTTGAATAAATTATTTTAAAGATTATTATGGTTCTTTATACCACAGCAATAAAAAAGTCTTAACTTGTCTACTTGACTGATTGACCTTTAGAACTAAAGCTATGCCATAAACTAGAGTCAATGATTTGATTAGTTTTATTAATACAATCAATACTTAATTTAATTAATAATTAAAAGTTTTAATGATAATAAACAAAACAACAATTATTAAGGTTCATTGTTAATGCTTAAAGATTCTGGTAATAGCTCCAAGTAGTATTAATAAAAATTACTACGCATATTTTCCATCATTAATTAGTGTTTTGATGATCAGCGATGGAAAATGCCCACAAAATTACTTCAGACAACATCAACTCACTATCACAGATAAATAACTCTCCAAACAAAGAAATACTTATTTTATTTTTCACCTAGATTGAAGGTATATGTAAAATTTCATAAATCATCCATTTTGCATATACAAAAAAGAGGTGATTGTATGAATAAAATAGGGAAGGGAAACAGCCTCCACTCTATTTGACAACAGCTCTGTTTATTGGGGATCCATAAAGCAATCCCATTCAATTTGTCCATTCAGCAATCACTGAGCAAAGTTTACTTAGCTTTGATGTCCCCTCAAAGGTATCTATCAACTAAACAGGAGACCTCTTGTGGGCTGGCGACCCCTAAGGTACACTAGCCAACAACAAAAAACTGCGATATGCAATAAGAACTGTCAAAGTAGGATTGTTTACAGTTATGTTTATGTTTTTAATTTCATGAATAATTTGTGATATTTTGCGAATGTTTGATAATTTATTTTTCTCTAGTGTTTAGGTGAAGTGGTAGAACATTATGGCTATGGTAGATGTGTAATACTATAGTATACCATAAATTTAAAGAACCAAATTTTATCAAACTGTATCCTCTCCCATTGCAAACGCAAAGCTTGAGTATAACTACAAGCATTTTATAATTATATGCCAACCCCGTACGAAGGACGGGTACTCTGCTAGTTTAAAATGAAACTACAAACAATACAGCTTCTGCAAACTATAAGAATAATGCTCTTTACCTTAGCCTTATAGCTAAGGTTCAAAGGCATTTCATAACTCTGGAACCTGATCAATTCCTTCCTGCCCCTTGCTTTACATGATACATGCCTTGTGCATGGATATTATCACACTCTGCTAGTGCTGACATAAAATATAAAGTTGCCTTCAGCAGTCTTTTAAAAATAGTAAATCTTTAAAGGAGTTTGTTAACTCTATGGTATTGTCCAATAATCATATTCAATGGATGCTTTAAGGACTTCTCCGTCTGTATAATCCTGTACAAGCTAACCTTTGAGTCAGGGGTGCCCAGAGGGGGGGTACTGTGGCGCGTTTGCGCCACAGGAATTTTGGGGGGGGGACTTATTTTGAGATTTTTGGGGGGGATATTTTTTCTAGCTGTCTTAATGAATGTATAATTTTGTATAATCAGCCCGAAAAAGTGTTTCTAAGTAGCTCACTATCACCACCAACAACATTTTGCCGTTCGTCATTAAGATAGCTTCTAAGAATAGTAAAAACGGACCGTGCCAGACAATCCTTAATATACCAGTGTCGAATTTTACTTGCTACATATGCTTTGGTGGTTCTTTAACTCCACCATCGTCAGGAATCAGGATTTAAAAAAGATCCACTTCTGGAGGTGTCGTCAGAATACGACAAACATTTAATACAAAACACGAAACGCTTACAGATAGGCCTGTCAATTCCTACATTGCCGTCGGCAGGACTGGAAGTAAGTAAAGTAAACTGAATCAGGTTCAGGTTATGACGGACCGACGTGGTCTCTGGATTGTCGTCTGCGTTTTCAACAGCTGATATTGGACTATTGTAGTGACTGAGAAGAGTATTGAAAATATAATGGGATTCATAATTAATTGAGTGTTTTCACTAAAAAAATGTGTGCTGTCAATAGTTTTATGTATATTTCAAACTCAATAAATTTCCTTTTCTGCAGTAATGTAGAATGTCAAGACCATCCAGCATATAAATTGGTTATTATTGTCAATAATTTTGAATGGAAAATCAATTATGAATCCCATTATATTTTTAACACTCTCCTCCGTCACTAGAATTAGTCCAATTTCAGCTTTTGATAACACAAACACCAATCCAGAGACCACGTCTTTCCGTAATTACCTGATTCAGTTTACTTCCAGTCCTGCCCGCGGCAATACACGCGTGAATTGATAGGCCTATCTGTTATCGTTTCGTGTTTTGTGTACAAACGGATTGTCTGACAAGATGCGTTTCTACCATTATTAGTCATAAAAGGCAATCCTGGGGCTATCAAAATGAATTATAAGATTACTTCGTCACAAAAACCTTTTGTACTGGTGGCACTTATTAAGAGATACTTTGGGTATTTTGCCCGGCGATTTTTGTACAGTAGAAGGCGGCCTGGGAGTGGCGAGCAACAAGTCTGTCTTATTTCGTGACTCTGCCTATAATTTTGAAACAATATACTTTTTGCCAAAGTATTATTAATGCACTTAAAGCTGTTTTAATTCTTAAGCCCTGTAAAAATTAACGCCACCTAATATATTGTACAGTTGTACTGTGTTGGAGTAGAGTAATTCACCGAGTAGGCCTATATTGTTGTACGTTTTGAAGACGTTGTCTATTGCAATACTGAGCACACATATTGGCTGACAGTACAGATTCTGAATTGTAAATTGAAAAACTTCTAATTCGTCCATTAGTTAGATTTATATTGATGTATTGTTAAATGACGTTTCATATTAAACATTTAATTTTGATTATCAGCAAGTTTGTTTTTCGTACCTCAAGTTTACTAAATACTTTAAATGCTTGTTTTATGAGGTAAAGGGAAAATTGTCAGATAAATTGGTGAGGGTAGGGTAGGTTTAAATAGACGGCAGCACAAATTGGGGTGGGGGGTTGCGCCTCTGGGTTTGGGGGGGATGGGCACCTCTGCTTTGAGTAAATCCCTAGACATTTACCCAAGAGGTGTCAGATGTCATTCCAATGCTTCTCTCTTTTCAGGTGTCAAACGAAAAAAAATTTTTGGGTTAGACACTTAGAATTTTCCAATGATATTAAAATTATACCAACTATATTACTCAGATTACCCAACTTATTAAAATTGAGTTTTAACAGTAGAACAATATTTTAGCTATAAAGCCTCTTTTTTACAGACATACACAAATAAAAAAAACTAAAAATAGGTTCGACCTTCGTCTACAGCTCATTCAGTTGTAACTTGCGTTAAAGCCGTTTCCGCATTACAATGCTCATCAGACATCTTCAGCTAAAGCAGTGTCTTCACGGTAGAAACACATAACACAAACTACATTTTTCCACTGTGACCACTGCTTCAGTTGAAGATGTCTGATGGCATTATAACCTTCACGTCAACAGTTTAACATACTGTAAAAGTGGTTAGAATACAACATGTTTCGCCTATTGGAAAGTAAATAATTACTTGACAATGCCTGAATAGGTTAAACTTGTTGTGATTCCTTCACTACTATGTTGAACTGTTCACGGGAAGGTATGTACCTGATAAAAGTCTAAATAATTTGATTAAACGAATGTTATAGGATAGTAATAGGTAATAATAGGTAGTAATAGGTTAACTGTATCAATATACAAAAATAACTTACATTGTGCCGATGGAGACCAGGTCAAGTCCCTTCAAAAGCACGCACCCCTACAGGTTTCCATCGGCACTCCCGTTTTGCTAACACTATAGTTGACAGAAATTAATTAATTAATGGTTTGTTACACTACACATAAAATTGCTACATACAAATTTTAACAAAAATACACAAGATAAAAAATTTAAACTTGCCTTGTTTTGTAGCCTTGTTTATAGCAGAAAATCTAAATCTTGTCTCTAATATATTTTACCATATAAAAACACATCTATAATGTGCAACACAAATACAATAAAATAACATAAAAAGAGTAATAAAGGAACTAATGTAACTAAATTGTGATTTTATTGAAAAAAAAATAATTAAACTGTTATGAATTTTAAATAAAGGTCTGTGGAATCAGAAGACATCGACAAAACTGTGTCTGTGCTTCTTCTGGGTTGCTATAATTTGTTATTAACTTTTACCGATTAATTCAATTAATTATAAATGAGGGTAACTATGCAGCCAGAAAGCAATATTTTAAAACATATCATTTGGCCACCTATATTGGCCAATATATTGTTTTAATTTGTTTTTAAAGGATGTTACTGGTTAATACTGTATATATTATATATATTAAATATATTATATATTATATATGGTGAATATGACTTAATAATGGACTTAGTCTCCGAAACATGTTGTTATTAAAAATAAAATAATTACTTTAAAAAGGGTACTTTGTTAACTGTTTTTGATTTTTTTATACATATTAAATATATTATACTACAGATAATATTGATGTTCTCATATGTATATGGAATTCGCTTTCACTGATTAAACTATGAAGTATTTGATCTTTACTCTAAGAGAAAACTTATTATCATATTAAAAGTTTCCAAATCTTATTGGTTGCTTGAACTTCTTTCTTAGCTTAAAATTCCTTTAAGTGTGTATAAATTGTACTAAAATACCATGTGAACAAATTAGCAGCATTTCATTTCAAAATTCATGATTGTTTAAGAATATTATTCTAAATGATCTAAACAATATCTGCACAAATAGTCTACAAAAGTGAAGCATTCAAACATAGACTAAGGAACAAACCACTAAGGGCAGAAAATTACGAAAACAGGAATAAAACTTCCCTGAGAAAAATGCTAGAAAAAATCTACCTAAATTAAAAATATCATTTGTATCTTTTTACTTTTTTTATTTTTTAGATTTGATGGATATTGGGATATTTAGGGTCGAACCACATTTTTACCCAGTTAAAAACCCGACCAAAATTAGATTAGATTTATATTATTCATTCTGATAGCCCAAAAAGATTAAATTTGTTTTCGTAACACTGACTTTGAATTAATCGTGTACTGTATTTATTAATTTTGTAATACAACCATAAACAGACAATTCTTCCTTTTTTAAGATTTTAGACTCCTTTTTTAAGATTTTAGACTGCTCAAAAATAAAAACTTACAATTGCACTTGAGCAGTATTGGGAACTTCAAATGATAAGATTATAATGTTTATCAAAAAGGAGAAAAATAGGAAGAATAATGTTTTTGTATAACGTAGAACCCCGTTCACTGATACTGTAGTTGTGTACCCTAATACATTGAATTATCCCCGGAACACACATAGACTGAAATTCCAGGACCGGGTGACATTAGTGCAGGTGCTGGAGTGTTTTAGGTCAGTGTAAGGCGTAAGGTGGCAAGGTGGCCGATGGATGCGCGTAGGGCAGAGTGGAATGAGTGGATAGTGGATGTGAAATCGAGGCCGACCGGTCGTCACGTGCGAGGTGGAGGGGGCGACCCGCTGTGGCTGTGGCTGTGGCTGTGGTAGTCAGTCCACGTCGCAACGTCACACCGTCAGAGTCGTGTGTTACTAGTCACTAGTCACTGTAGTCATAGTCACTACGCCCCGTGACCGCATGCTAAACGACACTCGCACACTAACTACTATAGACCCACTCACTCAGTTACTGTCACAAGGAACATGTGGTGTATAGATACTTCAGTGCACACGCATGTTCGTCAGTGAAAGTTTGTTTACCGTTGTAATTGTCAATCGGCTTGTTTACGTTTGACAGTGTTTTCATATTTTACAAAATTTAAAAGTGCGCAGTGAGTCCTAGCATGCGCTCATCCGGGCGAGCATCGGAGACCCGAACGGTGGAACGCGAAGGTGTCGCGCAAAGTCGAGTGCTGTGAAGTATATATCGCCACGATGAGGAAGGACATCAAGAAATCTTCGTACTACGTGTGGTTCCTCGGTGCACAGGAGGCCAAAGGACTTCGAGGTTTGGAATACATCGCACCCGTCGTCCGCGACCTCGTCGACCGGGAGCGGGAAGTGGAGCCATTCAAAGTAACACTCCAAGTCAGCCACAAGGGGTTAAAGATAGTCCAGAACGTCCCGGCAGCGGGGGTCGCCATAGCGAGAGGTAAACCTGCTCCTAAAGCATCCGGAAAGCCGGAAGTAGTGAAACATTTCATCCCGCACCACGCGGTAACCTGTGTGCATCAACAAGAAGACTTGGTGGCGTGTATACTGCTGCTGTTCAACCCCGTCACAGAGTGTCCGGTCCACGTACATGCTTACAGATGTGACTCTGTCGAGACTGCCACAGTTCTGCATCGTCAGTTGAGGGTCCTCATAGATCGTCCAGACAACCAGAAGAAACTCGGAGAGATAGAGGCCCGACTGACAGCTAAGGGCTTGCTCGGGCCTCAGACACGCAAGAGAGTCCCGGTCACGGGGTCCGATGGTCGCAGCACTAGGGAGTCGGAGTCTTCGGGAGGATCCTCTTCCGAGCGATTATCCGGTGTCGGTAACCCAGAGCGACTCGCCAATCTGTACGACTCTTTGGCTGCCGAGCTGAGGGAGAAGCTGGGTACCAAGGGGTCGCAGGCTCACGCGCCCATCCTGCTGCCTCCTAGAGACTACGACACCGTGCATCGTCAGAAAGGGAATCTATCGCACATCAACGCGAGGAGATGTCTCAACAGCAACATCGTCGGTGTCAACGTCACTGCCACGGGAGGTCCTGGAGTAGCAGCCGTGGGGTCTAGTGGAGGGTCCAGTGGTATCGGCAGTGACCACGCTCCTAGTCCCGACCACGACCCCGCGCCTTTACCTGACCCCGACCGCTTCCTCGACAACCAGTCCACCTCCGGTGAGTCATTGTACCTAGCCGATAGTCTTTGTATAGTTTGTATGATGGAACCTGTCTTGTACGGAGAGGCAGGTTTGTAAGTTATAAGGTAGAATGGTTGAATGTTATAGAAACAACAGTGCGGCACGTATTATGTGAGGTCTGAGATCTATTACATATTACAGAAGAGCCTCGCAACATCTTAATATTTCACGGGAGAGTGATTCCTATTAACCTTGAGTTGTGTTTACTTATCCGGTACACGGAAAATGTATCAAGTTGATCCGGTATAATGAATACAAGACTCAACACCTTTAACGCTTTAACTTTGTAAGCTCATTAGCTCGTAACACAAATTTCCAACTTAGGACAAGCCTGTTAAATCCCCGTTTTGGCTTCTTTCGTTGAACGTTACTTGTAACACAATACTGTACTTTTTACATAATTTACTGAACTGACCACGTGTTGATTTAACTATTCAACAGTACCGGTCAATAGTTGCTTAATATTGTCAATAGCACACAAATACTGAAATGCCATATTTGAATAAGAAAACAAATTCAAGATTAAAACATGGGAATAACGTGAAAACAAAGCATCAAATGTATAAAGTTTGTTCCAGAAAATCGTAGTCTACTATTATTATCCACAATAGAAATCGTGCTTAAAATGACCGTCTCCATAAACTCTCAATTTAGAAAAAATCTATTATTTCCATCCACCAACTTTGAAGGAAACACACTTTAAAATAATGACTCGGCAAAGTATAATAATTTGTTGACATATCCTAACATTAGGGAATATTCCTTGCAACAGCCATTCCGTGTAAACAGTTCCGAACTACTCAGTGTCTATAATAACTACTATCTGTATTTAATATATCTCCTCTCCTAAAACATTTTAATTTATTCTATTTAAAGTATATAGTACCGAGTTGGTTTAGATGTGTGAATGGAGTGCAACTTAATAAATTAGGTAAAATCTATAAATTAAAAATCGATTGTTGGAATGCAGTCTTGCAGTCTTCGGTTGTGATAATCATCCGTGTGACTTTTCGAAATTGATTTACTGTCTTGTAAAGGTTTAATATTCAGGATGTTCATAAAGGGGTGTCACTTCAGGGGCTGATAGTACAAATCAATTTAAGAATTTAATAAATAGCTGAAATATCATGATTTTCAGTTGTAAAATGAGGCAAACGTAATTAGCTTAGCCTTATTCTACCCCATCTTACAACTAAGAATTGTGTTATTATTTCAGCTATTTTATATTCAATCTTTTTGAACTTGGTATAGTTTGATAGGGAATTCAAAATGCTAAATAAAGGTGTCGTAGACATTCTTTCAAAAAACCAGTGATACTTTAGTAATTTATGTATAAAGATGTTAAATGGCCACCATTTTGTTAATTTAAAAGAAAACTACACTTTTTAATAGCTTCTTGAAACAATAAATGTATTTACAAAGTTTGGTTTTCGTACCTTAAATAATTCTTGATATATAAATTATTTTATAAAAAATTCAAAATGGCGGCTAGCGGCTGAACAAAATTGTTTTCGACCAATGTTTATATGAACCTTTTTGTTTAAAATTATTAGTACTATCAGCCCCTGAAATTTGTGACACCTTGAACACCCTGTATAAGTAAACATGTAGAAATTATGTATCGACCCAAATATGTAGTTATCCCAACCATTACTTTCTTAGCTAGTAAAATAAGTGAAATGCGTAGATAAAGAAGCAAAATATATTTGCGTACATACTTGTGCGAATCCCTTTTCGTCAGATCTCGGCTGGGATTAATGAATAAACTACAGTGGACGCTAAACGTCATCACTCATTTGATCATGAGAAACGGTCAATCGTTTTCATTTGTCAATCTACAACCTCGCTGAAATAAACTCTTATTTAAACCCCAAGCTAAGTACCAATGCAGCAATAAAACCTAAAAGTAAATCCTTCAAACTATGCTCGCAGACGATTGCCTAATATCATAGATGAAACTTCATCTATGCTAATATTCCTCTACAACTCCAAAAATATTGACTCGGTTGATATTGATATTAAAGATACTAGGTAACGACATAGCCAATATAAACCCGTAAAACGTCCTTTTAAATATCACTCGTGATTAATTAAATACCCTACTTGTAGGCGTGCATATTATTTCACACCGTACCAAAATGTTAGTATTTTCCAATTGTGACCAGCAGAAGGGGGTCGGGTCCCTCCGGGCTTGTCATCTAACATTTCGCCATCCTTTGACAGATTCAATTACCGGCGAAAGCGTGATAAATGCCTCAAGTATTCATTTACCGCTCCCAGCTCCGAGTACCTTTCTTTTGGCAAGTAATTAAAAGGAGCGAGACCTCTGAAGGTGCGTCCTGGCTGTTTATCATATTTTTATTTAATTTCGTCAGATATCACTGAACCACGATGCAACTTTCTTAACGGACTCAGATATTCTACAAGCAAATCTGTAACTAACCAGCCACTATTTTTCCATTGTAAAATATTTGGTGGTATAATCAAACGATGACTCGGTTTACTTACGCGCTTAAACCTAAGATTATTCAATATTTGATCAATATTGATCAATCAATGTTCCCTACAGTTAGAGTTGTTGAGGACATTACCCTCCCTTTAATATTTCTATTCTGGTTCCTTCAAACCCGAACACCTTTGATTATGGGGAGGATTAGATACCGGTAATAAATATCCACTGTAAAAGTTAGCCAATGTGGAAAATAAAAATGAAGGTATTTTAATTGATCTTCAGCCTCTGTGAGTGCACCATGTTCTATCCCCCTTTCAAAATTGAATAGGAATAATCCATATACTGTGGTTGGGATGTCTACCCTAGTAGCCTATCTGAACGTCAATACTTCATCTTCATTGGTACGACCAGAATATTTTATTAAATTGTTTTGAAAATTTATATAGTTAGTGCGGATCACATCCATATATAAACTTATCCAGGTATAAATTATTATTAAATTATAAAGATGGTAAAAAACGATCAGAGCTAGATTAGCACAGTGAAAAAAATTGAACTAACATTTTCCAACTAAAAACTAAACAGATGCAGGTATTCTATTTTAAATTATTTTTAGCTGCTCGTTAAATATTCTCTCCAAGAAGAACAATTATTCTCCCTTAATGCAGTTATCAGGACTTGACAGACGACAACTTGTCAAGATGAACTGGATGTGATGCCAGGTGAGACTGGCCTCTTATCACTGGAGTTTGACGTGATACGCTGTCGTAGGCTCCAGGGTGGCAGGGTGTAAACGTAAACAATGGGCCTTCCTTGTCATCAATGCGCACTGCTCACAAAGCGTTATTGCAATGAATAGTGACCATATAATACACGTGGAAAAGATGGCACTACAGTTAATTAGTATTCTCAAACTACTGTAAATTTAAGCTGGACGAGCTGGCACTTTTATGTAGGAAATTAGATGTTGGACGAGATATCACTTAGACGAGATGTCGTTATATCTTCAGAGATTTGCCAACTAATAATTACCAATGAAAATTATTCATTATAGCATTACGTATAATAATATTATTGTCATGCCATAGCAATTTCATCTTCTATCAAATATATAAAAACATTTCGCAAATCTTTAAGTCCATACGAGTTTATCTAATAGGAGGTTATTGAACAGTATTACTGATGCACTGTTTGTTAAAATTTTACAACTAAGTTAATGACATTTTTTCACTTTCAACCCTGTATTATGATCGCAACTCATAATCACATCTAAGGTCATATCAATTCGTTGTATTTACAACTTTGGGTGATTTCTAGTCATAGACTCAGTCCAAACTTCTCAGTAGTTTATTACCATGGATGAACTAGTTACCCAAGCCACTACTTATTACTGAGGGTCACATTATAACGTTACAATTACACGAAAGTTGCCACCTAGCCACCGCAGGCTATAATGTGCCCGAACTACGCCCATATCCCCGAAAACATATACTTTGTTTGGCGATTAAGCAATTTTGGTGAAAGCGGCCTTCAGCTAACGCGATTAGAGGAACTAAAATATGGAAATTTTGAAGAAGCGTGCTTGCACATACAGCTTTCTAAACATTGCTACATCGGAGGCTAAAACTCTATGCACATTTTCCTCGCAAAATTGTAAGAGTGGTTGATTTCTTATACATGATTCACAAGTCCCTCTAGAGTTTTATATGATAGAAATAAATTTATATTCTCTGTTCGTCGAACCATATCAGTAATAATTGACACTAGCTCTCTAACAGAAAATCGCTCCAAATATGCCAACATAATTATGTTCTCTTCGTAGCTTTGAGTTGATCCTCATCGATATAACCTTATAGTTTTAGTTTAATGTAAAGGATTATTGCTAAAGTTTCCATCACGATTGGTTCAACAAAGTGTTCTGGGTTTTGGGATCTGGAATCTATCCCATTTTCAGCAGACAGCATAACGAGTTTATACACAAACCCAGACAAAGTTGGAAAATCACAAAGAACCCCATATAAAGAACTGTAGTTACAACTCAGTATCAACTGGAGGCTGGAATATACATCATCCATATAATGGTCCAGTTGTAGTTTTGTTAGTTTCTTAGTCAAAGAGAACATTGTGGATTAACCCTTTCATAGAGTGCCTTGTCTAAATTCTACCTTCTCCCTTAATTATGATAACTGTAATTGTTTATATGACATAAGAGTAACAGTTTGCAATAAGTTGTCCTTTCAGTTTGGTTCAAGGTTTGTGCATACAACAGAAATGATTAAGTGACATCACTACATTCTGTCAGGCGCTCAATTCGATTATCATTTTAGAACTGGTCATAGCTTTTACATGGGAATGAGTTACCTACTATGTCAATGGCCCGTGCATGATATAACTAATATTTTTATCCTATAATTTTTATTTCAGTTTTAGCCTAACGTTGTCCATACAAATTTCATTCTTCGGCTCTAAATTGTACTGGCAGATTATTTTAGTGGATAGTTAACACGTACAAATCACTACAGATA